GAGGAGAATTTTGAAGATGGATCTGAATTTAACTGGGAGCCAGTGAAGCTGCTGGAGAACCGGCGTGACGTGGTGAAAGGAAGGGGTTCTGGTGATAATACGGGCTGCTGAATTCTGGACCAGTTGCAGTTTATGAAGGAGTTTGTTGGGAAGACCATAAAGAAGTGAATTGCAATAGTCGGTACGGGAGGTGACGAGGCTGTGGACGAGAATGGCGGCAGTGTGAGGGGTCAGTGAGGGACGGAGACGGTTAATGGAACGTAGATGGAAGTATGCTGACCGAATTAAGTTATTAATGTGAGCCTGAAAAGAAAGTGAGCTGTCGAGAATGACACCCAGACTCTTGACGTGAGGTGAGGGGGAGACTGTGGCGCTGTCAATAGTTAAAGAAAAGCTGTCAGATGTTGAGAGGGTGGAGTTAGTGCCAACAAGAAGAAGTTCAGTTTTATTGCCGTTGAGTTTGTCTTGTCAAATACAACCCTTCATTTTTCTCTGGGCCTTCTCTAATGAGTTTCTGGCTAATTTATTAGCTTCTTTTAATCTTCAATGGAAATTTGACACATGAAGATTTACTATATTTTTCTTAAAAACCGGAGTCTGCAGGATTCTTTCCTTCAATGCCAGTAGGGGACCCCTAGGGGTGTGTCCAAACACCAGTTGCGCTGGGCTAAATCCTAAGGATTCCTGTGGAGCTTCACGAACAGCAAATAAAAGAAAGGGGAGCCCTTCATTCCGCGATCGACCTGATGACAGACGTCAACACGTTTTGACCATTTTGGTGGGATTTAAAAAGAAGCATTCAGTTACCAGACGTGTCATTTTTACAGTGCTCTGTAGGAGGCCACAAACTACCAAAATTTGTGCGTGTGGGAATTCTCCGGCATTTTTCAACATTGGGAGTTTAGAAATGGCGATTACAATAAAGGATTAAAGCTACTCATTTTATTTCTGATCATGCTTTGCCGAGCAACTCCTCCAATTATGCAAATTCCGGTTGTTTGGCGACGTCTGCCGACATAATTTTCCACTGAGTTACAACCAGTCAGCATAATTTAACCACAAGTCTTGCCCAGCAACTCTACCAGGCCTGTCCGAGTACATGCCCCAGTTCAGCTACACAGTTGATCCCTGAAATGACCCGGAAACTGGTCTTTTCGGGCCGGCCTGATGAGATGGAAACATGAACGTGCTATGAAAGTCTGGTAAAATTACCAGGGGGATAGTGGAAACGGGCAGCTAAGATTCGTGGACATTACAGTTCTTTGGAATTTATTTGGAAGGGATATTTTTGACTTTTTACTGTGTTGTGTGTTTTTTAAACAGCTTCTGTTTCTAGAAATGGAGAATATATCCACCATGGGTCTGTCCAAATTCAGGGATAACATTCTTGTAAGGACCTCTCTCCACTTAGGCCAGGTTCTTCCTCGACTGCTAAAACTAAAAGTGAGCAGCTGTGAATTTGGATGGTCTAGCTTTCATTTTTGACAAAAACTATGTGAGAATACCACACCTCAGACCTGCCTTTAAAATTCTGGGGAAATGAGAATGCTTTTCAGGACACATTTAGAGTATCCTTCAAATTTGGACAGCCTTGTTTCTTGCTTTGACATAATTTACCTTAAAATGCGTACTTGGAAGGACGCAGACCCTGGACTTGGACACAGTCCATTTAGTGGATTGGTGGTATTTAACATAGTTTTGATAGAAAACAAGCTAACGACTGGCTATGGAGCTTATTCCCTTTGCATTGCCATGGATTTCACATTTCAAGGTTATTCCATCAGTAATATTAAAGCAAGTAGCCAGCTCTGCTAAAACTTAAATGTAAATAACCATAAAATGTGACATTTGATTGATTTAAATAGTTTGAAATAACAATTAAATGAACTGCTGTGAAATGTTTAAGGTTAGAGTTTCAAAATCAGATTTTTTATTTTTTTAGTGGACAAGGAAGGCGGCCATCTGCTGATTGGAGGTCTACGACACAGCGGCATCTACTGATTTGGAGGAAATATTTTGTTTTGGTCCATTGAAACTAGGCAGCAAAATCTCACATCAACAATATTTCATACTTGATATTATCGGTTAGGTCGTCCACTCGCTGTAGCACTAGGTTACACTCTCACTAGCCGTTAGCTCATCAGTCATGAAGGATATAAACTAATTCTCCAAACAGAGGCCATTCTAGAAGTAATCTGATTGGATCTTTACACAGGAACACAATTTTAAACTGCCAAAATATTTCTGTAACTAATACATTTGAATAACCTTCATCCTCATCATCAGTCACCTTCTGCACAGACTCCCAAACATCCCATAAATCAGACTTTCCATTTAAGGTTCCTTTTCTGTTCCGGTGATCATGTATTCAAGTCAAACCCAAATTTAACAATCTTCTCTAAATGCTACTTTCCCAATCTTCTTTCCTCCTCCACTTTATTCTGCACCGGTGCCCGGTGACATCTTGTTCCTTTGCTTCTGACCTTGTCTTGTGACACCAGCCCATGCGCTTTTTGAGGAGCGGAGCCAAGCGTGTAGAGACAAACGTCCTCTCCCGTGCTCCCCGTCACCCCTTTACTCAGAATCGCATTCCGTGCACGCTCTAATTATCCCGTTTGATGAGAAACAGGGCTCTCTACACCGCCGCTGCTGCTCTGACTCCACAGCCATCTCCAGCCATGGCAGGTAGATGTGAAGCTCCTCTTCTTCTCATCATTACCGCACAAGATACCTGGCTAATTATAGCTGCACTCTGCTGTAATGGAGACAGCCACATGAGGATGGAGAGGACACGTTTCTGGAAAAGGAAGATATGGAAACGAGGGGATTAGCAAAAGAATTTGTCTCTGAAAAAAATTCACACGCCACGTTTTGGTTTTGACGTGTGTGTGTGTGTGTGTGTGTGTGTGTGTGTGTGTGTGTGTGTGTGTGTGTGTGTGTGTGTGTGTGTGTGTGTGTGTGTGTGTGTGTGTGTGTGTGTGTGTGTGTGTGTGATAACTGCTTCTCTGACCCAGCATGTTCTCTTTCCATTCCCACCCCCACCCCATCCCCCCACCCCCACCGTAGTGGTTCTCCTCCTTGGGTTTATGCAGCATCATTCATAACCACAGCACCATCCTCCTTCTCGTCTTTCTCCTCGTCCTTTTCACTCATCTTCCCGTCCTCTTTATTCTGGTGAAGTCCTTGATTCACATATGTTCAGCTGAGGAGCTCCTATATGCCAGCACAGCCGGAGAAACAAAGACAGGCCGCAGTTAATTACCTATCATTTAGAGCAGATGGCTGCAGATGATATGTAAATGTGTGTGTGTGTGTGTGTGTGTGTGTGTGTGTGTGTGTGTGTGTGTGTGTGTGTGTGTGTGTGTGTGTGTGTGTGTGTGTGTGTGTGTGTGTGTGTGTGTGTGTGTGTGTGTGTGTGTGTGTGTGTGTGTGTGTGTGTGTGTTTTCTCTCTAAGTGTGATTGTTAATTTGACTGTATGTGTCTTCTCTTCCAATAAAGCACACTGTATTGTCGCTTACCTCCTGAAATTAAATTCTGTGTCATTTTCCAGAACAAAAAGACAAATAATGTTGAATTTTTTTTAATTATTGCCAGCCCTCATTTGTCCATCAGTTGTTGTAGACATCGCTGAGAAAAAAAATACATGAAACACAAAATATTGTTCTGCAAATCTGAACTCTGGATTAGTTTGCCATGTGTGTGCAGAGGATTGTGAAGCTAGGCCTAGTGAGTCGTTTGAGATGTTTTGTTTGACCGATTTTTCCCCTCTTTAAATAATTTGCCACAGTCATGAGCTGGTTTCTGATCAGAAGGAATAAATAATAAACTGCAGCAAACTCGGTGATCGAGGAAGAGCTGCACCAGAGGAGGAGGGAACCAGATCAACAATCCTGCAAGAAGAGCCTGTTTTATAATCTTTCTTCACACTGTGCGTTAAACAATTTCTCACCAACAAGTGTGTGAATATCCGTGTAAATGCATTTTTTTTTGTGCATTGTGCTTCTGCATGAAACAATCTCATGTATGTTTATTCTCCACCAACACACCCAGCAGGAGTCTGGGAATATGTGCGACTCCAAGTTTGCAACGCCACAGATGGAGACCCACTAATTTACTCATTATGGAGATTTAATATGAGAGAATGCTGCAGCAGTGATCTAATGTAGCCGCTCAGGTTGGGTTTTTTTCTTTCATTGAGCCCAATTCATACTCGGACACTTAGAAAATGAAGTAAGTCTCTCTCCTTTTTTAAATATTTGCACAGATTAATTTTTTCATGCTCAGGCTCGACTCAGTCTGCTCTGCAGCAGCAAATGGAACCCGTTTACAAGATGGTTATTCCCTATTGGCTCCCGAGTGAGCGCAGCTCTTTCACAGCTCTGAGGACTTAACGCTGCTCCAGGCCGATTTATGGCATGATGGGAGAGAAGGCAGTTGTGTGAATAAAAATCTATTTATCCAATCAGAAAAGTCACAGGATGTGCAATTTCAACTCCAAATATTTTAGTTAAAAACAATTGGATTGATTAATTGGCATTTGGAAATGTATGTCTGTTTCATTATTTCAAGCTGACTAAGAAGAAAATCCCAATAAATTGGTTGAATGTGATTTTTGACAGTCTAACAGATCTATTGTAAAGTCGAGGAAATTCGAGTATTCAGTGTTTTGGTCTTTTAGAAACGGGAACAAAATTTTTAAGGTCCCCCCCCCCCCCCCCCCCCCCCCCCCCCCCCCCCCCGCTAAGTCTGTTATGTGGCCGGAATAAAACCAATAGCTTTTTGGCTTTCCCTTGTAACAATGAGGCCCCCTGGTGGCAACAAGAGACATTGCAACTTCAAAAACCGTGTTATTTTTGGTTTTTCTCATTATCACCTGTCATGTGTGCGCAAGTGTGTGTGTGTGTGGGGTGTGTGTGTGTGTGTGTGTGTGTGTGTGTGTGTGTGTGTGTGTGTGTGTGTGTGTGAGTGAGTGAGTGTGCATGTGTGTGTGTGTGTAAAGGCCATCACGTAATGCAATTTTTATTAAATAAAATTAATACACATTTATTTTATTATGAATCATCCACATACGGTAGTTTAATTTTATGCTGTGCACAATGCAGATAAAGAGTCGTGCATCATTTAAGACCATTGAAATCATACATTCAAATCATGTCTGTGTGGCTAAAAAGCTAAATAAACAAGAACAGGCCTGTTGCAACAAACAATCCAATTGCCTTGGGCCCCAAGCTGGGCCCCATGGGCCCCAGGACAATGACAAACTCAGGACAAACTGTATAAGCTGCCCCTTTAAAACGTTATATGTTTTATGTAAATACTTAAATGCAAACAGTAAAGCATTTGCACTTTCACAAATGTATTTTATTGATAGAATGTTTTAGGGCAACTTCAACTTTTGAGTGAGCGTGGGGGAGGCTATAAGTCAATTTTGCCTTGGGCCCCCAAATGTCTTGAAATGGCCCTGGACAAGAACATAATAGAAACACACACAGCTTCAACTTATGAATTATCTCTGGTTTTTGTAGATTCATTTAAGATCATTTGCATTAGCAGTCACTAAAATCTTTATACCTGAGGCAATTATACATGTGATGAGCTGAAATGCGACATTTTAGTAGCTGAGAGTCATCGCTAAGTCAAACTTTGAGCATTAACTGGTCATGTGAGAGCTTGCACATAAAGATTTAATGAAAAAAACTCCGCCTGAAAAGTAATATCACCAGAAAGCAAACAGCACAGGACTCTGATTAGCCTTTTATCTTTGATTAACAAGTTGTATGCATCTGCTTTACACTGACTGTGTATGCTAACTCATTTTCATGCTCATCATTCCCCTTTCCTCCTAACAATAACACTCAATATCTCCCTCATCCACCTGCAGCGTGAACACTGCACAACTTTGATCTGCTGCTGCTCATCCTCCGTATCTCTCCTCAAGCAGAAAACCATTACATACGCTTTATTTATATGTGACAGATGCACTTGTCATTCAAAGGGAAGCTCAGATCCTTGGCAATCAAAGGTGCAGGAGATGCCTCCAGAGCCTGCGTTAATATGCATGAGAGAGGGAGCTGTCCGATGATGTAATTGCAGCAGAAACGAAGGTCAGTGCATTTTTATTAATTTATTTTTTTGCCAGGCTATGCACAATATCAAAGCCCAGATGTCCACAATCCACTTAGGTTCGGTTGTAGTCATCTGTGTGCATTTGCAAAACAGAGGATGACTTTACTCACAGGAGTGAGTCAAAAGGTGAAAACCCTGTTTTTAATTGTAAAGTTGGACTTTTGATGCTCTCACATGACAATGACGTGCTCTGGTTTTTCCAACATCACACTGGGGCCTTTCATCCAGGGAGCGAAGCTGTTTACAAGCCCCTCATCTGCCCGTGTGGTTCAAGGCGGCTCTAGTTCTGAATGTAATGGATGTGCCTTTTATTTATATTTCACCTCTGGTCCTGATTTTGCCTCAAGGTCTTTTTCTCTACATATCAAAGCAACGCATCCTAATGCGAGCACCCAATTATGAAGACACATCTCAGTCAGTATAATGGGATGTATACCTCGCCTTATAAATGAGAACCACCATGTTTGTCTTTGTTGTGCTTGAATGTTCAGACTTTATGTAATTCTAGTTTTTTTCTTTGTTTTCTTCCGCAGAGATGCAGCAGATTTACAGAAACAGGACAGACTCAATTCTTTGGGCATGTCGGTCTCTGTAGGAAAAAGCTCTAGCGCTCCTGTTTCAGGAAGTAGAAATGAGCCAGATCAGAGGTGAGCGGAACACGGCAGGGTTTGTAGTCTTATTTCCTGACATCCGGACATCTCGCCTCTGATTAGCTAATTTTTTATTGTTATTTATTCCCACAAATAACACAAGCCTGAAGAAGTTCTGCCATGTTGTGCAGTTGCTAATGTTAACAGTTAGCTTCTATTAACCGACGCGTGCTCTGCTCTCTCGGATGCTGAATTAACATTTTACATGACATTAAATTGTTTTTGCTAGTTTCAGTAAAACTCATTTGCAAAAGAAGCTAGAGAGCTAAGACATTTCTTGCCTCAGATCTTTTCTGACTTTGCTTTATTTGACCTCAAAAAAATAATACAATAACCATCGGTGTCAACTTTTGTGAAGAAAATAATGTCCTTCTACATCATTTTCCTTTTTCTTCATTATTCGTTTGCTCCTCAGTTTGATTGTTTCTGGGTTTAGACGATAGGGTTAGGATGCAGAAATGCACAATGGTCAAAGACATGGAGGACAACAATGTTCTATACTCTCTTGTAGAAATACTGTAAAGCTCTGGGAAATAAAAAACTGCAAGTATCAACTTTTCCTTCATGTTTACCCGGAGATGTACTGAGAAGCATCCTGTCCGCTCATCGGTCAATGAAAGCTCCACTGATTGGTCCTTGTCTGAACGACAGCGATGAAAAGTTGAAATTTTCTCAACTCTCTGGGATTGTGTCGCTGGCTTGCCTGTGCACGGCACATGCAGGAGTGCAAGATTTCACATGCACGTTTTTCACTTAGCAGGAGGGAGACCCCGATTATCGCTTTATCGTGCATGTCTCTTTGAAAATGAATGGAGGAGAGGCGATGTCGCCTCCCGTGTGTCGAGCACATAAGGTTTATCAATGTTCTTTAAAAGTCCGACTGTAGTCAGACTAAGGCAATAATTTGGTTTCCTCTTACTGCATGTAAACCCACTGATTGACTGTAGCTTTGTGCATCTCAGGATACCTGGGAACTAAATGTCCGTGCTATCACTAAAGGTAGGGTTTCATCAGCAATCTTAAAGACCAAGTTCACTCTTTTTTTTAACACATTTGCACTGATCTTTAGTTTAAACGAATGTGTCGATCTCTGTAGAAAAAAATCTCTGGCACTCCTGTTTCAGGAACTAGAAGTGAGCCTGAGGAGACGGGAGCAGAAGACGACAGGATTTAGTCTTATTTCCTGATAAAAGGGCATGTTGCCTCTGATTGGCTAACAGCACCATGACTCTACCCAGGGGCGGATTAAGGACTGAAGAAGATCCGGGGCTTAACACACACGCGCGCACACACGTGACACACACTAGTCAACATATATATTTGTCTTGTAACACATAATTTTTAATCTGAAGCTACATATTAAGCATATTCAGGGTAGAGTATTGTTCCTGTTAGTGTTTACTGTGAGATGATAAATATTCCCTTTCTTTCTCCAACAACTTTACCTGATAGTAAGCTAACTTTAGGCAAACTAGCAGCACAACAAATATTTTCAAATAAGACTCACAAACCTGAGTCAACTCCAGTATCATCACAGCTGGGGTTCTGTCGTTGTACTTTTTGTCTAAAAAACGTCCTTATGTCCATCTTCACTCATGCGTTTCAGGCAGAGAGTGTAGAAAAAGCCAGGCACTGCAGAAGAAGCCGGCTGCTGAAGGGCTTCTTCTTCAGTGGTGGAGGCTCAGGCAGGCTGTATACAAACTACTGCTAGCTGCGCCCTCTCTGTTGGACTTTGGTACTGCATGTTACTTCCACGTTTGAGATCCGGGGCTTTTCATTAAAGATTTGGGGCTTGAGCCCAAGTAGCCGGGCCTAACGCCGCCCCTGACTCTACCACTGACTCCATTTGCTTTGCAAAGTTGATGTTTTTCCTCCATATGTGTTATTACACAAGCACGAAGGAGTTCTTGTGTTGTGGAGTTGCTAATGCTAATGGTTAGCTTCTACTAGCTGGACATTCTTTGCTCTCTCCTGGATGCTAAATCAACAACAACCTTCCCTTTTGTGAGTCAACAAGTTAAAACAGCTTCTCAGTGAACTTGACCTTTAAAAGCTTAAAGAAAATGTGATATCCAGATTCTTGGGAATCCCCCAGAATTAGCGGCATGGTACTCCACTTCCTGTAAACTAGGCTTTCCATGAGCTCCTGTCAGTGTTAATAACCACAGAGAGCTACCTCAGGGCTGTTTTGCCATGCTGCCATCGTGGAGAGGGGGTGATGTTTCAACATGGAGGTGGGGGTGTCTCAGATTGTCCGTTCATTTAGCTCTCTTGCACATGTATCTCTAACGTAAAGATTCATCATTAACGCTGCTGGAGATGGCGAGCTCGCTTACACAAGGTGAAATGTCTGAGCCAATGCTGAGGGCAAAAAAATACCAACAAATATTCAGAAGTGCTGATATCAGCAGAGTACACAGGGATGGATGAGGGGAATAGGAGAAGGAAAGAGTAAGGATGGGAGAGAATAGGGGGAGGGGGTAAGAAAGGGGTCCAACGCCTGTAATCAGATCACTGGCCACTGAACAAGGAGTGAGTGAAATCAATAGAGACGGCATTTGCACATAGTGGTTCAAACGGTATACGTGTAAATATATCTGTGTGTGTGTTTAGAGTCCAGGCCTGAGAAGCCAGCATGTCCTATTCCATTCCCTGACACCTTTTCATTTCATTTCTAATGCATTACATTTCAGTCTTTTCTTGTCTGTGCTACACCCTGTGAAGCTAAAACCTCACTGTTGTAGTTCAGGGCACATTCCAGCCTTTGAATTCAATAACTCACAGCTTGTGTGTCTTCAGCCATCAGCTTCAGAGCACAAGAGTGGACCTGTTACAAAGTGTGGTACCAAACCCTTTTGGATGCAGCCATTTGTTCACTTCATCTGTTTTATTTATTTGTTCTACTGGGGATGACTAACTCATATTTATGAGGTTTAAATCTGAACTCCAAGTGTCCTACGCAGGGGCAATACCATGTGCCTTACAAGTTGCATGAAATGGCACGACAATAACCAGGAGAACACAAATAAAAATATATACAGATACAATTATAATTTAGAGCTAAAAGGAAAAGACAGAATTAAGTTAATGCATAGCATAGCATAGTTTATTCATATAGCACATTTAAAACGCAGTATGGGAGCTGCCCAAAGTGCTGCACAGGCTAAAACAAAACACAACCATTAGAAAGAACTAAAACAGAGGATATAAATCCCAATCAAAAGCAGATAAAACATGATGAATACTAAGAACACATTAAAACAATGATACAATAAAACACTAAAATGAGTCACTGTCTAAAAGCCAAAGCGTAAAAGTGGGTCTTTAAACAAGATTTAAAAACCGCCAGAGATGGAGCCTGCCGAACTCCAATGGGCAATGAGTTCCATAGCTTTGGGGCAGCATGGACAAATGCTCGTTCACCCCGCGATTTGAATCGCATCTGCGGCGTGCACAGCAGCAAAAGGTCAGCCGACCTCAATGTGCGCGTGGGCACATATGGAGTGAGCAGATCAGAGAGATAGGGAGGTGCCAGGTCATTGAGAGCTTTAAATACAAAGGTCAGTAACTTAAACTGCACTCTGAAAATGACAGGGAGCCAGTGAAGATGTACCAGGACAGGAGTAATGTGGCTACGTCGGTGTGTACTCGTCAACAACCTGGCAGCAGCGTTCTGGACGACCTGCAGCCGATTCAGGGCGGATACCGGAACACCAACGAGGAGGGCGTTTGCGTAGTCCAAGCGAGAGGTAACGAAGGCATGGATTTCTACGGAACATTTTCTGCAAGAAAAGATGTGTATGTGTAATAAATGAACAATTAGTAGGAAGTACATTTACCTTCCAGTCACATATGAAACCTCATCTACCATATTTATTTGGTGCATGTTTTGGGACACCTGTGCAACATTTTACCCTGAGATCATCTCACAATTCTGCTTACATTACAAGCATGCAGAAAACTTTCCAACCAAGCAGTAGCATCATCACTGATTTGTGCGTTGATTGTTGCCAGGAAACATTTGAACAGATTAATGGCCCTGAAATATTCCCTGCTGCTCTGAAAGCTGCCTACATGCATTACATAAGCATTTCATTTGTCCAGCAAAGACTAAAATGTGAAGGCAACTCACACCGATTGCTAACTAACACACACTGCATTATTCACACTATTGTTTGCAGAACATCACAAATCACTTGCTTGTTCTGATAATTATACCATTCACAACAATCAAAACTACCTAGAATTAATATAAAAGGTGTGGTCAAGTCTTTAATAGTCAAAAAGTTGTTGGTTTGTGCAGTTTTTCCTTTTTATTTCAACAATTATGCTCATCTGTCATTGTCTGGGAAACAGATTTTGGTTTTTGTTTATAATACATCTGATATTTTTTATTGTTATTCACATACAACACTTTCCGCTGTCTCTTACAAGCTACAATGTGTGTTTTATAAATGATTTAATGGTCCCAACTCTGAAAAACCTCATCCACACTAGAAAAGAACCTATTTGGGTAATAGGAGCTTTAAATACATACAAACTTGATTGGTGTGGCATTAAAAAGGTAGGTTTATCATCTGATTCCTTTTAAAGGTTGCTGCCTCCCTGTGGATGTTCCTCAAAATAACACTGTTGCTAAAATTCACTCAATATGTCCTCTTTGTGATTGTAACTACCCAAAAAATGTGAACAAACTATATGAAAGGTAATCTATAATTTAAAAAAAATTAAGAAAAAACAGCCACCTACTACTATTAAAATCAAAATGTCATTTTCACTGTAATTATTTGCCCTATTCAGCACCCGCATTAACAGAATTACAAAATATTAGAGTGTCGAATCACTCCATTCTGTTTCTTTGTGTGCTGAACAATACAGTCTGCTCAGCTGAGCTCTAGATTATCTCAACGTGTTGGGCAAAATGCTCAGTCTCTACTTTCAGCTCACAGATAATGATATAACCATGGCAACGCAGACACCACATCTACGCTTTCCTGTGGACTTTTTGTTAATAAACTGCAGATAAACGATGTTGTGTTCAGTGACCATAAGTTAGTTTCCTTTCATATTAACCTAAATTCTGAATCTCTTTTACCAGACTCTGCCAAGCAAAGACGTATTATCAACAGTTCTACCATTTTTAATTTCTCCTCCCTCTTTGACTTTGTACCTCCTTCTGATGACGTAGCTCCTTACTGACTCATTTCATGATCACTGCCTCAAAATTCTAGATCAGGTTGCCCCACACAAAACCAGCCGCAGTTCCCGTGCCACCAGTTCACCTTGGCTGAACAACCAGATTCTTGATCTTAAACGCTCCTGTAGAAAAGCAGAACGACGGTGGAAGAGGACAGGTTTGATTGTTCATTGCGAATATTTTAAAGAACTTCTCGAGTCATACAACAAAGCTGCCTGGTCTTCTTTCTTCAGCATGCCAAAATAAGAATAATCCTAAGGTTTTGTTTGATACCATCTCCAGCATTGTTTCTTCTCCTCCTCAGCAGGCTCGGCTATCTTCAGCTGATGATTGTAACATATTTCTCCACTTTTTTTGCAAACAAGGTGTTGAATCTAAGATCTAGCATTCCACCAGCTCCCCCCATCAGCGAGGAGGCCCCTCAGTGCTCCGAGTCTTTCGCCTCCTTCCAAATCACACTAAATGACATCGGTTTCCATCAAGCCCCCACAACGCTGCTCAAAAATTGAGGCCAACCCGGAAGTACCAAAAATTGCAGGGGACATAGAAGGGGGACATAGAAGGGGGTGCGCGGCTAAATAAGTTTGGGAACCACTGCACTAGAGGGTTTTTTTTCACACTACAAATGTATTTAAATAGCGAGTGAATGAGAGCTTTGAATTAAACTTTTTTTACCTTGCCACCTTGTGTTGTCTCAATTTTGATGCAGTTTTGAGCCAGACTGTAACACGTGGGGGCTCATCTGGGATCAGAAATTTCCTGCTGGGGGAGCCCCTGGCTACATTGGAATAGCTACAGCTCCTACAGCCAGTTGGAGTTACAACAAACTTATTTCAATTGTAATCTAATGTGAAAAGTTTATAAAATGTCGTTTACATGAACCATCTGATGCATAGCATACTAGGCATGTTCTAGACATGCAGCAGCTGGAAATTAGTTCCACACAGCTGGTCCCACAAGACTGCAAAATCACAGGAGAATAGCAATATCACTAATGATTTTGCCATTTCACATTATAACAAGCAAGGAGAACGACAGCAGCATGTATCCGAAAGACATGCGTTATTTTTACTTTCGCCAAAGAGGTCTCACAGGCAATGGTATTTTTTAAGGGTGGGTTTTTAATGCATGAATTAAAATTAATTAATTAGAATAAAATAAGTTGTTAAAAAATTTAACACTTGAGTCCAAGCGCTCTAGCCTGACAAGCCATCCTATACAGTATATGTGAATATAGTCTGGCCACAATCCATAAACGGCTCACAGTCGTGAGACCGGGTTGACGGGTCAAGCTTGTGCGTAATCATATGCGCTTTCTAAGCGGAAGAGGATGTGAGATTCTGGGATTCTCCTCAGCCAGGCTCCTGGATGTGTCGCCACATTGGAGACAGGAACAAGCACTATTCAGCCAAAGTTTCGTAATCAGGGAACATTTTCTAAGTGACAAGTCTCACTTCAGTCGGAGGAATCTTCCTGCATGCGCTCTGGTTCTGCAACGCGCTCCAAGCCCCTCTCCACATCTTCAGCTCGCTGTACACCTTACGTACACGCTGACAGTGAGCTGCGCTGAGCAGTGTCCAGCTCAGATGTTCAGATGGGAATCTTTTCTGGAGTGATTTAGCTACATCTGCGATGTGCGAAACGAATAAAATGTCAGTTCGTCTGCATGCGTCGGGGTAATTCTTTCTATTCTTTCTCCATCAAAATAATTGGTCAAATACGGGAACTGTCCGGTCAACACAAGCCCTGCTTTTAACTGTTCTGTTTTCTTGTGAAAATTGTTGCAAAGAGATATAATTTAACGTGATTAACACCAGAGTCAGGAGCACTGCGCCATTATCTCCGTCACTGTAAATGAGGGAAAAACAAATTGATCGGATCCTTTTCTGACCTTCCCCACCAACAAAGTTTAATTACAACAATCAAACGTGACAGAGCCTGGATTTGTATTCTGAACAGTCTAAACATGTTTTAAAAAGAAACGTATGCCAAAAGTGGCACCTGCTCAGTAAAACCACCAACAGGGTGAAAAATATCAAAATATTGTAGGCAGAGACGGGCTACAACTTCTGGATCCACTTTATATAAATCATTTTATTGATTATTGTCTTATGAAAGATAACTTTGACGTACACGAGCGACCGGTACTGGCTGCTGTCACCTGTTGTGAGCAGCTCTCTGCTGTCTGAGGCTAGGCCCCGCCCACAACGCTGCGGCTGGTGTGGCTCCCAGTGTGGCTCTTTGATGGGAACAGGTTGCTGACCCCTGCTGTAAGGCTTGTTACCAGCATTCAAACATCAATTCTGTTTGCTTCACAGCCAGACAGGACACGGTAAAAATAAATGAATAAATAAATAAATAAATAAAATAAAAAAGATGGATCTGAAGCAATTGAGATAAGGTGACGTGGACCCGGAAACATGAACAGGGACAAAGGAGTTTACATGCTGAACCACTCATGGAGCACGGTGATCAGCGGAGAAGGCGCGTGCAGCAGAGGGTGATATCGCCCTCTGCTGCCCACGGATAAAAGGAAGCAACGCCATCAAAATCCGGCGGTTGCTCTGACGAAGGTGGCAGTGAAAGTCGAAACATGTCAGCAAAGGTAACAACAAACTGTTATCACTCTGTGTACAATGTTGTAATTTGAAGTTGTATATTTATATACTGTAATTAGATAATTTAATTACCTGATTTTGTATATTGATACAATCTAAGTAATCAATCAGAAGAGGTTGTTTTTATCATCAGGGAGTTTACTTAAACACTTTGTATTGATTGAGAGACAAGAAAGAGAGAGAGTTGGGATCGTTTAAGAAGCTTTAATTTCTATAATTATAAATTCTTACAATCTACCAGGACTATCTCAATGATGAATGCATATGGATTTAGATGTTTCGTGTTGGTGTGTGTGTGTGTGTTTTGTTCAGAATCTCTAGGCTGACGTAGCGAGTCTGGTTTGTTATGACTAGGCTACCACGAGGCTTCAGAAGCTGATGACATGAGCCGCCATTTTGTGCCGTGACCACGTACCGTAGGGAGTCTCCCGTGTAGATCAGGAATTGCCAGGTCCTCGGACCTTCATGGGTACTGGAGCTGGTTGAAACAGCGGTCGCAGCACACAACGCCCGTCTGAGGATAACTCCGGTTGTAGTCGGCAGGCGTCAGCAAGTTCACCCTTATTTTGAAGGAAAGTCGTTTCGTTGGTACAAACGACGGAAAATCTTCAGCTTGACAGATTTCAGCTCAAAGTAGGAAGTACATCTGGCCAGTCTGCACTTCCTAATGATGACGATGGAAATCCTTAGGAACTCGGATGTCCTGGAGCTGAGTTTAACATGAAACTGCTTAAAGTGGAACTGAACGTGGAACTGACTTAAAATGGCGTTGCCTTCTTTTTATATCTCCCAGTTGTTTAAGAATCTTAGTAAACCGGATTGGACTACTTTCATAAACAAACCAGATTCTGCCCTATGACAGACGAAAGTTCTGATTGGTTGAAAACAATGTGTCATGCGCTTCCATGGTAATGCAAATCAGTGTGTCTGGTGCAGCCCTGTTTATTCATTTAAACACATAACTCATGACATCTTTATTTCACAGATCATTCACCTGATTATTAATGATCAACAAATGCTTTGATTAGCTTATCACAAATAAAGTACTTTGATTAATCAATGAAAAGCGTTCTTCTTCTGTTCTTCTGTCTCTTCTCCTGGAATGTAAACATACTGAACCAAGCGTCCGACCTTGGCGGTGTTACTGTGTGAAGGGGCAGCTGTTAAGGGCAGACCATTATAAACTTCCTAACGCTACACATCCCCCCTTTTCAAGGTCAATGTGGTCCTGCAAGAGACCACTTGGTCGTTAAACAAACCCAAGTAATGAAGAATCTTGACAACCGACAGGACGTGACCCCACTGGAACAGCCAACTGTGGTGAGGTACGAACCCCACGCCGAAGAACAGTCTCGCACACTCCTCAGGAAGAACACAAGTCAGCAGGTTATTAACTATTCCCCAGGGAAGCCACAATTGAAGCAACAGCAGCTTATATCCTCACGGGCAAAACAGCAAAGAAGGAGCAAATCTTGTGTATATCCACGAGCAGGTAATTATTCCAAATAGCAAATTGATCTGAAGAACTAAAGAAAAGAAAATCGATAACCAACAGTGTACGAACGTAACAACGTTGTTCAAGGAGTCCCACTCCTAATTTTTTATAGAAGAAATCTGCATGTGTCTTTTATTTTGAAATTTGCTGGATCATTTACATTCCTCCTGTGTTTGATTTCCTGTCTGGTTCAATTTGAATTGCTTAGCTTGAAGTGGTCTGGAAGCATAGAACGTAAAAAATGAATGAAAACTGTGAATTTAGCAAAGCGCCACAACGTTACGTTTCTGGGACGTGCTGCTGTGATTTCAGTGGAAACAAACCCAATGACTATAACATCAGATATTTTTGCATCTTGCACTTTGCAGACGTTACAAGTCACATACGCATCCGGTGAAAAGCTGGAGTATGTTGTGTCAAAATGACAAAATCCACTTTAGCATTAGTCCCATATTAGCTTTTCTCTTCAGTCAGAATAAAACCTTTTTCCTCCAAACTGAAGTTAATAAAACAGTTATCTACAGCAGGTAAGATATTGCTTAAAACTTCACTACAGAACTCCATTCAAAAGAACCAAATTGTGGCTTTAGGCAACAAACATGCAAAGAATGATTTAATTTTCCTCTCACCAACAGCACTTCAGTTATCATAGCCATCATGGCACTGATGTTGGCTGAGGACTTGTGAGTGACGAGGCCTAGAGTGCGTAAACCTTCCAAACATGGAGGAAATGCCAACCCTGAGACTTGTCCTAACCTTGCCCTGAGCCATGTGTTGATGAGTCTTCACTGTGACTGAAACTTCAAAGGCTTTTCAACTCTTTAAGCAAGATGCTTCTTCTCTCATCCTCACTCAGTGAAATCTTTCTTCAGAAAGACATTTTGACAGGTGGCTCTGCAGCCTCTTGGAACAGCTTTGGCCGTTGTTGGACTCGTTAACCTGTGACTTTGATTTCTAAACTTTAAAACCTAATTTCAGCATCATACTAAAATCTGTCATTTTCACGGCACTGTAAGCGTGATCAGTAGTGTTGTGTTCAGATCACTTATTCAAAGACAGAGGAAAGATTATGTTCTTTTCAAAGGGTGCCTGCAAAAACGTGACAGATGCACAAATGAACACAAGGAGAAATGTCTTAATCCAAAGCCTCCAATGTCATAATTACAGCTCTTTTCTTCCTCCTTGGCACACAGAAAAGGAGCATTTCTCTCACTCGTCGCTTACATCTTCTCTCTCTTCATCTCACTGCACAGCTTGGCGAGCTGGTATTAATTGCTCCAAGACGCCATGGAAGCACAACAAGTGCTTCTCATCCTGCTATAATTGTGTCCGTGGGAGTTTGGGGAGAGCTTGAGAAGAAGGCTTTGCTGCTTATAGGAAAGGCTTTGTAGTAGTGGCTGCATAGTTCAGCAAAGCAGAGGATGTAAAATAACATGATATGATGGCACACTCTAGTGGACACATGGCATTAGAAATTATCCTTAAAGTTCAACTATTACATGATGTCTGGCATCTTAAAGCACATCCATATTCAACATAATTTCTGCATTTCATGTAGGTTTTGTTCTGATTTTGAGTTTAAGTCACAGTATTTGTGAATATGAGGGTGAATCGTTTCTATGTTTTAGGGCCCTGATAAGAGCTGGGTGTAAAAAGCAGCCTTTAAAATCTGGTCCAAGTTGAGTAAACCGTATTTTACAGATAAAAAATCATGTGGTAATATTCATCCAGACATGTTTACCGACAGTAAACTTATAATGGGGAGTTTTGTGCCTGCTTCGCCCAGATTGTGCATATTAATATGCTTTTACTTTGGTGTTCTCTTCTTTCATCGGGAGCTTTTGAGTTTTATTTTGACCGTAATCAGCATAATAAAGTTAAAGATGTACAAAAAACAGAGCCTGGTCACCTGAGTTGTGAATACATGCTGCAGCCACACTGCCAGATCTTAATAATACTTACAATATTTGAGCTATATTTTTATCTAATTATTCCTTTCTGGTCATAGAACATTTGTACGACAAAAAATATTTAAAAAATACAATAAAAAAATTTTACATCAAAGAATCAAATTATTTTCTTTGAAGTTTTGTCAAGTTAAAAAACTGTTTAAATTTGGAACATGTAGGAGTGACTTCGGAAATCAGGCCAAAATGACCGTATCGAGTAACTAAATCAGTAAAATACTTGTAATAATGCAGCATAATTCTCCTTTCTGTTTATTGACTGCTGTCTACATGCAGCTGTTTACTAGAGGCCAACCAATATGGTTTTTTTAAGGCCAATGCTGATTTTTAAAGAATTTTGTTGCCAATGGCTGATATCTATACACGTTTTAGCAGCACATAGATTGTGAAAGACATTTGAACACTCACTGTGTGCGATTTTAATTTGTAAATAAATCTCTTAATATTACTGAACTTCAAATATAAAACAAACTCAAAACATTAAAAAATATATAAGGTGTTGTGGTTCATTCAGTGCAGTAGTGGTGGCAGTTGGCCACACGGGTGCCTGATATGTGTGTGTGTGTGTGTGTGTATATATATATATATATATATATATATATATATTTTTTTTTTTTTTTTTTTTTTTACCGGCTTTTAAAAATAATAGAAAAATTGAATATGTCGGCCGGCCTCTACTATTTACCTTTATTGCCCCATTGTGGTGGCATTATGAGCTCTGACACTTGTTATAACTTTATACCAAAAATTTATTTTCACTAAAACACAATAGGCAGGCAGCTTCTTATCAAATATCTAAGGTGTGTCCAATTCTTTTTATCAGTTTAATATCTTAACTTATATTACATAACAGTGAATTCTGTGCATGGAGCACTTTACGTCTTCGTCTGCAATAAGCCTAAACTACTTGGAAAGGGACGTCCTGCTATCTGTTAAGAGGCACTTATGCAAATTAAAACCTACTTATGCTGCAGAGTTTTTCTAATCTGATCTGATAAATAACACACGTAATGTAAAGTTCAAAGTCTGCCTGGAGAAATTATGCAAAAAAATAAAAATAAATAAACCACAAAGGCGATGTTTGCGTTAGACATGAGTACTTTTTATTCAGCTAGTGAGTTACCAAGAGGAGAAAACTGTTTCCGTTGTCAAGCTAACTTTTTTAAAAGAGAATCTCGATTAGTTGGAAGTTCTCCCCAAAAAAGAAGGCTGATAGACGGTCTGATTGAGCCTGAGGTTGATTTTTACATCAATATCGGAGCCAAGACAGCCACCAACAGGGCCAATGGAGACCAACTCTACCAAAGCAACAGGTTTCTCCTCAGACAAATGCACTTCAGAATGACAGAATCACAAGAGAAATCAGGAGGAAAAAGAAAAAGATGCTCACAAGCTGATCATCACCAGCTTGCCAAATAATCGTTTCATTCACGAAAACAGAAAGAAAGAGATAGCATTGGATAAAATCCTGTGATTGGCATGATTGTGGCTGCCTCCCAATTCTTTACCGCCTGTCAGTCATTCAAACTCTGAACACATAAGACAAAAACAGGTTGAATTAAAAATCATTTCAACATCTTTTAATTCATTTTAGGGCCAGGTGAAGCTCACCAATACTCCATATTCTGAGGCATTTGGAACAAGAAATAAACAAACACATGAGCTTAGTAAAATTATCCGACGACTCTGGTTAATCAGTTAGTTGCTCACAAAAATCATAAACGAGTAAGGGGACTGGAAGAAGCTTTTTAAGGAGACTGAAAGTGCTTTATAGGATTTTGAGGTTTTTCTCATGAGACGGGAAAACGGGAATTTGATGCACCAAACAAATACGGATGAGTCCACCTATTGTCGAGTGTTCAGACACGTCGTCTTCAGAAGACTGTGAAAGCCTCTCCTTCGTGTGGTTTGGCTAATCTGATTTAAGGTCCTTCATCGAAAGTGTTGCAGTTTGAGCTGGGAGCTTGCTTGAAGGCTACTGTTTATTTCTACTGCGCTCCTAATAGGATAGGGGAAACAAAAAGAGGAACTCAGTGAAAAGAGCCAGACACAAACAAAATACCAACGCAACCTTGTAGAAATTCATCAAGACAAATCTGTTTGGTAGATAAAATCATATTAAAGGGAAATACATTCAGAACAGCAAACAAGTACAAATGCACTCCTATAAATGTTCATTCATGCAGCCAATTACAAAAACCTGCTAAAATGGGATCCTTTTGAAGCTTTCGTGTATAAAAGACAACCTCGTCTGAGATGAGACATTTTTAAAAATGCAGTCAACACTGAGTTTAGCTGGTTAGTTAATATACAGGTCCTTCTCAAAAAAGTAGCATATTGTGATAAAGTTCATTATTGTCTGTAATGTACTGATAAACATTAGACTTTCATATATATTAGATTCATTACACACAACTGAAGTAGTTCAAGCCTTTTATTGTTTCTAATATTGATGACTTTGGCATACAGCTCATGAAAACCCAAAATTCCTATCTCAAATTAGCATATTTCATCCGACCAATAAAAGAAAAGTGTTTTTAATACATAAAAAGTCAACCTTCAAATAATTATGTTCAGTTATGTACTCAATACTTTGTTGGGAACCCTTTTGCAGAAATGACTGCTTCAATGTAGCGTGGCATGGAGGCAATCAACCTGTGGCACTGCTGAGGTGTTATGGAGGCCCAGGATGCTTCGATAGCGGCCTTAAGCTCATCCAGAGTGTTGGGACTTGCGTCTCTCAACTCTCTCTTCACAATATCCCACAGATTCTCTCTGGGGTTCAGGTCAGGAGAGTTGGCAGGCCAATTGAGCACAGTACTACCATGGTCAGTAAACCATTTACCAGTGGTTTTGTCACTGTGAGCAGGTGCCAGGTCGTGCTGAAAAATGAAATCTTCATCCCCATAAAGCTTTTCAGCAGATGGAAGCATGAAGTGCTCCAAAATCTCCTGATAACTAGCTGCCTTGACCCTGCCCTTGATAAAACACAGTGGACCAACACCAGCAGCTGACATGACACCCCAGACCATCACTGACTGTGGGTACTTGACACTGGACTTCAGGCATTTTGGCATTTCCCTCTGCCCAGTCTTCCTCCAGACTCTGGCACCTTGATTTCCGAATGACATGCAACATTTGCTTTCGTCCGAAAAAAGTACTTTAGACCACTGAGCAACAGTCCAATGGTGCTTCTCTGTAGCCCAGGTCAGGCGCTTCTGCCGCTGTTTCTGGTTCAAAAGTGGCTTGACCTGGGGAATGCGGCACCTGTAGCCCATTTCCTGCACACGCCTGTACACGGTGGCTCTGGATGTTTCTACTCCAGACTCAGTCCAATGCTTCTGCAGTGGGTTAGGGTTGGCTTTGGGTCCAATTTTTGTTCTAGTATAAGTGGAGTCCCCTCTCCTTTCTCTGATGGATTTCCTTAAGAGTGACTGAAACCCATCACTGAAACCCGACAGAAAACCCTACCAAAAAACTAAAAATCTTCTGATTTACACGATTCACGTGAATGCCAGTTTGGCTTTAAAAACTGCGATTTTCTCCCAAAAAGGGACAAGTTTGCAGGGTATGTGTTTAGCACTATTTTGTTTCCTCCGGCATCTCAAGTTTCCAGTTCTAGCAGAAGCATCTCAGGGAAAACACCGAGGGGAGGTGGTGAGTGTTCTGTGACCACGCTTGCAGATTTGTTATAACAGCTTTAATGTCTCTAGAACGTATTTTATAAATACAAAACTGAACATTAATGAAGGTTTCGGTCATTTTAGGCAACCAAAAGCTTCCCAACCAAAATATTCTGTTTTTTTCTTTTTAAAGAATCTTGATTACATACTGAAAAAGGCCAATCCCAGTTTTCTTGCCTTGAGCTGATTTGCAATAAAAAGGATCAATGAATTGTGACGCTGATCTTTAATGGTGTGGTTGACATTTTCTTCAAGTCTCATCTTCACACACCTCTCCAGATAGCATTAGCTCTTCCCTTCTTTCATTAACAAACATCAAGATCCTAATGGCAAACGGTCACATGATGTTCTGTACACTTTTCACAAAAGCACAGCACAAACAATCCTACAGAGATAAAGTGTTAATAATTTACTGAAAAAATTACCAAAAGGCAAATGAACCATTCTCGTGAACCATTCACGTCATATCCTGTGTTATGAGAGGATATATTTATGTTCTGTTCTAATGGAGGAAGTGGAAAGACTTATCAATAGACAGCAATTTCTGTGTAAAATGAGCAAAACTGCTAGCTGTGACTTTAGAAAGAAGCAAACAGAGAAAATTAGTTTAAAGGTCCTGAGGAATGCACAAACCAAATAATCAGCCATGTTTACTCTGGCATGAAGCTGCAGCCACTACCTTCAGCTGGTGGTTGTCTCACTTAGAGATACAAAGATGACAAAGGAAAGCATTAGCAATCCAAACACTTCTACAACGCTGAGTACTGACTGGCCTGTTAAAAGAAAAGAAAATACAGCAAGTTAGTTAAAATAAACTAATGCCATGAACACTTGCTGAATGGGCTTTTTGGCTGGCTCGGTTGACACAGTGTCCTCTTTGAGGGGGTTCATGTCAATTCCCTGGGAAAGTCACTTATAGTAACCTGATCCATCTATCCCTACAAGGGGTGAAACTCTCAGGACATTTGGTCTATACGAAGCATGTGGTTAAAATCAATTGTATTCTTTAAGTTTAAAGAATAACATAAAAAAAACACTTTCCTAAAAACTGGGATATAACAATAACCCTAACCTATTTACAGTAAATCTTATAAGTTCATGGTATTCTGCAGTGAGATTTAGACGCTTAAGTTATCCAATCGCAGGTGTTATTGTGAAGGTAACTCTACTGGTCTGATGCCTCTCAAAGCTCCGGTAGGACAGGCCAAACAATAGACAACAATTACCCTTGTCAGGTGAGGAAGGGTGAGGCCTCAGCCCGGCTGATCCTGTCATGTAGAAGGTCAGGGATACAAAAGAAGCATGGCTCAACGCCTGCACGACGCAGGATGGAACTGACAGTTTGTTTCCAGAAGCCAGAAAACATTGACTTGAAATATTTATGAGGAAGTAAGCCAGTGCATATTAACAAGGTCGGCAGCTAGGAGTCGATATAGCATCGGTGGAGCGCCAGCAGTTTGGGAGTAGGAGAAAAAAATGAAACAGAGTGGGTCATGTGAATTTTATTGATGAAATTAACATTAGCTAATTAGCATATATAGGAAAAAATGCAGCAGAAAGCTACCTGAGGAGCTTTTATTAACCAGGCAAATATTATCTTATATAAACCTATTATTATGTTTTCCAGAAACACGTGAAAAGGCAAGAATACTCACTGAGCTTCTCTTGTAAACTTAGCGAAGTGCTAACTATGCCGTGCTAACTATTCAGTTGGTTTTGCAAGCTGGGAGCTTATGATGTTAAAGGCTAATAAAGCATGAGGAGCCAGTGGAGAGAGGAGAAGCTTGGTGTTCAAAGGCAGGTCAGAGGCTTTGTCTGGAAACGGGAATGCCGGGAATGCCAGGAATGTGGGCTATTTCGGGAAACCCAATAGTCATCGAACGCCACTTGGGCCACTCATGGCAACCTTAGCAGCAGAGAAAGGCTGACGCCAACTCAGGGTTTCCTGATTCTGCTTATGAGTAAATGGTAGCCCACCAATCTGCTGACAGGCATCGAGGAACTCCCATTTACTGCACATTTGATGCAGCTACAAGATGATACCACCTGAGAGCGTGGAATAAGATCAGCTGTTTATGCTACCACAACAGCTTGCAGCAGGAAGCTAGAAAAAAAAACTTTTCTCACTTTGAATTGAAGAGATTTTATAGTTTTACATTTGTACAAATAACGTTTTAGTTACTTCTCCTATTAAGCAAATTCATCTCACCTTCCTGAGAGCCTCCTCCTCTTCCTGACGTTTTTCATAATGTGAAAAGTCATCAAAGATTGAGGTGGTATGCTTGTAAGTGGCGATAACTTTAAGCACTTGTTTGGCCTTCTCCAGAGGCACTTCCTGTGTGTCCCTGGAGTTGGTCACTGGCTTGTTGTCATTGTTCTCCAGCCGGATGTGACGCAGCTGGTTGTTGGGCACGTCTTTGACGAAAATCCACTTCACCTCAAACTTGCCCTTCCACTTGTCCTGAGACCAGACGCCTGCATAGGCATTGTAGTCCACCGGTGAGCGCATCTCTGCCACGCCACAGAAGTGTCCACTGCCGTTGACGCTAAACAAAAGGTACAGGGGCCCCTTGTTGCCCAATGAACGATAAGCGCTATCCAGGCGCTTGTTGCCATGTTCTGTACTGCACCAGATAGAGTACTTGATTGAACGGTGAATGTCATCTTCTGAATAGCTCTTGATAATGAACACGCGTCCATTTTTCAAGCTCCAATCAAAGTCTTTGGGGTTGTAGTTGTTGAGGACACGGAGTTTCTCCAGCACAGGATGCACCTCTCCAGAGCAAGGGGAGGCACTCAGTGGGACTCCACCACCAAGGCCATAGGCCTCACCTCGGTTCCTGGGAGCAATCCAGCGATTTGGGGGTGGGCCAGGCTGATGAGGTTGCTGCTGATGAAGGGGCTGTGGAAGGCCAGGTTGAGAGGGAAGGTGTAGGTGTGGAGGGCCAGGGGGCAAAGTCTGGGGGTGTTGAGGGGAATGGAGAGATTGGAGTTGGAAAGGCTGGTGTTGATGCTGAGGCTGGTGAGGTGGCTGAGGGGGTAAAGGGTTCTGCAGAAGGTGTTGGGGCTGAGCTAAGAGAGCCTGTTGAACCAGAGGCTGTGGGGGAATCATAGTCTGAGCTAACGGTGGCTTGTTTAAAGAGCCCTTATCGTCCCAAGTGCCAATGTTCATATTGTGCTTTATCGGGGGTGGGGGAATGGCGGAGGGCCCCCCCATCCCCATGTTGGCTTTGGGTTTGACCTTGGGCTGGGGTTTGGCCGGCTTCTTGGCAATGGCTGCCCAGGTAGCATTTTTGGGCACAGACGAGTTAACAGACGGAGGGAGGTTATTGGTCACAGTACTGCTCATCCCAGCTGTGCCTCCTAAGGGTGAACCCAGAGTTTTTGTGACAGCTGCCACCATCTCTGTACCCAGTTTTAGTCCCGCCATACTCTGCTCAATGCTATTCAGCACAGGGACCTTACTGAGCTGAGTGTCGTTTCTAAAACCTGCTTGTCCATCTGCGATTGCCCGACCCAGTGAACTAGGAGCGTAGCCATAGCTGTTACTGTAGACTGAGCTCTGCGATGACTGACCCTGAGAGACGCTGTTACCCCAGGTAGAAAAGTCTGCACTACCCGGAAAAAAATTGAAGCCGTGTTGGCCGAGGAAGGGCGGAGTGTTTCCCAGGGTACCTGGCTGGCTGAAAACACCATCAGGGATAAAGTGCGGCTCGCCATTGCTCATCTGTCCATAGGTAGTAAGGTAGGGCATAGGTGGATCTCCTGCTGTAGACCAAGCAGCCTCTCCCAGAGAATAAGGAAAACCAATGGATGGAGCATAGTAGCTGGGCATGTAGGGATCAGACATTGGTGGATAGCTGTTACTCTGCAGAACAGGAAGACAATCATGTATTATACAGAATAATAGAACAAATTTAACAATTGAATGCAAAAATATATAAAAATCAATCTAGAATTATCTCAGTAATGCTATGACTATTGTCCCCTGGAATATACAACTTTTTAAGCTAATTTTGATCTATAGGTATGAGAATAGCGGATGGATGGATGTGTGCCTTGGGTGGCGCCAGGCAGTAGTTGCTTAAGCGATGGCAAGATTAGGCAATGCAATGGCTTCAACCTGCGCCAACGGACAGCAACAACCCTAAACACTCACCAAGCAATTGTACAGCAACTGAAGCTAAAAAATCCTGGCGCCACTCATGGTGTGTGTGTGTGTGCGCGTGGTTAATGAAAAACACTGTAAACTCAACCAATTCTTTGTATTTAGATGTAAACACAAGCATCAGAGCATCTCCATTTTAAAGGTGTGGTTGAATGAACATATATTTTTTAAATGTTTATTTCTGATCATAATCTGTCATTCGGAGTTTTGCATGCGGGCTAAACACATAAATAGTCTCCTACACCCATCTACTGCATCAGCTTCGGAGTGAAAATAGACGTGAAACTCTAGGATTTGAAAATCCTCACATATCTATGTCATGCTGTGAATTAGCATTCATGGACTCAAAGATCTTGACTCACAACGAAATAGGCTGTTGTTTTAACGTCTGTAATCAACAGTGAACATCTTGGCTAGTTTGACCATTAGCATTAGCAACTTCACCTCATGGCCGAAGCTGCTCCAGGCTTGTGTTATTTGCGGAGATAAAACATCCACGTTGCAAGTCAGAGGTAGAGTCGTGTTGCTGTTATCCAAGGCGAGATGTCCAAATATCAGGAAATAAGACTCTAAATCCCATGGTGTTTGGCTCTCCTGTGATGTCACAAACTTGTACCTGCTGAGGTTTGTGGGCTTTTTAGTGCCCAAGGCACTCATTCCTACTATTGCAAATATACTGATTAAACGAGTAATTCACACCTTTAAAGATAACATATGCTTTATGATTTTACTTTGTCTGTCCTCACAAGCTCCCATAGAAGGAAACACAAGGTCTAGTATGGTTTCGCCCAGAGACTTAGACCTTGTATTTTAGACCTGATTTTTACGGTTATATGTTGCAAAGCCACCGATATTTTTCAACAACTGGGCATCATTTAATTCATTTTCAACAAAATTTTAATGGATACTTCCAAATATTGACTGTAAAACTACACGTTGTCTCGAAAAAATGAAAAAAATTGAAGATAATTTGAGTACAAAGCCCAATTTATTTATATTATAATCGTTGAGAATAGATCATCACAGTAACATGCGGTTTTTTTTTTGGGGGGGGGGGGGGGGGGGGGGGGGGTTGTACAATACCTGATTTGTCTGGCCGCTTAGGTAAGGCTCAAAATCATCATCATTCCCACCATCCTTTTGATGCATTGATCCGTTTTGCACTGAATGTGGAAAAACAAAACTTCACATGAATAAATGATCACATTTATGTTGTGCTGTTATCAAATATTTAACAGGTAGGTATGTGAATAGGTGTGTGCTGTAATGTCCCAGGCTGCAGCTTAAGCTACAGTTTACAAACAAAAACAGAGCAGAGCCACGCTGCTGCAGCATTTAGAAATCAAGGGCTTACCTTTATTTCCTTGTCCTTTAGGTCTCTGGAACATCGGACAGGAAAGAAAGATGACAGTGTTATGAGATTTTGCCAGGAGACACTGACAGAACAGGGTAAATACGCGATCTGACCGAATATATGCATGGGGGCTGTAACCCAGCCCGGATGTTTAACATTTACAGGTTGCTTCGTCTTACTGACCGGATGTCATACACTCTGGCATCCAGTAAATGGTGCCGCATTGGCATCTGGCTACAGCCAGTGTGGCTCGGCCTACGTTTCAGCTAACAGCCGTCACAAATCAAAGACTTTGGAGCCTGTTTGATCTGGCTAGCCCGATCAAAGTGTTGTCGCTGAAGTTTCATTTCCCCGCATAGCTAGCACATAGCACCGCAACAACTCTCGGTACACGAACCTGGTCGACTGTGGTCGCAGACATCCTCCAGGAACAGACCGCTGCTTGTGTGACCGTCCACGGCGTTTCCCCTTCTGCCTGTCTGCCTCTGCTCTCCGGTGCTTCCCAGGCTCGTCCGGTCACTTTAAACGTTACGAGGCGGCGTTTTCCTGCTGTTCTCAGACCTGACGACGACCTGCCTCTTCTGCCTGGTTGCTTCAGACGGCGACTTCGTGTAGCGTCAATTACCGCGTCCGTTCCTACCACAAATGATATTTATTAGTCAACCTGAAACTGACTAGTGCCTCTGGAATATCCCTTATTCCACAATGGCGGATAGGTTTTTTTTTTTTACTCGCGCTTGCTTCCGTTGCGTCCTGCTGCTCCGTGACCTTCCGCCTGTGACGCTCTGAGTCATGTTACAAGCTGACACCGCATGACAGCAAGGCACACACTCGACTTTTAGCTACTTTTGTTTTATCTTTTACTGTGAGACGTTTTTTATATCTACGCTACCTAGCCGCAATGCTTACTGACAGCAAACAGTACCTTAGAGGAGAGCTATTTAGCTTAGCAACTACTTCCAATCTTACATTATGCAACAACCACAAGTTAAAAAAGAAGAAAATGAAAATGGATGTTAGTACGGGTTTCCATCCGTGCCAAAAATGAAGATTTGCACCTTAGATCGAAAATAAATATTTTTGCTAAATAAATTTGGTTTGCTGCTCTTTTAAGGCATCGTGCATGCCGTAACATGTTTGGAGTGATCAACAAGAAGGGTGGGGCTGCTCATTACTATAACTTCATGTTTGGAATTTTGATTTGTGTTATTTAAATTTTTCGGCGGGGGCTCCATGTCTTTTTCTGTAACTTTTGATCAGCTGTAAACAGTTTAAGCGTTAATTGTTTTCAGCAAATAGAATGCTCAGGAAATGTTTTGTCTCACTTCCATTTCTTCTTGTTGCATGATGAGGCTGTACTTGGAACCATGCAAAATATTTTTTTAATTATTTTTTATTTTTATTTATTTTTTGCCGCTTCTCAGTTGGTTTTAAACTTGTATTTATTAATTTTCATATAAACACACATGCGTGCGCGCGATTTTGAAATGTATAACAGAAAAAAGATTAGGGGCATTGGAAAAAGAAGAAAACCCATTCTGACGTTTTGACTTCTGAGAAAAAGTCAGAATACGGAGAAGTGAGAATTATGTTTCTTTTAAGAAGCTCTAATCATGTTCCGTAATATGTATATATTCCATGCTATAAAAAGAAAACTGATAGAACAGAGAGATGGCGAAAGCTGGAAGAGCAACAATAGCGGGTAGGCACGGCTGTGCTGTGACTTATTTGGAGTGGGGTGATTTTGTAGAAAGTGGCAGTGATATGGAAATGAGTTTTGGACAGGAACAGGTAAAGAAAAAGAGAGCATATCATGTTGAAGGAAGTGAAAGTAGAAAGCAAAGGAGAGTGGTGCATGGCGATGAGGACAGTGGTACAGAAGAAAGGAAGGAATTTAAAGTTATATTGAGATTTAGAGAGGGAAATGGATTCAGGCTTTGAATCCAGTGAAGTTGACAACAGTATTGAAAAATCAAGTACAACTTGCTAAAGTATTGAGAATGGAAACTTGCTAATACTATGTAAAAGTAAAGAGCAGAGTGAGAAAGCCTGCAAAATGAAGGAAGTGGGAAAATGTCAGGTGATTAGTGCTAGTAAGGTGGGAATGGGAGAGAGAGGAGAAAAAGGGGGTGATTTGGGGGATACCGCTGGAATTGTCAGCAGAAGAAATCAAAGCTAATATAAAAGGTGCTATGATAAAAGAGGCAAAACGACTCACAGTATTCAAAGCTGGAGTGAGAAGAGAGACAGAGAGCATCCTATTGGAATTTGAGGGAGAAAATCTACCTGCAAAAGTGGCACTAGGGTACATAGCATACATACTCGGTGAGAGAATATATACCAAAACCGTTAAGATGCTTTCAATGTCAGAGGTTTGGACATACTGCAGCAGTTTGTAAAGGGAAAGTGAGATGTCCTAGATGCAGGGAGGATCATGAGTACGAAAACTGTGGAAGAAAGATGAACCCAAAGTGTTGTAGTTGTGGAGGAGAGCAGTGTGACGTATGCTGGATGCAAGATAATGAAAAAGGAAATGCAAATACAGCAAGTGAGAGTTAAAAACAAGACCTCATATGCTGAAGCAGTGAAAATGGTAACTCGAAGAACTGAGGATAGTAATGAAGGAATAAGGGAAGAATCTACCATTAGGAGGGTTGGAGAAGAGGACGGGAAAATATTGGTGGATCTAAAGAAACTTGTTACATTCATAGCTGGAGTGATAAATGCAACAATGGAGACCAAATCAAAAACTGAAAAAACTCAAATCATCGTAAAAGCAGCAGCGAACCACCTAGATATCAGCGATCTCACATGGGAGGAGGTACGAAGTACTCTAAGTACTCAAGCAAGTCAGGACTTGGGAAATGTGGGGTGATAAATGTTGAGGGTTTTACAATGGAATGCATGGAGTTTAATAGCTAATGGACAGGAGCTTAAAAGTTATACTGATAAATCAGAATTCAAGCCTGATATTATATGTATTCAAGAATCATGGCTAAAAGTAGGGGTTGACTTTAAAATTCATCAGTATGTAGAAATGAGGTGTGATTGATCAGGGGGAGTAGGTGGTGGGTGTGTGACATTTATTAAAAATAATGTTCATTTTAGAACTGTAGAGATCGGAAAAGAAGAAGAATTTGTAATAGTGGAGGTGTTTACTAATCAGGGGAAAGTTATTATAATAAATTATTATAATCCATGCAAAAGATTAGAAATTGAGGGAATAAGGTCAAGAGCTGGGATTAATGGCAGACACTTAATTGTGCGCGGTGATTATAATGCACATAATACTGTGTGGGGGGCTAGGAAAACTGTTTAAATGGGGAAATAATGGAACAAATTATGGAGGAGGCGAATCTGGTATGCCTTATTGATGGGAGAGGAACTCGATTTGATGTATATACAGGTAAAATGTCAGCATTAGACATAACTTTAGTATCTAGTGAGTTGGCAGGAATAAGTGAATGGGAAGTACTAGAAGATACAATGGGAAGTGATCATTGTTTAATTCTAACGAAACTTTTCGAGACTAGAGGGATGATGGTGGAAGGCAGGGAAGGGAGGTGGATTTTTAAAAGGGCTAAATGGGGTAAGTTTAGGAATAATTGTGAAAAATGGAGGTCAAAAGTAGTGATATCAGATAAAGTTGAGGAAATGGAAGAAGTATTAAGAAGTGTGGTAATTGAGGCTGCAGAGTTAGCAATACCAAAAACTAAAGGTAACGCAAGGGAGAGGAAGAATGTGCCTTGGTGGTCTGAAGTCTGTGAGAAAGCAATTAAAGCAAGAAATAAAAGCCTAAAAATACTAAGGAAAACACATAATATGGAAAATTTACTGAAATATAAAAAGTTGCAAGCAAAGGTGAGAAGAGTTGTTAAAAAATCAAAAAGAGAAAGTTGGAGAAATTTTTGTGAAAAAATAGGGAGAACTACGCCAATAAGTAATGTTTGGGGAATGATAAGAAAAATGAAAGTAATAAGGAAAGAATGGAGTTATCCGGTGTTAAAAGTAGGAGATGAGTTAGCTGTAACTAATGAGGAAAAAGTGGAAGTACTTGTTAAAACATTTGTTAAACTCCACAGTACTGGTAATTTGTCAGAAGAAGGAAAAGAAAGGAGAGAAGTGAATAGAAGAAAAAAATGAAATACAAGGGGGAGGAGGTGGGAAGATAATGTTAACAGTACTATGGATATGCCTTTTTCTTTGTTTGAGTTGGAACGTGCATTAGCTACAACAGGTGTGACTAGTCCAGGAAAAGATCAAATTTGCTATATAATGTTAAAACAATTAGGGAAACAAATGAAATTAAAATTATTGGAGATTTATAATATGATATGGGAAACAGGAACAAAAAATTGGAAAGAAGCAGTTATTGTACCAATAATTAAAGTAGGAAAAGAATCAAGTCCAGATAGTTATAGACCCGTTGCATTAACATCTCATATAGGTAAAATAATGGAAAGGATGGTAGTGGATAGATTAACAGATTATTTAGAAAGAAATAAAAAGATATCACAGTATCAAAGTGGGTTTAGGAAAGGGAGAGGCACGATGGATGCAATTGTTCATTTAGAAACAGAAATTAGAAAAGCATTAATTAATAAAGAGAGATTAGTAGTAGTCTTTTTTGATGTAGAAAAAGCCTATGACATGGTGTGGACAGAGGGACTGTTAATAAAACTTAAAAAATTAGGAGTAGGAGGAAGAATGTATAACTGGATTAAAGATTTTTTGAGTGAGCGAAATATTCAAGTAAAAATAGGAAGTACATTTTCTAGGGGGTGTAAAGTAGAAAATGGTACTCCTCAAGGAAGTGTCATTAGTCCAATATTATTTACTAATATGATAGATGATGTGTTTCGGAATGTGGAGAATAAGTTTGGTAAGGCATTATTTGCAGATGATGGAGCAATATGGAAGAAAGGGAAAAATATCCAATACGTGCAAAAGAAAGTTCAGGAAGCAATTAAGATGGTGGAAAACTGGTCATATGAATGGGGTTTCAAATTTTCAGTGGAAAAAACTAAAAGTATGGTGTTTACAAAAGGCAAGAAAGTAATGGAGAATTTAACATTGTATGGAAAAGAGTTGGAGCAAGTAGATACATTTAGGAGTAATATTTGATAAAAAGTTAATATGGAAGGATAATATAAATAAAATAGAGGAAAGATGCAAAAAAGTAATAAATATAATGAGATGTGTGAGAGGATGTGAGTGGGGGGCTAGTGCTCAGGAATTAAAATACATGTACAGTGCAATGATACGATCAGTGATAGATTATGGGAGTATAGTTTATAGTTCAGCATCTAAAACATTAATGAAACGGATTGAACTCATACAAAGTCAAGCATTAAGAGTGTGTTGTGGAGCAATGAAAACTACACATATTGTGGCAATACTGGTAGAAATGGGAGAGATACTAATACAGCTTAGAATAAAACAGATAGCTTTAAATTACTGGGCGAATATACAAGGGTGTGAGGACAACGAACACATGGCAAAAAGGGCGCTGAGTCAGTGTTGGGAAAAGGAGAAAATAAAGAAGGAATATGGTAGCTGGAAAGTGCAAGATTGAGCAAAAGAGAGTAAGATCCAAGATAAAGTACAAATTAAAAAGTTTTTATATACAGTTAATCCAAAATGGATATTTCCAGAAGTGTGTGTTGATTATAGTATTTATGATAAAATAAGAAGCAGTGGGGGGAAAGGAAATTGGGATAAAATTACAGAAGATAGGTTAAACAGCTATGAGTCTTTTATGCATATATTTACAGATGGATCAAAGGACCTGGAAGGGGGAAAAACCAGTTTTGCATTTGTGATACCACATATAGGAGTAGTAGTTAGGAAAAAAACTCCAGATCATTTATCTGTGTACACAGTGGAGATGATAGCTATATTATTTAGTCTTCAATGGATGGAACAAAATAGAATTTAAAAAGGAATTATATTTACTGATTCGTTGTCTGTATTAGTGTCAGTTAAATTAATGTCTACCAAAAGTCGAATAGATATTTTATATGAAATATATGAGACCATATTTAGATTAAGGAAATTGGGTACAGAAGTTAACTTTTTATGGGTACCGGCACATAGGGGAGTAGAAGGAAATGAAATGGCAGATTTTTTTGCAAAAAAGGCAATAAGAGATAGGAAAATAATAAATATTGCATATAGTGTCGCTGAAATTAAATCTATCATTAAAGCACATATAATGGAAGAGTGGCAAAGAATGTGGGACAGGGAAGAGAAAGGAAGACATTAATTTCAGATACAACGGAAAACAGGAAAATGGAAAAATATAAGGATGAATAGTAGAGATCAAAGAATAATATCAAGATTAAGAATGGGACATACTGGGCTTAATAATACAATGCATCTGATAGAGAAACATCCCACAGGTTTGTGCGGATGTGGGGTGGGGGGAGAAACGGTGGAACATGTTTTATGTAACTGCATAAAATATGAGGAAAGTAGAGGACAACTCAGGGAGGAATAAAAAAACATAGGAGGTGGAGTGATAAGTGTAAAGAATTTGTTAAATGGTGAAGAAAGGAAATATAGGTTGGTTATTGAGTATCTGAAACACAGTAGTTTGTTTAATAGAATTAAGGTTTGTGTTTTTGTTCACTCCAGCACAGTAGGTGGCGAAAATACACCTAGAAGTTAGATGCCACCCGCCAATAAACAAGAAGAAGACGAAGTTGGGGGGGGGGGGGGGGGGGGGGGGGGGGGTAAACCAACGAGAGTTGCCTTTGCCTACTCTCGCGATAACTCATCAGTTTTCGCGAAGCAGTATGGCAGCCGTCTCGCTGAGGTCCTGCCGCAGAGGACTTTCACAAATTTTAAGAAATGGAGGTGTCGCGGCGTCACCTACAGCGCGGCTACAAGGTTTGTTGAAATGTTTTCTTTTGGACTAATTAATTTTCGCAGCACTCGCGTGCCAGCCAAGTGTTATACAACACAGGAGGGGGTGTGGCGAATGTGCCGTCCTTAAAAACGCAGAGCATGAGGATGTAAACTGAAGCGTTTCCATGCCTGTTAGGGTTTTATGATATTTTTGTTGTTCCTTGACGTTGATATCCTCTACAGCTAGTCAGCTATATACATACATTTTCTCACATCTTTGAATAACAGCACTAATGTGTTCACCAGGAGACAGGAGACACAAATCTTCAGTTCAGTTCGCCTCCCGACCAGAGCTCCCTAAGCTGGCCTACAGAAGGGTGAAGGGAAAGAGTCCTGGGGTGGTTTACCTGCCGGGGTATGGCTCCCACATGAACGGACAGAAGGCTGAGGCTCTGGAGGAATTCTGCAGGTCGTTAGGTCACTCATGTCTCAGGTAATCCAAACACACTCTACTAAAGGGATCCAACTTTAACTAGTTCACTATAACATGTTTTCATATACTAACTACATCAAACTGTAGCATGTACAACTTAACAACAAGCAAGCCTTTTAACTATGTGACTTAATTGCTTGTTCTGTATTTTCGGTGCTTTTTTTGCAGTTTCAGATAGAAAAGGTTAATTATTGCAACCCGTTAACTTAGCTTTTATTAAGCGCACTCAAAGTCTAATCGCCTCTTTGAGGTAGTGTTGTTAACATAGGCATGTCGTGCATCATCATGATTGAGGATTAGCACATCAGTCAGGGCTTCTAGTTAATTCATAAAAGAAATGTAACATTTATTTTAAAAAAATTTATTAAGGCTTCAATTTTTGGCGAGGTAGCAAAAATATGGAGGAAAACCGGTTGCAGAAAACCCATAGAAATGTTCAGAAAAGTCTTGAATTACTGTTATTTAATTTTAGAAGCAGATACAGGTCAACTGTGTCTCCTCACACTGTAAAACAACAAGCAACCTCCTCATTTAGCACTTTACCTATGAACTGCTCTAAACCTAGTTGTTTTTTAAGCAGATCTGCTCAGAGTCGAAATCTGTCTCTGAAAACATTGAATTCCTAATTGAATATCTATAATGACTATGATTGTTGTTTAAAAGCTGAAACTGCTGCAGAAATCAAATCAAACATGTTTTTTCATCTTATCAGATCTCAGATATTTCTAGTGTTGCTTAAGAGCAGGCAGCATATAACTGTTTAAAAAGTACAAGTCAAAACCTGTAGAGAAGTTGACTTTGAGCTGTTGACAATGAAACAATGATCTTTGTTATTTGGGATTAAAGTAACCTAATGTAAAAATCCTTCACTTTTTAATACTCACAGGTATTGTTTACATTTGTCCAGGTTTGACTACACGGGGCATGGAGCCTCAGAAGGGGTGTTAGCAGAAGGAACTATTGGCACCTGGAAGAAAGATGTTCTCTTTGTGTTGGACGAGTTAACAGAGGGGCCACAGGTACATGTTCTGGGATCTGTTGTTGTTTAGAAGTTAATGCTAGATGTAAACTTTTGAAGATTAAAAAAAAAAAAAAAAACGTTCCCCCGTAAGGATAAAGATTGATCCCATCTTAGAGGGTCATTCTTCTGTGAAGCATATTGATGGTTCTGCTCTGTAAACAATAGCTTCAAAGAATTTCATTCAAGATTTGATTGGAAAGAAATATTTGATTGTTTGTTTGAAATCTGGAACAAATGCTACCTTAAACACAAAAATGAATCCGATTTAGATGACGTATCTGACATTACTTGTTCTATCTTAAAACCAGCTTTGATCCCTTAAAATATTATCAGGTCTTCAGTTCATAATACAAATTAATTAAAGCAACACAGCAGGTTTTCCACTCCTCCCACCTACTGGTTGAAGGCAGATTTACAACTGTTGTAAACAAGCCTGCTGCAGCTATCGCTAGCACTGAGCTAACGCTAACATGGGCCAACTGATCCTACAATAAACTACCAAATAAAAAGGTAAAAAAAAATACAATATTCCATGCATTCAACCATCCATACATACATTTTATCCACTTATCCAGGGTCGGGTTGTGGGGGCAGCAGCCCAAACAGAGAGACCCAGACTTCCTATTTCCCAGCCACTTGGGGCCCTGACCAGCCGAGTAACATACTTCCTCCAGCTTGTCCTGGGTCTTCCTTTAGGTCCTCTCCTGGTTGGATGCCTGGAAATCTGTACCAGGGAGGTGTTCAGGAGGCATCCTAACCAGATGCCTGAGCCACCTCAACTGGCTCCTCTTGATGTGGAGGAGCAGCGGATCTACTATAAGCCGCTATCAAATGGTCTAACTTCTCACACTATCTCTAATGCCTGGGCCACACCGTGAGAACCCTATCGACGTGACACACTGTACGGTCCATTGAGCCAGACTGCACAACGTCTCGCTCTAGCAGGACACGCTACGTCATGAGCGCACCCCCCAAAACAGCTAACTGAAACAACAATGCTGAAAAAAGAATTAAGCGCCACTGTTAACACTTCTTTTTTTATTTGTCTCCGAACCCGAACTCCCAAAAAGAGTGGTCCGCTTGTTCCTGTGTGTCGCCTCCACTGTTGCTAATGTTGCTAATTCTTCTCCCATGTTGCTCTCCCATCACCAGCTGTTTGCATCAATCCTTGGGTGTATTTTCATTCGTGGACTGCAGCCGGGAGTTGTAGGTTTTCAAGAAGTGCTTGAAGACTGTTGAAGGCAGGATTTGTTCGTGAGAGTGCTCAAAAAGCTGTTGCAGTCTGGTCACACTGGACATCCTCAAATTTGAAAATCACCCTGTCGTTCTCCAGTTTTTGTCACAATTCTGATCACAACGAGGGATTTGGCTAAGACGGCCGAAAAATGCACAGTGTGGTCCTGGCTTTGGAAAGAGCCCAAACACCCTGCAGAGAAAAAATTTTTTAGCTGCTCGTATCCACAAAAAATATTACTTACAAGTCCAGTAGCAACAAAGCCAGGTCACCATCAGTCTGTGATCTCATAGCCTCCTTTAGCACCCTCAAACTAGTGTAAAAGCAATATTCTTGTTTTTTTTTTTGGCAGTCTGTAAACTGACACTGCTAACTGCTAGCCTTTATTTTGGCACAGTAAACAGGTATTGCTGTAAGGCAGGTAAAGACCTCACTAGTGTTCCTACTCAAACCACAAAGCTGTTAAGTGCGGTTTATGGTCAGCAGGCGGCTGTCTAATTTGAAGTTGCTCATGTTTCTGCCACAAGAACCACTGAAGCCAGTTTGAAAGCAATAACTAGTGTTAAAAACTCATTAGTGTTGCTTTAAAGAATTCTGGAATGCTAGAACATGAGAGTAAGACAAAATATGAAGAACATGTTTGTGAGGAAGGAACTGAGTAATCCATGCTCAAAGTGTATGTGAGGCACTTCAGTTTTTTCTTTATGATCTGAGATGTCAAACAAGGAAATGACACGGATACATTGAAAGATTACAAAACTAAGTTATTGTAAATAATTTAAGACTATTGTAAAACTAGATATATGAGAATGAGGGGAATTGGAATTCATTTCTGCCTCCAAAAGAGGGCGCTGTTGCTCCATATGTAGGCATGGGCTAATTGCGGTTTTATTACTGCTTTCGTTTGCTGTTCCCTTTGTTTAATTTGTGTTTTTAAAAAAGTGTTACCTGATTTTTTTTATGTATTTAAGGTTGTTTGGTAATTATTTGATTTCTTTTGTCTATAATATAGATATTGGTGGGATCCAGCATGGGCGGTTGGCTTATGCTGTTGGCAGCCATTGCAAGACCAGAAAAGACAGCAGCCCTGGTCGGCATCTCCACTGCTGCTGATCATTTTGTCACAGCGTACAACTCTCTTCCACTAGAGGTAGAACCATGTCATATTATCAAACACATCACTTGTGTTTTCTGTGTTTGTTTTAACATCTGAGTGAGGTCTTTTCCCGTTTTAAATCCACAGACCCGCAAGGAGTTTGAGGCCAAAGGGGAGTGGACACTGCCATCCAAACACTCCGAAGAGGGTTTTTACAAGTTTAGCTTGGACTTTCTGCATGAGGCTGAAAATCACTGTGTTCTCCAAAGCCCCATCCCCATCACCTGCCCCGTTCGGCTCCTCCACGGTCTTAAAGATGAGGATGTCCCCTGGCACATCTCCATGCAGGTGGCGGAGCGTGTCCTGAGCCCTGACGTGGATATCATCCTGAGGCGACACGGCCAGCACCGTATGTCGGAGAAAGATGACATCAAGCTTATGGTCTACACTATCGATGATCTCATAGACAAGCTGACCACTTCGGTTTGAGGAAGAAGACGACATGGTCTTGACAAAAAAATTAAGACTGGGAAGTTAGTCCTTAAAGAAATTACCAAACAACGGCATGTTTCTTTGCCAAATATGACCTTTGATGCATCTGTTTTGTTTCCCTTTTTCAGTAATAATTTACATGTTATCATGGTAAAGTGCAAGTTATATTGAAAGGTTGTATTTGTTTGTTTTAGGTTATTGTTACCTCTGTCAACCAGTCTTAGGTCTGCCATCATCGTTCCCACTCTCCAGCTGTTGTCCTCAAAGTAGACTCACAAAAGTTTTCCTGTGCCTTTTTATTCGCTTTTTGCCCGTTTTTGACCAAATAAAACCTCTGCACACTAGAATTCAGCTGTGAAATCTGTTAAAGTGCACAAAATGTGACGCAGATATTTTTGCAGCATGTTTAAAATGTATACATTCCAGGCCCACCAAGACAAAAAAACACCACTTTTATAGGTTTTATTGGCTGTAAATGGGTGTTATATGTCACGAAAGCCACCCAGAAGTTTTTTGACACAAAATCGCCGTGTGGAATCTGTTGAGTTTGGTAGAAAATTCTACAATGACAACCGTAGACGAACTAGAGCATTTAAAGGCATACTATGCAACTTTTTGTATTTTTACATATTTTTTCTTGAGCCAGTATGTGAATGAAAATGAACATTACCAGGGTTAGTGAAATGTCACTAGGACTCCCACTGCCCCCTGTGACCAGAACATTGCACTTGCCACCTGTTGGATTTAGAAAACATTGAGCTGACATGCCTGGCTGCAGGCTGCTGCTAGCATGTTTTAGATCATGAACACAGCTGATTTGTTTGATTTAGCGATGAACCATTCCTGTAGACACTAATGAAAGCTGAGGAGACATTTCAGCAGTTAGATTAAGATATTAAATGAGGAACGCAAAGCGCGGAAATGAGGTTAATGAACACTATGGGGTGCTAAAAACAAACCAAAACTGCAAAGTGTCCCTTTAACACAAGGAAGTTCCATTATGAATACATAAAAAAAGAAGCTGTATTTAGTTATTTAAACATGCTTAAACCTAATTCTTTTGGAAACCGTGACTGTCCGGTGTATTTTCACTTGAAAACAACTATTGCTGGATGGTGACATTTTATTACACACATGTATAAAGGTGCTCACACTTGTGAGAATCAGTTAATTAAAAAAAACTTTGTTTAGCAGACCTTATTTTTGGAGCAGTTAACGTTTCTGCACAAAGCTGCATATTTGGGGTTAGATTAACTAATAAATCATGACACGGTGTAATTTGCCATGTGTTATTGTTCAGCTGAGTTGTATTTATCTAATTTGGGGATTTTATGAGAACCAGATGATTTTTATTTTTATTGAAACCACAAAAATCAAGAGATGTGAATAATTATCAAATCTGATGAATGTGTAGTAATTATTTATGAGCACACGCTACAGCCTTGTTCCATTACCTCCTGTACATGCTGCTGGCCTTTAGTCATTGTGAAGCCTGCTGAATGGAGCCACTGGACTGTTTATTATTAACAAGCATCTACTTTATGCTCAATGAGCCAAATGAACCACCCATCTTCAGTTCTTAACTGCAGTAATGACCTTTAGGTTATGACTGAGCTCTCCAGTCAGTCATTTATTGATCTCTAAACCAAAATGTAATTTTATCGTAGTACACCATGACAGATGTAATTAAACCAGATGAACCATGCAAGAAGGTTCATGTTTGAATTTCAGTTTCTTGCACTACAGTTGCTGCAGTGTAGTGAGCTAAAAAGCCCAAAACACTACAAACAGGGATGGCTATGATAATTAATAAAGTTTGCTTGATGAGTTAGTGACTCAAGTTATGATTCTTAGAGAAATGTTGGTGGAAATATCCCAATTAAACATGGCCGCCACAGCTAACTGAAATTAGCAAAGACAATAATGACTGTAATTCAGTCAATTTAACAAAAACAATGCAGATATTAGCTGTAGTACTGACAGTATGCCATGCTCAATATTTAAATTTTATGTGGCATATTTGTTTATAATTTTGCCATTAACTGATGACACGTTTTTAGGACCCCAGTGGAATGAGCTAACCTTAGTGGCTTACTGCCTCGAGCCAAACTGCTCCAAGACTATCTCTAAGCTTGTAGCGTAGCTCAAGAATACCATCTGTGCGACCATTTTATTGTGGCTTTTGCTGTGATCAAAAGTTCATTGAATGTAAAAGGCAAATCTAAAAACTCCCTCTCTTCCACAGTCATTGTTGGTAGGGCCAGCCCTGCACACAATCACACAAAATAATACTCTGATTGTGATTTAGGCTACTGTTGGCATACGACAATTTATTTATTCATCAAATTTGGATTTAACATTTGGGTTAATTAGGTTTAGATTTAGATTCAAATGTATTATTTAGATTTAACATTGAGATTTGGATTCAACATTTGAAATTATATTTATTTAGATTCCACATTAAGATTTAAAGTTTAGATTTAGATTCAAACTAAACACTGAGATAAGGATTTAACAATTAGATGTATTTTTAATATTTAGATTAAATGTTTAGATTTAGATTCAGATTAAACACTGAGATTTGGATTTAACATTTAGATTTAGATTTAATATTTAGATTTTAAGATGAGATTTAGATTCAGCTTTAATATTTAGATTTAACATTTTGCCTACATTCAGCTTTAGATTTATCATTTGCGTTTAGATTTGATATTTAGATTTAAAATGTTTATTGAATGTTTAGATTGAGATTCAGACTTATTTTTTATATTTAACATTTAGATTTAAAGTTTAGATTTAGATTCAGATTTAATATTCACCCAGCATTCAGATTAAGATTTCTCATTTGCATTTTACATTTAGATTTAGAATTAGCATTTAGGTTTGCTAAAATGTTGTGAAATGTAAATATGGTGGAATATGACCATTTTTAGACCATTTCAATTAAAATCATGATGAAAGTGTGCAAAATGTATAGGACAAATTAACAAATTTCTAAAATTGTCTCCTAAAAATGTTGCAGTATTTACACTTGGCACCACATAAACGTGGTTTATTGATTAATTTAATTAATTCTATGAAAGTTTGCCCTGTAGTTAATAATTGAGGACAAATGGATTGTGAAGTCAAGTTAATTGGGATCAACTTTTTTAAAGCTGTTTAAAAAAACATGAACAATCGCAGTGTTTATTGACTCCCAGGATAAGTTATGTTAGGGATTGAACGTCACACCAAGTTGTCCTGCAGGACAAATGAGTTACGCTGATTTGACGCATTCGTGTGTTTGCTGACGGTCACTTCACGTTGCATCAGAGCTGAGAGTGCAACACACAGAGCGACCCTTATGTAGACCCTCCTCCTGGAGAAGGTGGCGCATAAAACCGGTGACCCGCCCCTCCCGGACAGGTCCAGTCTGGCCCGACGCGCTCGTGCTGCTGAGGTTTATGGATGCTTCAGCAGTCCAGCATCATCCTCAGCTCTCAGCGGAATCGGTTCCGGTCCGGACGGCTGTGATCGCTCTGTCCTCAGAAGGTGAACCATCTATTTCCTCTGCAAATCCGCTTGTAAATCATATGCGATGCGTAAAATTAATGCAGTGTCGCATTTTTTCGTGCGCTTTTTGGCAGCCGCCTCTTGAATTTAAAAACTGTTTTAACGCGCTGCAGTCGTGCGAATTAATGTGAAGTTTTAAATCAATCTAAATAAAAATAATTGTTAGCCTTTAATGAATTAAACTTTTAAATGCGCTTTTCTTCAAAAGATGCAGTGAAGACAATCAGCTGAATTAAGACAGACCGCTGCGTCACATGCTGACGTGGTTTTATTAAACAGGACGGCACGCGCAGCGTGTGCGCACGTTTGAGCTTTTGAACATTGTGTAACTGTGTGTTTTCTTACACTGTAAACTTTTTACAATGCATGCATTTTTAATTGTTGTTGCGCAACTGTCATAAACAGCTTTGCTCAGCATCACTTCGCTCAGTGAGCCGGAAACAGGTTGCCATAGCAATAAGAGGGCTTGTCCCTGCTCGGGACAGCAGCCAAGGGACCACACCCTTCTCCTCCAGGCTGTCGCAGATGCTCCTGTGGAAAAACCTGCTTTCTTTGGCTGCAGAATAAACATTATAATTAATCTTGGGGGAGATGTAATTAAACCAAACAATTAGAGGTTTACTGTTGGAAAAACAATTAAAAATGAAAGAAATGATCCACTTAAACCTGATTTTTGACATTGATTCTTTCATACCACACACTCTGTAGAACACAGAGAGACCTGCCATGGCAAACAGAGGGCCCAGCTACGGACTGAGCCGTGAGGTGCAGGAGAAGATTGATCAGAAGTATAATCCTGACCTGGAGCAGCGCTTGGTGGACTGGATCATTGCTCAGTGTGGAGGGAACCTGGAGAAACCACAGCCGGGGAAGCAGAACTTCCAGACATGGCTGATGGATGGAACAGTGAGTGGCTCCTTGCTGCTTAAAATAGAAATGTTTTGAATTGTTTATGATGTGAAACACAAGCTCTACAAAGCTTACACAGCTTAAAATGTGTCCTTTTTCAGGCATTTTACTTTAATTTAATTTATGGGACTCATGTTTGGTAGTTCTAAATAAAACAAAACAATTTCTAAGTTACAAAGGTACAAAAAAACTGAAAAATTTATTGCCGACTTTTGTGGCTCTTTACAAACTATTTTGTTATTCTGGGACAGAAAATTCTCACATAACTGACAAGAATGGACTTTTGCACCGCATTCTAATTTTTCCTGTTTCACCTGTAGTTTAAACTAAATTGAATCATGAAAATAACATTTTGAGTGAAAGCAGAAACAAATGTTGTCAAAGGTCACCATCTAGAGGCAGAAAACATTTAATGCACCTTAAGCCCCTCATGTGCGGCCAACAGGGCTTAAAACTGATTGTTTTTCAATTATTCTTACATGACCCCGACTTCAATGGGTGCATCAGTGGTGCGAAACAGTTTACTTGTGTACTTCACTAGACACCAGTGGCGCCCCCAGAAATGCATCACGGGGTGGCCATGGGGCCAGAGAAAATTTTGGAGTGGCGCACCAAATTGATCCTTTTAGTAACTCTGGGAAAGTCTAGCCTGTAGTGATGCAATAAATGCTCATTCATTCATTTTCAGTAACAAAAATAACATTAATATGACTTATTAAAGAACACTGGTCCTCCCTGGGTGTGGACAATGGGGCAGCCAGCAATTTGCCACCCCTTGGGGGCGCCACTGCTGCACGCCAATTCACACTGGGAGAGTCTCAGTCAAGTAGTGGCTCCTCTGTCGTCCTTATCACCGGACTCGCAAGATCACAAAATCACTCGAGACTTCAAAGGTCACAGTTTATTTATGCCGTTGACCATTAAAACTAAAAAGAGAAAGAAGGACATCAAGTTTGATGTCATATATAACATTGTGCCTCTCCACCGCCATGATTAAAGCCATGAAAAAGACACTGTTGCGTTTTTCACAAATTGCTGGGACTAAATAAGCCGTTAGGTCACAGGTATTGACGTAATCTACATTGATAGAAAATTGCATCTCTGCGTTAGTCTTTTATTTTGAAAATTACCCAATGTTTTACACTGAAACCATGTGTGATTTTGTGTCTAACCCTATGTTACTCCTAGAAATTTATGTGTCATAAAAGTGGCTCATGGTAAAAACGGAAACCAATCCGCGTCGCTTCTGGGACGCGCCAGAAAATTTTATATTTTAAAGACTTACTCGTCCATAAGAAATGGACTTCTTGTCCATAAGAAATGTTTCCAACTCTGCATCGATCTAGGTATGCCCTCAAACGTGCTCGCCCTCTCTGTGACTGACATATGTAGAGTATCAATAGTTACATCTTACGTAGAAAACCATCAAAGGTGAGATTCCATAGAAAATATGGAATCAATTTGATGTATCTTACTACCTAGTACCTTTAATCAGAAGATTGGAACTTTTTATTGCAGGGATTAGGTAACACTTCGTAATAACCCAGAGTCAAAAAGAGAGAGAGAGAGACAAGTTTAAAAGTTTAAGAAGATTTATTTTTAAACAATTTAAAACAAGGCTAACTCTAACTTTAACTCTAAACACTGTGTGATGGATGGATCTAGGTTGTGAATGAGGCAAGATGGATGGTGTAAATGTGGAATGTTGTTATCAGAACTCTCGTTTCCGGAGAAGCATTCATTCTGTGTGGGAGCGAATGTTTTGCTCAAACTAGAGTCGGAGTTTCAAAAACCACATTCAGACGCTATCTTGCCGTCTACATACCCTTGCGGAGACCTCCATGTAGATCCAGAATGCCAGGTTCTCTAACCCGTTTGGTACCGAAGCTGGTGAAACAGCGTACGGTATGACGGACTAGTCTTGGAATGCCCCCAGGTAAGCGGCAGGTGGTTGACAGCATCAGCGGGACCCTGAAGGGTCAATGAGTTCAGCTTTTACTCTGAAGGAGCGTTGCTTCAGGTAAAGATTGCAACAGGTTTATTTGCCAGCTTGTCATTAGGTTCTTTGTGGTTAAAAAGTTACGAGTGGCCGGCTCACAACTCTAGAACGTTGAACTGACTTAAGGATGACGTGGGAGTTAGTTTTATAATTCAGATGTTTTGATTTATGGTCGAATCAAAATTGGACAAAAATATAAACACCTCACAGATCATGCCACAAGTCAGAAAGGAAAGCTCTGATTGGAGAGACAAAGGAATGTGTCATGTGATTAACATTACGTGTAATCAGTCTAGTGTGTAATGTATATTACTTATTAAAATACTATCATAGGATTATAATATCAAGTAATTAATATTCTTATTCCACAGATTGATTTAACATTGAGTTTTACATGATTATTTGGACTAACACAGGTATTTGATCATACCTAATGGAAGAAAGTTCTGATCTTCTTTCTTCTCTTGAGCTGTAGGGGGAGGCAAATAGCTAGTTAAAACAGTTTAGATGCAGGGGCATCAAAAGGCCTTGAGCATATCTGAAGGAGATTAGTTCTTCCTGAGGAGAGGGGGCCTTCAGGTCAGAAAACAGTTCCTTCATGACGCTACACATTTGTGTGTAAGCAGATGTCTAATGCAGTAGGTCTAATGCTATAATGCTGAATGGTACTCAATTCAAATTGTATGGGTCTCTACAGGGAAGTGGGGGGGGGGGGGGGGGGGGGACAAAAAACCAAAAACAAAAAAAAAGAAGAAGACATATTGCCTACATTACATCACTGTCCAGGGTAAAAAAAATCATACATAACTCCTGAAAAACTGAAATGTCTAGATAGCTGCTTTCACCCTCCCACTGTCTTTATGGGTGATCCCGTGAGGAAACTTGACCATTGAGCAGGATTGATGGTTTATCCCTTGAGGTTCATGTGGCAGGGGTGAGGTGGTGCTCACCAGGGGCGGCGTTAGGCCCGGCTACTTGGGCTGAAGCCCCGGATGTTTCATGAAAAGCCCCGGATCTAAATCGCGGATGTAACATGCAGTACCAAAGTCCAACAGAGAGGGAGCAGCTGGCAGTAGTTTGTATACAGCCTGCCTGAGCCTCCACCACTGAAGAAGAAGCCCTTCAGCAGCTGGCTTCTTCTACGCTCTCTGCCTGAAACGCATGTGTGAAGATGGACATAAGGACGTTGTTTTGGACAAAAAGTACAACGACAGAACTCCAGCTTTGATGAGACTGGTGTTGACTCAGGTTTGTGAGTCTTATTTGAAAATATTTTTTGTGCTGCTGGTTTGCCTAAAGTTAGCTTACTATCAGGTAACGTTGTTGGAGAAAGAAAGGGAATATTTACTATCATCTCACACTAAACACTAACAGGAACAATACTCTGCCCTGAATATGCTTAATATGTAGCTTCAGATTAAAAATTATGTGGTACAAGATAAATATATATGATGTTGACTAGTGCGTGTCACGTGTGTGCGCGCGCGTGTGTTAAGCCCCGGATCTTCTTCAGTCCTAAATCCGCCCCTGGTGCTCACTCCTCACCCCTGCCACATAGACCCAAGGGATAAACCATCATCCCTGCTCAATGGTCAGCTTTCCTCGTGGGGTCACACCCATTAGGACAGTGGGAGGGTTAAGGAAGTTATCTACACTGAGTTAATAACTTTGACGCTTCAAAAAAGGCTTATAGTTTTTTTTGTGTCAGATTCTATGTAGACTCATCAACAGCCTTTACCCAAGAGGAAAAGAACCCATTAAAAAGATTGCAGAGACCCAAATGGCCTTCAAACAAATGGAGAAGATCTCCCAGTTCCTGCAGGCAGCAGAAGCTTATGGAGTCACCACCACGGATATCTTTCAAACAGTGGACCTCTGGGAAGGTAAATGGATCCCAATCATTTTTCTGATTATCCTTCGACAGCTACATTTGACGACAAACTGTTCTGGTTATAGGAAAAGACATGGCAGCGGTGCAAAGAACGCTTATGGCTCTGGGGAGTCTGGCTGTCACGAAAGAAGATGGTCAATACAGAGGTGACCGAGACTGGTTCCACAGGTACAGAAAAAATTTCACATATACAGAAAAAAAACCACCATGAGACGTGTAACCTTGTTTCTGATGCATAGGAAAGCTCAAGGGTACCGACGAGAGTTTACCGAAGAGCAGCTGCGTCAGGGCCAGAGTTTAATTGGCCTGCAGATGGGCAGCAACCGTGGAGCATCTCAAGCTGGCATGACAGGCTACGGCATGCACCGTCAGATCATGTAACACAAGCTAACGTGCCCCCTCCTGCTTCCAGACTTTCTTTTCTACTAATACCACTAATGTCGTAGCTCCAAAACTTTCCTAAACTTTGTAGCACCTGCCAGATTAACCTCAATTTCCCTGGAATTGCTGCTTATTCCTCCCACTATCTTTTGTTCAATTCTTTTAAAGTAAATCAAAACTATGTTAACTGCTGTAGATTTCCTAATTCAGGGGTAGGCAATCCTGGTCCTCGAGTGCTGCGCTGGTTTTTTCCATCACAGCTGATTTCAATCAGCAGGTGATAAACACACTTTTGCAGAGCTTGGTGACCTGCTGAAAAGGTGATTCAACCACTGAATCAGGAGTGTTGCACCCAAAACAGGGATATTCAATTCTGGGCCTGGAGGGCTGGTATCCAGCATGTTTTAGTGGTTTCTTTGCTCCAGCACACTTGATTCAGTGGTTGAATTACCTGTGCAGCACCTCATCAGGCTCTGCAGAAGCCTGATAATTACCTGCTGATTTAAATCAGGTTTGTTGAAGCAGAGTTAACACCAAAACGTGCTCCAGGCCTCCAAGCCCAGATTTAAACCCCCCTGAACTAAAACATGCTGGATGTTATTGCAGATGGATTTTATACTTTCAGTGTTCAAATGTTGACTTAATTCATGTTATTCAGTTAAATCTCATGTTCTGAAGAACATACGATGCACATCACCAACATATTTTCAGAGATACTGTAAGTGACTGTTACGGCATGTTGTATTTACTGTTATTTAAATATTTTATATATTTTACTTTAGTCATTATAGAATGTCCCGCTGTGTAGTTATTTAACCTTAAAGGGAAAATTCTTGTCTTTTGAAGTGGGGATCTATGGAAAGATTACAAACAAACAACATTTTACCTGATTTATGTAATATATGTTTTTGAACAGCCTTGGTTTGAAGAAATAGAGATTATTTTTGGCCAAACTGATGAGCTATAGTTCAATAAATTGCTGTTGTCTTAAAACAAACTTAGACGCAGATCAATGAGACAGAGAACTGAGTCAGATTTTAAAATGTAATCATGCAAACAAACAGCTGACATGGCAGCAAGAAAAATACAATTATTTGTTAAAGTGTTGCAGGAGATCCAGTGAAAACAACAGGGAGGCAAACAGTGTGTTTACATGCACATCTAGGTTGATTTAGGTCGATCTAAAGAAATAAACTAGGAGCCTTTATCCTAGTTTACGTGTATATTAGAAAACTGAAATGTCAAATGAGGATCATTACACTCCGGTACAGTAGGTGGCGACACGTACCTAGTATCCACATTCTTCTGGTTAGCTTATGGCAACACAAATAGTAGACTAATGCTGGTGGGAGTGAAGCAAATGAAGTTAAAACAGGATGTGGACAATGGTTGAAGGAATGGACAACAACAACGCTGCAGCACAGTTTATTTGCTACGCACTGCACTGTGTGATGGAGAACACCATCTCCACGGTCTTGTCACTACCAGCAGTTACCGGTATCAGCTCGACTGAGGCGTTTACACGCAGATGCAGTCGTTTTCCTCACGCATTACCTGGGTGCTTCAGCATGATTACAACCAGTTCACCTTCAGGAAGAATAATGCATTTAAACTTTTTCAAAAGTCAGTCTATTTAGGGCATTAATTGGGTTTCTGATGCACATCTAAACACACTGACTGAGTGCAGAAACTAAGGACTATTTCTGCAGAGAGGAGTGATCCTGGAATGAGAAGCAGCTGGATGATTATCATATGAAAAACGTGAGAAAAAAAACGTGTGAATCTCTGTTTCTCCAAAGTCCAAAGAGCTTTCTGTAACTTCAAAAGATCTGAACTGTCCCTTAAAGGAAGCTTGATGATGATGTCTGATATCTTGTCTGAAGCCTTGTTGCAGTATCTTCTGTAACCAAATCAACCTCACATTGTGCCTGGTTAAGGGACATCACACACTAGTATATACTGGTCTCAACTTATAAATGAGTGTCATTCATATTGAGCCACGCCCGTTTTTTGTTTTTCTGTTAGGCTACGTATAATTGTATGGACTGTGTCGTATTTGTGCACAGCGAATCGTTAAATGTGAAGTAGCCAACGAGTATGACGTTAACATTTCTGGTGCCAGGTTAACTCAAACAGCTTGAATTTGCACCTTTATGTGTGTTATGTTTGTAATTATGGAATATATTTATATCTGGAGGCTTGTAAGAAGAAGTAATAAAGTATGAGGAAAAAAGTATTTGTCAGTCTTACATAATGTTGTCATTGTGCAATGCCAGGGGGTGTAGTGTGCTGCATGCTGAGTGTTAGCATTGGGGCTGTGCCCTTTTTTTTTGTCCTTATCCTGGTTCCAGTTCCTCCCTTTCAGCCCGTCATTCCTCTTACCTATTCTCACTGTGCAAAATCTAATAAAGCATCAACAGAACAGCATAACGGTTTGGATGCTGGTGCCCGATTCAAGTCATAACAACAGTACGTCTTTGTCTGGCAGTAAGATATTAAAGCCCCTGTGCTCACTTGATGCTTCATAATTGGTCCTATCTTTGTAGAAGGTGGTGCACAAACAGAAGCTCCACCAAAACTGTCATTAAACACTTTAAGGAAGATTTTTATTTTGTCCTTTCATTTATTTGTGGAATTCTACAAGCATTTATTGATCAAGCTAGTGTCTCGTTTTAAAGCTTTGTGTGTGTTTTTGTTTTGACATATAATTAAAATGTTTAGCCTGAATATTCCAAATGAACAAAAAGCTTTGGTTTAGAAGAAAGGAGAAGGATTTTGCCGTTGATGTAAGCAGGAGTATTTTTGGGAATTCCAAATGTCTGGAAGCCATCTTATGAGGTCATTCATTGCTTTGTTTTATGGTCGATATTAAAGAAAATAAAACAATCTTGCATGAGTTCACATTTAACAATAGCTTCATGCGATCAAAACAACTTCATCAGGAGTGAACCTTTAAATTACAGGTCAATTCATACATTAGCTTAGACGCCCAAAAAGGTCATTAATTCAAAGTGTTTAAAGGTGCAGTGTGTAAGAATAAAGTAAGATGACGCCCTGTGGTCACATCTAGTTACTGCAATCTCCCTCTCACTCCTATTCCATGAGTTTCACTCATGGCTGTTGCCAGTTACGGATCAGCACCAGAAGATTCTAGATAACAAGTAAAGATGAGTCATACACAGTAAGTCGATCAGTAGATAAATACATTGTTATAGCAGGTGCTAGTACACTTGGGTGTTTTGTTGTAGGGAGCCCTTACTACACTTATTACGGTTGCCTCTGGCAACGAGGAAGTGTTGTTTAAGGAAGTAACTTCCTTAAGTTTTACTTAAAGTAAAATGACACATTTGACTCATTCACCTCACACATACATTTAACTGTAATATCAAGTTGTTGATCATATAAAAAGTAGCTTGAGGTATTTTCTAGCTGACTATTCGCTTCTAATTTACCATTAGCATTGTTAGCTCAACGTTAGCTCAACATTAGCCTCTAGCCTTCTTTACCCAATAATAGGGTAAATCAAAAAGAAGCTGTGGCTGCTTACTGGCTTCAGTTCTTTGAACAACTTTGGAGCTTTTTTCCGGTCGTAATCGAATTACAAATTCCGGCACTGCAGCATTAGCTCGCAGGAGACACAGCAACCCACACACACTGATGGTAAACAGTAGCTACGTCACTCCTTCCTTTATTTTGAAAGAAGAAAAATTGACAAACCCTGCAGCCGACTGAGAATGAAATATGTTTAATTTTAATCATCCTCCTAATATGATTAAGAAGTTAGACTGTTTTGGAATTATTTCACTAAATTGTATGCTTAAGGAAGGACTATTCAAGTCCAGGCCTTGAGGGCCAGTATACAGCACGTTTTAGTGGTTTATCTGGTACAACACACTTGATTCACTGGTTGAATCACCTGTACGGCAGCTCATCAGGCTCTACAGAAGCCTGTTAATCACCCACTAATTGAAATCAGGTGTGTTAAAGCAGGGTTGAAATGAAAATGTGCTGGATACCGACCCTCAAGTCCCAGAATTGAATAGCCTTGGCTTAAGGTTACGTTTTCTACATTGTGAAGGAAGACAGCTCATGTGAAACTATGTGCACCTCTTATCCTGAGCTTATTATTAGCCTCTGTTCAACTGGTGAAGCATCTAAAGGGGCACAGGCTATGCATAACCGATGGAGCCGAGTCAATAAGTAAACCAAAAACACTGACCAATGAGAAGACTTCTGCAGCTTGCTGTCTAAATCTCCCGTCCAGTTCGTGGTAATGGGAGGTAACTGTACGCTGAGTTCTAAAAATCTGAAAGTACAGTTGTCGTGATGTCTCAGGCTAGGTTTGTACTTTCTCTGCTGCTCGTGCTCTTGGCTGTCAGATGTGTTGCAGAGGAGGTGACTGGGAGTAAGGGCTGTGTGTGTGGATACCCGGGTATACCAGGGGATCCCGGTCACAACGGTACGCCTGGCAGAGATGGCCGAGATGGACTCAGGGGTGACAAAGGGGATCAGGGTAAGATTAAATGAAGCCTTTTTAACTACTTAGAATAGACTCTGCCCATACTTTTGTGTGTTTTAAATATCAGCTACAAAACTTGTAACAGCATTGTTGCTATTTATGGAAAGGTGAAGTTGGCCCAGCAGGAACAGCTGGTAATAATGGCCTCAAGGGAGACAAAGGAGACACTGGTATGTATCTTGAGTGTGAAGTGAAAATTACTTTCATTAGTTTTTAAGTATTTTCATACTCTGAATTGTAAAATACAGGTGCAACTGGCTTACTAGGGCCAAAAGGAAAGAGGGGAGATAATGGAGAACGGGGACCTCCGGGGAAAATGGGACCACAAGGTGTGCAAGGGCCTATTGGCCTGAAAGGAGATAAGGGGGAGCTGGGACTACCAGGACCACAAGGACCTACTGGAGATCTGGGGCCTCCTGGACCAGAAGGCCCAAAGGGGGAGATCGGTCTTCGAGGTGACAGAGGTATTCAGGGACCTTTAGGACCCCCTGGCAAGCAAGGCCCTAAGGGAGATATTGGTGTTCCAGGCTACAAAGGAAGCATTGGTTACCGTGGAGAACGAGGGGCTCGAGGAGAGAAGGGCGACTCGGGTGACAAGGGAGAATCACCTGTCATCCCCAAAAGCGCCTTTTCTGTGGGGCTCACGGCACAAACTAAACTTCCAGCAGCCAACACGCCGATCCGGTTCAGCAAGATCATTTACAACTTGCAAAATCACTACGACCCACAAACAGGGAGATTCACCTGCTCTGTGGCAGGAGCCTACTACTTCACCTACCACATCACCGTCTTCTCCAGGAACGTGAAAGTAGCTCTGGTGAAGAATGGGGCTCGAATCATCCACACCACGGATAACTACCAGAACAGTGAGGATCAGGCTGCAGGGGGCGCTGTGCTGCACCTGGAGGTGGGGGACAGGGTGTGGCTTCAGGTGGCTGGGGGAGAACTCTCCAATGGACTCTTTGCTGATGAAGATGATGACACAACCTTCTCTGGGTTCATTATCTTTGGAGCTGAGTAAAGGCTCAATAATTATTAGCATCTTAGAAAAATGCTACAATTATTGAAGAAAAAATGTTTTCTGTTTCAGAAATAGTTTCAGCCCCATGGTGCTCACTGAACCCAGCAGGGCACCATCGCTGCAAAGACAAACTAAATGCATGATTCATTTGTGGGTTTGCAAATATGAAGAGAGATAAGTCACATTCTCTTTAAAGGCAGTTTGACAAAGGAAGCCAATACAATGCTTTTCAGACAATGCAGTGAATCAGTTTGTTTATAGGAGATAACATAAACCTACAAGGAACAGAACACGCTGCTCATGCTGCTTTGGGCAGGAGTGATTGTGAGCACGATCATGTCAGATGTGAAATGTTATTTGATCAAATGAAAAGGAAATATTCAAAGACTCAATCTGGACTGTAACCTTCGTCTTCCTTGTTTGGTGTCTTACAGTAAAGAGCATTTAGTCACCTTTTTATCTTTTTCTGGTATTTGGGGTTGGCCACAGAGCAGAAATACTAACAACATTAATTCTATTACCATGATTCACTGATCTGACATGAGGAAGCCAGTGCAACACCAACTGGAATGCCCAGTCTTTTTCTGTCCTCTCTAAGAGAAAAGGTGTAGTTGCAGGTTTTTATTGAAAGTCAACTTCTCATGTGATAGTTGAACAGAATGTTTTTAAATTTTACATCCGTCACTCAATTTTGTCTTATTTAACAGAACATTTGTAGTCTAGAAACCTAGACCGTCAGTTACCGAAACAAAATGATTTTGCTCAGCATGATGGTTTAGCCACGCTCCACTGGAACCTCCGCACTGCAGCCCCAGCCAGTTTGATAGCTGGCCAATCACAGCGCTCTGTTGGTATAATGGCCCAATGACAGTGCTCTATCAGTTTGGTGGGCTGGATGTTAGTGCGACTGAGCAAAACTAAGATGGTGGTGGCTTGTTTGAAATGGGTTTGGCATCAACTTTAGACTATGTAGACATGGGGTTTTCTTTCAGTCAAGAACAGACAGAAGTACTTAAGTCCTATATTTAGAAAAAGGATGTGAGTACATCACATAGTTTGTTGTCCAATAGCATGTAGAGACAGTTTGAAAGACAACCGTAGAGCCCGCCCCACAAATGAGAGCTGTCAATGAGTCGTGGCCAGATTATATGTTCACGTATAAAGGATGGATTTCTAGGCTAGAACACTTGAGCATTTAAAAATGCCAGTCATCCAATCCACAACCAAACCATTAAACAGTTTAACATCAAATATTAATCCTGTTACTAATGATTGAAAATTTCTCATTCATTTAGCAGTTCTAGACATCTACAAGTAGATAAATCTCATCTGGAACGGATGTGGTGTACATCTGAAACACACACACACACACACACACACCGTTAGCTTTTATCATATATTTCTATATATACATATATGTGTGGGTGTGGGTGTGTGTATATATATAAATATATATATATATATATATATATATATATATATATATATATATATATATATATTTATTTGTGTGTGTGTGTGTGTGTGTGTGTGTGTGTGTGTGTGTGTGTGTTTAGTACCGTCATAAAAAAACTGTGATTTCCAATCCTAAATACGTCAACTGCCCTGTGGTGGAAGCTCCACAGATGGCAAGGGTAAATTCTGTTTGTTTATTACTGTTATATTGTAATATAATTACATGTTAAAATGAAACTAACTCATTCAAAAATAATTAAATATTGAAACATTTAATAAAACATGCTATTGGTCTTTACTACAGGCAATAATGGGTTATATATAATATAATAGTTTGATGCTGATCATAATAAAAACTTTGTTTATCAACTTTATAAATACTTGATTTCCCATCTGGCCAGTAAGAATTTAATATTGACCAGCAGGAAATGTTTCTACAAAAGTAAATGTGTGGGCACTGGAGTGTCTTATAAAAGCTTGCCACAGCACAACCTTCTACAGTATTTATTTTTTTCAATCATTGAAGAACCTTGTAGATGGGCGTGGTTTAGAATTTCGGGCTTCATTTCCCGCATTTCGATTGGTTGTTAGCTGTGTGGTCACGTTCTGGTCAACCAGTAACCTCCATCGCAACCTCCCGAAGCCCCGCCCCCGGTGAACACTGCAACAAGTGCACTAGTGATGCTCTCCAGTTCAATCTTCCAAGAAAGACCTGTTGTTGCGGTACTTCTTCACAAAATAACAAGCGGCTCTTGGCTAATGTCGGCACACACCGTCTGATTCACGGTTTAGCTTGACTACCGACGAGTTTTACCGGTTCCCGAAAGTGAAATAAGAAGCCGCGCAGGCGCTTATGCAACTCAGGAGAAGTTTATCAGTGAGCTCGAGGAGCTAGCTGGAGTCAGCGCGAGCCGTTTGTTGTAGTATGTTGCGGGGCGACGAGCAAGAAGAGCCACTTGTCGGGCGTTCCTGAGCCCGACATGCGTTTGCGTAAAGGCGACAAGGTCGAGGCAGCGAGCCGCTGGAGGACACGATGCTTCGGCATGGATGAATAGCAAAGCAGCTGCTAAACTGGTGTGAGAAAAACGCTCAGGAGGAAAACAGTTGCGACTATGAGCTGGGTGAGTCTGACTGTTTCGACACTTTCACTGATTACGTATTTCTCCTGATCAAAAAACACGTCTGCAGTGATTTTTTCCTTCTTTAGAATTTGAAACGAGACGGGGGGGGTGTTATGGTGGTGCGTTACAGCCGTGGTTGTTATAGTGATGTGGGAGATGCCAGGCAGTGCAGGGAGGTGGTGAAGGAGGGGCTAACAAACTACAAAGAGCGCAACGGCCCAAGAAAGTAAATTAATGCAGAAGTAAATGAGCCCCGAGTTCTTTATGAGCTTAGAAATCCCTTCCTATTGCTTCTTGCTCTCATACTTTCCTTTTTGACAGCACTTCCTTCAGAAAAATCAACTTTTATGGCAGTGCAACATCTTGCAGCTCATTCAGCAGGTCAAAGTCCTCTTTTTATTGCCACACAACTACAGGCTTGAGCTTTATTCAGCCTTTATTAGTGAATGAGCTTTTTCCCATGGGGTTTTTGAATGTTTTTTGTGAACACCAGCCGGGTGACACCATTGGCTGATGACAGTGAGGTCCCAGTGGTTTTCAGTCCCTGGTTCATTGTGTGGTGTTAGATTTCTGCGTCTGTCTCTGTGACAGTCCTCTGCAAATCAGGTGAGTAGGAACTGCCCCAGTGAGAGGAGAAGGCACTCCCTGGTTTGGCCTCCACCTGTTCTTCTCACGCTCTATAGGAAGAGGCGTGGTGCCTCCTTGTTCTCCTTCTGCTTTGCTAGATTGTTAATCAAGAACTAGGCCATGGACAAATATGACACTTTATCGGGGAAAGTGAGCTTGACCTAGCCCGGATTCAGTCTGAAATCTTCTCTTTAATCTATTATAAAGAAAAAAACTGCACTGATCACTAGAGGGCTGAAAATGTGTGGTCTTAAAATAAACACATTATAACCTGAGTCGCCCCGCAGTTAAGTCCTGAGGGGTTATTTACAAGCTCTTGGTGCAGCTCAATCAGCACCAAATAACCTAGTGAGCCACCTGATTAGGTTATCATGTAGATGAAACCAGTCCTAAACACAGACTGGTAAAGCTCCTTTAATCAGATTATTACTGGAATGGAGGAGGAATAGGCCGTGCACACTTCCACTTGTGTGCATTCACAGGGTAGATTTACATCCTTCAGGCTCCACTTGCTGACACGTTTTATTTCAAGCTAACAGGCCTCAACAATCGAAAAAGATTTTAATGCAGATTCATATCAGCACCCTGCCATTGTCAGGTGTTGCTTCATCTAGCAAGATGTTTATACAACTGAAAATGTGAACTTATGCACTCAAAGATGAAAAATACAGCATTTTTCTTTTTACTCAACATGCTGTGAATGCAGTTTAAGTTTCACAAAACCCCGTTTACACACGCTGGTGATCGGATCAGCCAATCTGTTCTGTAAAACTCTGGTGTTGTTGATGGGACGGTCTTCGTCACGGCTGAAATAATGGCTCCAGGGTGGTTGTGTCTGTCTGAGACTTAAGCCAAAGAATGAAAATATAAAGACCTAATTTTGCCCCAACATTCTTTGTCTGGTTGTTTATTTTTTTCTATTTGAGTGTCGTTTCATTTCATCCTAATGGGCTTTAGCCTAGCCTTAAGCAGGACTGAATGCAATCTGCACATGGCCGCTTCACGTTATGCGTTCATGATTCCTCGCATAACTTCTTGTCCCAAACAGGAAGGGAGTCGAGTCATTTTAAACACTTCCCTCCCTGCTCTGTGAAAAAAAAGATGCTTTAACTAATTGTATCTCTGTTTTTGGAATGCGTTTCTGCTTTCCACCGCTGTGTACATGTTTATGTATCTGACTGCATGTTGTTCCTTGTCTCTGGGAGTCTAATCTCATGGTGGCTCCAGCTGGCTGCCGTGGGTGTGTGTGTGTGTGTGTGTGTGTGAGTGTGAGTGTAGATGTGGGTGGGGAAGGGGGTGCACTCCTCCCTGAGCTCTTAATTAACTCTGGACTAGGGCCTCCTGTGCACCGCTCCATTGGACAGATTAGCAAGAGGAAGCTGAGAGGAGCAGTGACTCTGGCATGTGGGCAACACAGGAAAGTTAAACATCGTAAGGGACTGTAAGTGACTTTAATGTAAGTAAAGTTTGTCTGGATGTTACTGTAAATACAGCTCGAGATGTTCAGTTTTTTTTATACACGGCTTTTGAATATCGATATAATATCGCAGGAAAAAATATCACAATATATTACCATATCGATATTTTCTTACATCCCTAGTCGTGACCCTACTGTGGTTCACCAAGAGTAATTGAAGTAAAATTGAAGCTACATTTAGAACAAAACTGTTATAAAAACCAAACTAAACCATCATAAATGGATTTAAGTGAAGATGAGCACAAGTGTTTTTTCTTTATTCCCTGAAATATGTTTTTATTGTCGCAACATAGTCATCTGGGGTCTTGACAGTTGCTCTGTTGTGGGTCTGAAGCTGAAACGTTTAGAAAGCACTGCTCTAGCAGACCAAGTGAGACTTACAGTACTTTGTAAAGTCACACATATGTTCCAGATTTAACCACAACAGCTATAACAGCATCAGTTGTCAACAACCAGGTGAGCCTGTGGTTTCTTACTGTTTTCAAGTGCAGCTAAAGAAAAAGCAGATTTCAATTTGACTTTTTTTTTTCTAACGTGCCTTTAAAAGCACGTGGTGTTGATCCATCATCAGGGAAATGTGTCAACATCACAGCTACTAATGCGATGATCCACTCAAAACGGTGCAGATAAAGACCATGAAAAGAACTTTAGTTAAAGTAAAATGATCTTATTGTTGTCTAAAAAGGTGAACACCTGTCTCACCTTGGTTCCTACTATTCACTGCCAAGAATTAGCAGTCACCAGCTGGTGTGTGACAGTTGGTTCTGGCAGCAGTGAGAAAAGTTACCGAAGGATGAAGCAAGTTGTAGAATGGGGCAATAAGACGGGAGTGTTCTAAACAAAAACAACCCACTCCAGCCCAATCTGTAGACATTCCTTCCCCTATCTTCTGTCGTTCTGCTTGGAAACCAGATGGAATTATTGATCCTCTGTTTTTCCAGTTGCTACCCAACAAGATTCCCATTTTTTTCTGCTACTGCAGAGGAGAGAGCACAAGAAGACAATTCAGAATAGTTTTGAAAGCTGCACATTGTGAAGGGTGTTTAGTGTCTGTCAGCAGCAGTGCTTGGCAGCGGTGGCTCTGTGTTTACATAAGTGTTCGGCGTGATGGAGCAAGCTGGTTGAAGTGACAGCAGATTCCAGGGAACGGCTGATTGAGAAAGCTCATCTGCTGCTAAACGTCCACGGGAAAAGCTGGAAACGTTTCAGAAACCCAGCTACTCCCTGCAGATGTTAGCTGTAAAAAACTGGAGAAAGTGCTTCTTTAAAACCTTTAAAAGGATGTTTTCTGTCTTCTTATGCTTTTATTAGGATTTCCATTCTTAAAATTCTGATTCATTTCACACATACTAGAATATTAAAAGTATATAATTTTTTAAAGAAAAATCATTTTAAGTGAATTTCTACAACAAAAATCAAATACATTTTCAGATTACTGTCTTACTATGTATTTTCAGTATTCTAAAAATTTGTAAACAAAGATTTTAATCAGGAAACAGATCTAACACGTCCAAATTTATAATCATATCACAGTCAAGGTGGAAAAACCGGTGGCTGTGTGGTTGTTCATGTTATGTAGTTTCCACATAATAACTGACAGCATAATAAATAGTTTCATAATAGCTTCATAGCTATGCTAAACAGAAAGTAAAACACACTGTTAATAAACAATACACCGACAGATAAAATGTGTTGTTTTTCACAGTTAATGATGTTGAACTCCAAATCTCTCATGTTAATTATTTTTATCGTATCCAACAATTGTCCCACTTAACATATAAAGTTAGTTAACAAGTTTGAAAAATATAAGGGCTGAATATTTATACATTCATATGAAGTCGTAAAATGAAATAAGAGTCTGGCCATGATTGTCATAAAGATGGTTGCTTGGGCTGGGCGATACAGCCTAAAAATAAAATCTCCGATTTTTTTTTAAATTAGATTTACGATTTTTTTCTGATTATCTCTCCCCCTCAATTATTAAGAATAGCAATGAGTACAAATGGAAGGCACCTTAAAGCTAATTTTGTTTTTTAGTTAATCACAAGCAAGACAAATGTAACCCTCATTTCTGAGATGAATAATGAGTAAGTGAACACCCTCTTGGAATAAAAGTGCCACGCTCCACGTCCGTCACAACAAACCCAAACCAGTTCCAAACAACGGATGACTTAATTCCTTTCTTAGGAACAAACTTCCCACTCTCACCGGTGGCCATGGAGTCGCTTGCTGTTGCTGTTTCGTGTGTGTGCTGTGACGTTGTTGTCGCGGTTATGAGAAAATAAAGCTACGGAAGCTCCGGGGGGCCAAAAAGGCGCTATTACATAAAAATTTGATTTACTTCTTTCTTTTTTTTTAAAGAAAATGCTCTGAGAGAAAGCTCTGGTGCTCTTGTTTCAGGAAGCAGAAGTTAGTCAAAAAGGTTGGTGGTGGAAAACGGCAGGATTTGGACTTTTACTCTTTATTATTCATGGAATGCTAATGTGTCACTTCTGATTGGCTAACAGCAATTCAGCTCTTCTACTGCCTCCGTTCACGCTTCTTTCTTGAGTAAAAATTTAAAGTTGATGTTTTATCTTCCCAAAAACACAAGTCTGTATGAGTTATGCCGTGTGGAGGAGTTTCGAATGCTAATGTTTAGCTTCTACTAGCCCAGACACACACTGCTGTCTCCTGACTGTGAGAACCATAGACAGGAAAATGTAGGTGGCCCATTGGGCGCTGGGGAGCATAACAGCGTCGCCGCCATATTCGATGCAGAGTGAGTAACTTTGCCTGTTTCTGTGCAGCCTACGGTTGCAACAATCGGCCTACTATTGAAAACTACTGTTGAAGAAAATGTTCCGTTCAGCATGCATTTGAAACTCAAAGTGACCAAACATATTTCAGAAACAATCGGTTTTACAAAATGAACAAAACCCCAAATCGTCATAGCCGTTTTACTTCATAAATCTTTACAATGGTGCACATTTTTTAATTACCTGGCTGTTTGGGAGAAACATTAGGACATTCCTGCAGGATCTGACCTCTAGATGCATTTGAAAAGCTACGTTTTGCTGCTGCTGCTGATATGTACGTTTGTAAATAACCACTGATTTCTTTGTAAACTCCCAGAAGGGTTATTTATACTTAGACTAATAGATTGTCCCTGTTTGTTACAGACAAAGGAATTGCTTTTCTGGCTTCAGTGAAAACAAGTCTGCAGCAAAACCTGCTTCAGTACATTTATTATGAATCTAAAAGTTATAGAAAGTATTCAAACTCATGTCAAATGTAACCAGTTTAGTTTAATTCTGATTTCTAATATATTTTGATTCTGAAAACCCTTCTGATTGGGATTTTTAATGATTTGAAGATGATCTGAGGACCACACAACCCTTACCGTCACCATCTCTTAATCTTCTGTCTAATCTGGAGGGAAAAAGGGCCATTTATTGCATTAATCACAATGGATTAGCCATTTTCATTGCTTAGTCACGCTCACAAAGCTGCACTTCAAAGCCTCAGCTGTTTTAGCCACTGTGTTGAGTCGCACACACCTAAAAGTGAAGTTTGCACCCCCACCACCCCAGCCTGGGCCTCAGCTCTCCTTCGACGTTAAAACTCTGCACCAAGAACAAATACACATTGTGTTCTGAGTGAAAATCTTCTGCCCTCTGGTCCCTGTCCCCCCTCAGGGACGCTGAGCTTTCTGTTTATCAGTGGTGGTCCTCCTTCTCTCATTTGTTGAAACACACTTTCTAACTTAAATAAACCTTAAGTCTTTATAATGCAACTTGTAATTTTGTCTTTCAGGCAGAACCAAAGGACACAGACTTGTCCCAAAGTGAAGACCCTGTCCGATGCCTCCACAGCCCCAGAGCTGACCCTCTGATCCGCAGCAGACCCCTCAGTGATATTTGTCCACTGCAGAGTCACGCCGACAGGAGTTCAGTCCCACACCTACTGTCTGGATGCAGTGGCCAGGTGCAGCCGATGAGTCGCCTCTCTGACGAGAGCAGATTAAACGGCGTCTACTCATCTGCCTGGTCCAACCCTGTTACAGGTCAAAGTGAAGGAAAACCCCAGCCTTCAAGAATCATGAGACTGTTTTCAAACACGAAGAAGGGCGCCGTCCCATCTGACCGTCCAACATCCGCTCACAACAATGACAGCAGCAGCCCTCAGCCTTGGACCGGATTGTCAGGGCTCGGCGTCGTAGACTCTTTCAAAAAGCTCCGATCTTCTGTGCTTCAAGGTATTCAGAGTAAAGCAAACAGCAATGGAGACCACGCCCCTTTACCCAACATGGAAACGCCTAATGGCTCCGCTGTGAATAACACTGATCACACTGATGTGCACACACACGATGAAGGAAATAATGTGACAAACAGATACTTTACTGAGCAGCTCTGGCCTGCTGTTAGCCACTGCGGCTCAGATGCTGAGGACTTTGATGATGAAGACACTGACATTAACGGTCCTACTCGCAATTCCCGATTCTCCAGAAGTATTAGGAGAGCGTACGGAGATGGAAGAATCCCGTTACATGATATGGAAAACGGTAGGCGAGCAGGAAGTAGAAAAAACAATGTCCCAAGTTTCACAGAACAACCAAATCACACGCCTCAAGTCAGCATCCAAACTCAGAATATAGAAGAAAACACTAATGTGAAGGTTATGAGCAGACTGAGCAGAAGCACCGAGAACCTCCCAGTGTTTAAGATACACATTAGGCGCAAAGCTGTATCTCCGGGACCTCTATCTTCACAGGAAGACTCCCAGAGGACCAGTTTCTTTAATCTATCACCAAACATCCAAAGGACCTCCAGCGCTTCTTCAGTGGACCTTCGGAGGGGCCCCGCCAACAACAAGGGATCCATGCTGAAGCTGATCGGCAGCATGACTGATCTCACTGTGCGACGCAGGCAGAGTCCTTCCCCGAGTCCCACCTCTCCATCTCCCATGAGCCGTCTCCATGACGACTATTCTCGTCGTGTGCCTTGCCTACGAACCAGTGAGCGACAGCGTCGACCGTCGGCCGCCAACGTCCAGGTTGGTCCCATCGAGCACACTCCTCTTGTTCACCGTCATCCTGAAAACGATGAAGCATCGTATCTGGCTGTGGCGGACCCGTTTCCTCTGGAGCCAGCCGAGCAGATCGTAGCTCAGAATGAGCAGCTAGCTACAACAAGACATCATCAACCGATGACTGAAGGATTTTCAGCCTCACTGAACCAGAGTAAGAGTTCTCAACACCAAGCTCAAACAGAGGTGAGACAGAAAACCGCCAAAAGATCTGATATTCTGTCTTTTTATGATGCATTATGGCAGAGGACATGTTTACTCTTTTATCTTTATGGCCTTTTTTTGTTTGAATAACCTTGATCCTCATCTCCAGCAATAAAATGTCTCCTAAAAATTAAAACTGATCTGTGAATCTATGGTTATTGAGTCTCGTTCACACGGTGACGTGATTTCTGCCTGTAATAGCGCACGTAAGCTAAAAAAAAGTCATAGGAAGTCCGAAGTCCTCTTATCCGTCAGACAAACCAAGGTCCAACATCGGTTGACCCTCCTGCTGCAGAGTCACATGCTGGAACCAGCTGGCTCTGAAGGAGCAGGGAGAGTTAATCATTAGGCTTTGTTTATGATTAGTGACCCCTTACGCAAAAGCTGCTGCATGCTCGTGTTCCTGCTGGAGACTCAGGCAAAGAGCTAGTTCAGCTGTAGCAGCAGAGATCAAAGTACAGACCTCCTCCAGGCCTACGACAGCTAACAGCACCACCAAGGAGACAGGACGGTCAGCGCAGAGGTTTAGGACAATGGTTTTAAATGGCTTGATGTCCTGTTTCACAGCAAGCTGGGAAAAGGTTTTTATGTACTGTAGAAACCGCGGGGCTTTACCTGGATTCAGAACAATAGGAGCTTGACGGGTTTTTGTGTCACAATGGCGCTGGTACTCTGTGTGCCTTTCCAGTGTGTGTGCCGGGGCCCTGAGCCAGATGGAGAAAAGCAAGAGGTGAGATTTGCTCAGTGTTGGCCTACATACGTCTACGTTAGTGGCATTTGTTGCTACTGTTGCTAAATTTGATCAATTTGAGGTTAAATGTGGAGCCGGTCACCATGGGAACAATATTTTATTTACAAATGAACGATAATCATCAGAAGGATCCTGCTGTTCTACCAGATTTGAGTTTGTTGTGTTTTATTGCTTATTTAATGCCATTTTTTGTCTTTTATGTCCAGGTGTCGTCACACCTACGAGGACAAAACCCGCTTCTCCAAAAGGAGGAAGTCTTGGCAGCAACCAGCAGCCCACCCCCCGTCTCTCCAACATGTCTCCCCGAGTCGCCCGCATCACCGACATCTCCCACAGAAGCGGCAGAAACCTCTTTGGTCAAGGCCAGACGAAGGAACGGGCGCCCGAGGCCTCGGCCCATCTCTGACAACGCGCAGCTCGTTTCCAGGAAGTATCTGATCCCCGAGGAAGTAGCGGAGCCGCACGACAAGGAAAGGATGCCTGAAACAGCGCCGCGAAAGGACAGGGGCGGTGACAGCCCTGAGATGTGTGGCAGAAACGAGGACGCTCCGAGACATCGGCCTGTCTCGGTCATAGGAGCCGTGGATCTGTTCCCCGCTGATGTCGGGTTAAAGGAGGACCGCCTTCCCTCCGTAAGCCTTTCAGCCCTCGGATCTGTTATTTCAGAACTTTTAGTTCAAATCTGTGTTCTTATTTTCACATTTACCCTACGTCAGCACCGTTTACATTCTTGGCTACCATCTTAGTTTCGGAAGAGGCAGATTAAAATCTTTTTGTTGTAATCTGCAGCTTTAGATGGCACCTAATCCTTCAAATGCTCAGTTATAGGGAGCACAACTGAAAACATCCCTTTTGGGAAAGAATTTTCCACAAACTCGGTGAACCCGTGAACTCGGAGGTGACTTCTTCTACCGGGGCTTTTGATGAGTTAAAGACATAATCAATGGAGTCACGATGCCTTGATTCACCAGGGTAACTGTGGGGAAAAGAAACTGGATCTGAATCGTTTTAAACAGGAAATCTGTTTTTAAGCTTAAATATGAAGATTGTGGGCAGCAGAGAGCTTTCGTCCCCACTTCCTGTTGAGGCAAAACAGTGAAAAATGAACTTGGACTCGTTTTAAACTCAAATATAATTCAGTAAAATTAATTTAAAGCTCAATTTAATCAGAATTATTTAAAATACCCTACAGGGGTTTGTTTTAACACAACTCTTCTCCCAGCTAATATTCTGCCTTTGACTGCATCATTTCTCTCTTTCTATTTATTTATCGTGTAACGAAACATTTAGAAAACAGATGTAGAAATTGGTTTACCCTCAAAGAGGCACAAAGCCGGCTCTGGCGTAAGTGGAAGTAAGTGCTGGTGCATCAAAAATCTTCTACCTACGTAAGGCCTTATGGAATATTTTAGTTTCGATATCTGTGGGTTTGTGTTTTAGCAGGTTGTTGTGAATAAAACTCATGACGAGTTTTCACTTGATCCAAGTAAAACTAATTATAAAGGCTCGTGTTGAATGTAAGCAACGTTTCCTTTTAATTCAAATAAAAACAACACAGAAACAAAAGGAATCAGATAAAAACTTTATTCCGAAGCATTTTGTGAAATATCAGGTTATTTGCTTTTCCGTTGGAGGTGAAATTTTCTGACACTTAACACTTTCCAATGAAATTAACAGATTATACAGGAAAAACTTGCAGTTGGGGTGATTTGAAGGTAAAAGCTTCAGGGATCATCTCTCAACCTGTTTCTCATGGTCTGCCAGCTCTGTTTGTGACAAAGATCCACAATCCCATAATAATCGACTCAAAGTCCTGGGCAGGAACGCTTACCGCTGACGGTTATTCATCAGGTGGCTGAGAACACCGGCTCTTCCTAAAACTAAAGCGCTTCTTCTGTTGTTTTTGCAGCCTTCGTCACGACCCCCGATCCCCTCCCACCAGGTGCCCCCCTACAAAGGAGTGTCTGCACGGTTTCGGCCGTCTGTCCTGTCCCAAAGCACCCCCATCGGACTGGACCGCGTGGGACGGCGGAAACTCCACAGGGTGCTCAGCGGTGAGAACTGGACTTGTTTACAGGATCTGTGGGAATGCTGGGGGAAAGGAATGACAATATCCGTGTGTGTGTGTGTGTGTTACAGACGGTGTGTCGGAGTGCATGGCCACGCTGGACGACAGCGTGAGCGAGGAGGAGGAGAGCAGCTTTGATGAGCTTGCTGATGTCACACCCTACCTCCAGCCGGGAGTGGAGCTCTCGGTGCTCAACGAGGTGAACGTGTCCTCCAGAAATCCCGTAAACTTTAATTTTGTCCACATGTCCGACCTTAATCCCGCATGTCGGACACGGGTTGTTCCTCTCTGTAATTGTATGCTCATCTCGATCAGTGGATAAGCTCGGGCCGCACAGTGTTCGCCGAAGCTCTCTGGGACCATGTGACTATGGAGGAGCAGGAGCTGGCCTTCAAGGCCGGGGATGTCATCCGCGTCCTGGACGCCTCTCATAAGGACTGGTGGTGGGGCAAGGGGGCAGACAAGGAAGGCTGGTTCCCATCCAGCTTTGTGAGGGTAAGTGGGCTTTCTGACCTCTGGCTCTGGTACACGTCTGCTCTCCAGCAGCATCTTAGTCCTCCAAACAAACCTCTTAATAGTGGGCTGAAGGGCTCAAGCCTCACAGGTTGCTGTGGTAACGGGAAGTGATTGGCGGTTGAGTCTTAATTAGTCAGGCTGTGGTTACCATGGTGAGGGTGGCTGACTGGCAGCTGGTCGTCTGCTGTATGATTGCTCCTTGCTGAATCAACGCTGACGAACCCTGCACATGCAGTTACCATGGCGATGAATCCAACTCAAAAGTTTTCTATCCTTAAAACTAAAGAAGTTTCAAGAACAATAATTGTTTGATGATTTTATAACAAGGGAGAGTGTATTAAGGCTTTAGAATCTGTGGCCGATCGCGACTCAGGAGGGTCTGGATGTGTTTCAGGTCCGTGTGAACCAGGAGGACTCCAGCGCTGAAAGCGTGGAGAGCGTCGCAGACCAAGAAGATCCAGCTCCCCGGGACACGCCCACTGCTCAGCACAAAGAGCAGATGAGAACAAACGTGGTCCAGGAGATCATGAACACCGAACGCATCTACATCAAACACCTGAAAGACATCTGTGAGGTATTTACTCCTCCTTTGTTTAGCACCACCTGTTGGTCAGTGGCAGAACTGTTTTCAGGACTTAAGGCAGCGTAAAAATGTTTTTCACAGGGTTACATCCGTCAGTGCAGGAAGCACCCCGACATGTTCACCGAGCTGCAGCTGCAGACGATCTTCAGCAACATAGAAGACATCTACAAATTCCAGAGACAGTTCCTCAGAGACCTGGAGAGGAAGTACAACAAAGAGCAGCCACATCTCAGTGAAATCGGCTCCTGCTTCCTCCTGCAGGTTACATGAAACCCTTGTATGATTTTCCTCACGAACAGCCCAACAGACCCGGTGTGATTATTTCTGTTTGTTCTCAGGGTGAGGGCTTCTCCATCTACTCGGAGTACTGTAACACTCACCCCGCTGCCTGTGCCGAGCTGCAGCGCCTCATGAAGATGGGGAAGTATAAACATTTCTTCGAGGCCTGCCGTCTCCTCCAGCAGATGATTGACATCTCCATCACTGGTTTCTTACTCACACCCGTCCAGAAGATCTGTAAATACCCATTACAGTTGGGGGAGCTGCTCAAGTACACGCCCAAAGATCACAGGTAGCATTTCCTCACCTGCCAAACTAAAAACCCACAGATGAGCTCATTGCTTTGGAGATGGTGGCAGAGAAATATCCTGATGCATGTATTTAGCACATGTGGCATCCGCCGTGGCAACCGCATCCCAGATGAGTGTTTCACCTGCTGGCTGCATCGGAAGGGATGCTCAGGAAGAGTCTCGGGAACTCATTAGTTGAAAAGGACTAAAACTGGTTGATGGGTGTGCGGATCTCTGAATAAACTGGTTTCCTTTTGTTTATTTACTAAGGTTACCATGTTTGTCTGCAGTGACCACGCTGGTGTCAGTGAGGCCTACGAGGCGATGAAGAACGTGGCCAGTTTGATCAACGAGAGGAAGAGACGCCTGGAGAATATTGACACCATCGCCCACTGGCAGGTTGCCATTTTACACTGGGAGGTGAGGATGACCTTTTACTAGTTTTCAGGTTAATTTTGAGTTTATTTGACCAACTTTCTGAATGTTTCGACTTTGTTCGCACACGAAGGGGCCAGATGTTCTGGAGCGCAGCTCGGAGCTGATCCACTCCGGCGAGCTGACCCGAGTCGTCCGACAAGGTAAAATGCAGCAGCGCAGCTTCTTCCTGTTCGACCACCAGCTGGTCTACTGCAAGAAAGACGTCCTGCGCAGAGACCTGCTCCACTACCGAGGACAGCTGGACATGGACCAGATGGAGGTGGTGGACGTGCCTGATGGGCGGGACTCGGAGCTGGGCCTGACCCTGAGGAACGCCCTGCGGCTGCGTCACGCCTCCACGCTGGAGCTCAAGTGTGTGCTGTGCTGCAGGAAGGCCCAGGACAAGCAGAGGTGGCTACAAGCCTTCGCCAGGGAGAGGCAGCGAGTCAAGGAGGACCAGGAGATGGGTGAGCGTCTGAGAGTCCAAACAGCTGTAGGTAAAGTGGGCAGCAGCAGATATTTATTGTGTTTTATTTATGCAGGAATCGATATCAGTGAAGAACAAAGAAAACAGGCCATCGCTAACGCTAGGAGACCTAAACATGGGAAGATCAAATGTAAGAAAAATATTTGACTTTTTATTTGTTTCTCAGTTTGAGTTCCGTTTCTAACGTGAGCTTGTTTCCACGTTTACCCTTTAGCTGTTGGTTACACCGCCTCCGTCCTGCCTCACCACCAGAACCTCCCCCTCATCCAGCAGCGTCACATCACCATTCCCACCAGCGTGCCTCAGCAGCAGGTCTTCTCTCTGGCCGAGCCACCCAAACGGAAGCCTTACCACCTGCTGTACAGCATCACCCGCAACGCCTTTTTCAGGAAATGACTCTCCGTCTATAAAAAACACGTCCTGAAGTCTCAACGAACACTGTGTGTGTGTGTGTGTGTGTGTGCGTGCGTGTGTGCGTGCGTGCGTGCGTGCGTGCGTGTGTGTGTGTGTGTGCGTGTGCGTGCGAGCATGTGTGTGTGCATGCGTCCGCACTGTTAGTTTGATCTCTGTGCCTCGTTTTTGTTGCACATTTAAGTGTCTGTAAGTTAAGGGGGAGGGGCATTACAAAAGTGTTATTTTGTTTGTTAAAGATGCTGCTTATTAAAAAAAAACACCCATCCTGTTTTAATAATTCCAGTTTATTATTATTTGTGTTTAATGACGACAACGATGTATGTTCTGCTTTTACGTTGATGGTTTTAGTTTTTTCACAAAGGCTGGGCCCTGTTTTAGTTTTTGATGCTGAGTCTGCAGCTCTGAGCACAAGACGCCCAGAGGATAAAAGACCTCTGCACAGACCTGTTAACACTGTAAATAAAACTCTTGTACAAACGTCTCATCTGGAACTTTTATTCTGGTGAATGTGACTCGACAAGAAGTGATGGAGGTTAGCGAATGAAACCTTAGCCGTGGGACGGGAGGTTGTCGGGTTCTCGGCCTCTCATCAGTGGAGAAGGATCCGGTTTCAGACACCTGTTGACAGAGGACGGCGTTGTGTGTGACTCGGCACAGTTTACCGGCAGCTCCTGAGGTGGACAGAATATGGAGCAAAAAAGGCTAGGATTAGGTGTTCGATGATGACGGCTTGATGGTAATCGTGTCATGGGCACAAATCAGGAGGAGACTGAGCAGACGAGTGGAGACGGTGATGCATCTGAACCGGACACAGCCAGTGTGAGTAAGAAATAAAGCACATGAAAAGCTTTTATTTTGGAGGGATTTTTTTTACTCCAATTAGTTTTTGTTTTTCATGTTCATTTCTTCACTGAGAAGATTTTGTCCTTGAGATAATAAATTATTAGAATAAAATATGGATCTCCTGGCTAAAATGTATTATTTTTTAGGTTTCATAACAGTTTTGATGCATTTCTGCTAGTGATGCACCGATATGAAATTTTTGGGCCGATATCCGATATTAAGATCACTGTTGTGGCTGATAACCGATGTTAGCTGATACCGATATATTGGCATTAATGCTTCTAAAATCAGTAATTTTGTATAAAATGAAAATTATTAAAGCCGAATTTACGTTATTATGAATACACATTTAAGTTTCTGAGATTATTACAATCACTGTTCACATGACAAAAAAAATACACATCATCCCCTCACCCTCCGAAACAGGCTAACAAACGGAGGCAAGATGGATAAAATATCGGCTGTTAATATCGGTCCGCTTATATTTATTGGACTGATACCGATATGTTAAAAAATGACTAACATCGGCCAATTCAGATAACTGATGCAGATATATTGTCCATCCCTTATTTCTGCACGTCAATTTTTTTAAATTATCAATCTGCTTTATTCTAACGGTGACCTTGTTTTTATGTTACCGGTATTTAGAATTCTCCTTTATTAATGAACGATTTCCGATCATCCTCTGCATTTTCTTAATGTTTTAGACAAAGTATCGACTTTAGTTTTGTACTTTTTAACACCGGTGTGGTAAAAAGTTTAATTTTAGTTGGTCTTTTCAGCTCTTGACGCTCCTTAATGGTTTGCATGACTGGTTTTTCCCTGCTAGATAACTGAACAGGAGCAAAAACAGACCCGTTTTCTATTTCTACATCAGAATGCCAATCATGCTACAGAAGCTGCACTAACAGCCTCCATGTGCAAATGTCACACCAGGACATGTCGGCTCCAGATGTTTCCATGTTTTCAACTATCTTAATTCATCTGGAGCCAAATTCTCTACAAAAAAGCAAGTCTGAGTGGTTGCAGAACAAAAATGATCTAATACAGGTTTTTATATTAAATTAGTCAACTCAAGTGGGATTGGTTAACATAAAAGTCTCTAAAAGCTATTTTTTAAATGTCCCAGAGCATGCTAAACTATTCTTAGTCATGAAGGAGTAGGTCTTTGCTATAAACTGGTGAATCATTCATTTACAGGTGAATAAAATACTGTATTTGAGCTAAAATATCACATTAATTTACAGCTTAAAGGCCCGCTTTAGCCTTTTTCAGTCAGTTGTCTCTATAATCCCTCGGAAATTCCTCCTATTTCAACATGATTTATGTGTTTTTTAGTAATTACATCAAGTGACTAAATTTTAGTATTTTCAGACCTTCACTTCCGCAAAAATGTAACGTTAGGGTCATGTTTCAGTCTTAACCTGTCATATTTTAACTCCGACTTTGTCTCTTTATTAAAAATATGTAAGATAAATGACCACGCCCCCACCCTGTGGGAATCTATACCCTGAGAACTTGTGATGGATTAGGTGCCATGTTGCACGGTATGGGATGACACTGAATGAATAATACATGTGCGTGGGGTAACTTAATGAGTGCTGAGCATTACATCTGATTCAGATAGTATTGCTTTCAAATATTCTCCTTCATGTGTGCAGGCACTGTGTTCAGCAGACGAGCTGCTGCCACCGCTCATTCTGGGACAAATTGCTTGTCCGGTGTGTGATGGCGTTATCATTTCTGCACCATCTACCACGTCCTGATTAGAAATGCGTTCATATAGAAGTGATTCCATCAAAGGGCAAAAAACAATGAACTGCCGCTGCATGGAAATGACCCTGTTACCCCCTCTCCTGGTCGTTTAGATCAAAGATGTGTCTGTGGAGGTCAACACGGTGGATTACACGCTGCGGAAGCTGCGCAGGCTGTACAGGAAGAGCAGACGAAGGCCCAAAGGACTAAAGAGGCTGGTGGCCTACCTGCTGAACATCCCACACATCACCGTCATCGTCACCGCGGTCGTGTTTGTGTTGGTGGTGATCATATGGTCGCTCCTCTGGGTCTTTGTCTGTGAGTACATTTACAACGACACAATACAAACCCTTTATGTTGTCTCATCAGGCTCTCACATGATTGTGGAGGAAGTTTGGACCACACTTCTTTGCAATAACCAAGTTTTGTCTAAATTTGGACGAATGAACAACATTAACCACAAGGTTCCCAAACCATAAAACCTCCACCGCCATGCTGATATGTTTTGTTTGGTTTTCTCCATGCTTCTAGGCATTAAGTTTTTTTTACTGCAACCCATCCAAACAAGCCTTAGCTGTTCAGTCTTTGTACTTTACAGCGGACCTATGTGATGAGCTACCACGTCATGAGCTTCACACCACCTTAAATTAGCATGTCCCAACTTACTTCAATTTTGCCTATTCATAAATGTCCTTCACAATGATGCTAACAGCAAATTTTCATGTCCTGGCTGAGTGGGAGTGGCAAACCTGTCAGTCATCTTATTGGGGCTTTATTATGGGGTTGTGTTTGGCCCAATATCAGGGCTCCTGGGCCATTGTGAGCCTCAACAAAGTTTTAAACACTGTTTAAAGATTCAAAGAACAGTTTCCTATTGTAAAGAAAAGACTTTTCTAGGACACGTTTATACTTTACTCTGCTAACTGAAGCCTGTTGAGTTTGAGATGTGACTCTTAGGTCCATGCTTTCGTTCTTTTTTAAACACAGAAACAGTTTTGTTTACCTGTTTGTAGCTACAGTTTCGCCGACAGCTGCCGGCTTCTTCAGGCTGACGCTGATGGTGGCGCGTCACTTCCTTCTCCGTTTATCTGCGGGCAGCAGAGGACGTTGTCGCCCTCTACTGCCCGCTCTCCCCTCTCCGACGATGCAGTCCCATGTGTGGTCCAGCGTGTAAACTCCGTCGTCCCTGTTCATGGTCCCACATCCACGTCTCCTTATCTCGATTGCTTCCTTGATCCATCTTTTGTATTTTTGTTGTTCGGTGGTTATGATCCGTGTGTTGTCCCAGTCCATTATATGGTTTTCTCTTAAGCAATGATCTGTTACGGCTGACTTTTTTATTGTACTTTCTGCTTCTTCTTTTGCTGCTCTTTTGTGTTTACGATTTGCCTCTTTCTCGCACTCCTTTCTGTGTTCTATTGTCCGTGTATTGAGTTGGCGTCCGGTTTCTCCTATGTATGTTTTATTGCATATTTTGCATGGGATTTCGTAGATGACTCCACATTTTTGTCCAGCTGATATTTTGTCTTTTGGGTGTACTAATCTGTTTCTAACTGTTGTGTATGGCTTTGTTGGTGTGTTTATGTTGTGTTTTTTCATTGTTGCTCTTATTTGGCAAAAGAATTGGCAAAAGAACTAAAGGAAATTACAATAGAAGACAACGACATACTCATCTCACATGACGTCACATCTCTGTTCACAAAAACACCAACCCAAAAAACCATAGACATAGTAGTTAACAGAATCAGACAAGACAAAACTTTACATAAAAGGACAAACCTCACAGCAGATGACATAGCACAACTGATAGGACTGGTAGCTAACTCCACTTACTTCACATACGACAACATAATATACAAACAACTGGAAGGCTTCGCCATGGGTAACCCGTTATCAGCCACCCTGTGCGAGTTTTTCATGGAAGACCTAGAGCAAAAAGCCATAGCCACCGCCCCCCCAAACTGCAAAATAAAACTATGGAAACGCTACGTAGACGACATACTGGAAATCATACCAAAAGGTCAAACAGAAACACTAACACAACACTTAAACAATATTGACGACACGGGCAACATAAAATTCACTTATGAGTTAGAAACAGAAGGCAGCATAGCATTTATGGACATGAAAATCACCAGGCAGACCGACGGGACCCTAAACATAAACACATACAGGAAACCAACACACACAGACCAATATTTATTATGGACATCAGAACACCCCACCATACACAAAATGTCAGTAATCAGAACATTATATCACCGAGCAAACATAATAACAGAAGAGAGAGACCGTAAACAAGAGGACAAACACATACAACACGCTTTAAAGACCTGCAGATACCCGACATGGGCAATAAACAAAGGAAAACAACAAACAAAAACAGAAAGCAAAGAACAACCCAAAAAAAGAACCAGAAACCCAGAAAGACAAGAACCAAAACCAGTGATAACCCTACCATACATCAGAGGCATAACGGAAAAAATAAGAGCAACAATGAAAAAACACAACATAAACACACCAACAAAGCCATACACAACAGTTAGAAACAGATTAGTACACCCAAAAGACAAAATATCAGCTGGACAAAAATGTGGAGTCATCTACGAAATCCCATGCAAAATATGCAATAAAACATACATAGGAGAAACCGGACGCCAACTCAATACACGGACAATAGAACACAGAAAGGAGTGCAAGAAAGAGGCAAATCGTAAACACACAAGAGCAGCAAAAGAAGAAGCAGAAAGTACAATAAAAAAGTCAGCCGTAACAGATCATTGCTTAAGAGAAAACCATATAATGGACTGGGACAACACACGGATCATAACCACCGAACAACAAAAATACAAAAGATGGATCAAGGAAGCAATCGAGATAAGGAGACGTGGATGTGGGACCATGAACAGGGACGACGGAGTTTACACGCTGGACCACGCATGGGACTGCATCGTCGGAGAGGGGAGAGCGGGCAGTAGAGGGCGACAACGTCCTCTGCTGCCTGCAGATAAACGGAGAAGGAAGTGACGCGCCACCATCAGCGTCAGCCTGAAGAAGCCGGCAGCTGTCGGCGAAACCGTAGCTACAAACAGGTAAACAAAACTGTTTCTGTGTTTAAAAAAGAACGAAAGCATGGATTTACAAAGACACAGCAAGAACACACCTAAGGTGACTCTTAGGTGTCTAAAATTTGACCTTTAGATGATATTGTTGGGATGTTTACTCCAGTCCTAAATACAATCTTTCTCTCTGTAGAATAATAGACTTCAGTTAATCTGGAAATGACCTTTAATCACTAACAAAAGGTGATTTTCTATGGTATTTGCTGACGAGTTTACTCCATGATGCAGAATATGTAGTATTTGACCTGCACTTGTATATCACAGTTATGGTTACCAACAGGTTTTGGCCACGGTTTACATGGTGGCCCCACGTAGGTTTTAACCATCGACATATATATTGGACAATGGGTTTCCACAGACTCCAATAACACGTTTTTGAGGCCAAATGGGAGGTGGCCACCACCGCCATTTTGACCGTGTCACAGGTTCCGTCAAGCCCAGACAATTCCACAAAAGGGAAGAGAGGTGGAGCTGAGGGTGGGGCTGTAAGGCTGGGATCAACTGACGACACCTGGTCGAACTAGCTACAAGCTAACCTGAAGCTAACCCAAAGCTAACGTGGAGGTGGGAGCTAAGTTAACGAAGGTAGCAACCTAGCTACAACCGGAGTTAACTGTGCACAACACCAGAGCTTCTGAGTCAGAGATACGCCGGGCTGACCACTGGGTAAAACCGGGTGGAACACAGAGGTCTCCGAGACCTCCACAAGCCGGCAGCCACACAGCAGACAAGCGCCGCTGCGATCCGAGATGTGCAGAGCTGCCGCTGGGGAGAACCGGGTGGAAAGGTTTCCATCCCAGAGCTCCACAAGCCGGCAGCCCGCACAGCACACAGAAGCCGCGATCAGACAGAGATGCGCCGAGCTGCGGGGAGGGGAGAACTGGGTGGAAAACATCGGTCTCCCGAGAGCTCCACAAGCCGATAGTCGGAACCCAGCTCCACCAACATGTTATATTTCAACCCATTTTCTAAAGTGCAGCATTATGTTAAATGAACTGGGTTTTACCCTATTACATTTAAATTTCATGGTTAAACAGTACATGTTAAAATCTAAGCTCAGCTCGGCAGTGACCTAAAATACATAAATATAATTTTACTTACCGAAAAAAAATGAAGTGGAGACTCCTTGGACGCTCTATTAGTGCAATTAATGCCACAGCAAGTCATTTTGTCCAGCAGTCGCACAAATAATATCCAAACAAGAATACACAAACACAGAGACTCAAAATCCCGGAACAGTTTCCAAGCCAGACCGAGGCTCTACTGAGGCCTTTCCACGGAGCTAGCTCTGCGGTCACGTGGGTCTGATGCTCATTAATTATACAGAATTTTAGGCTTTTAATACACTTAAACAGAAGAGTGAGAAAAAAAGTTCACCCCCGTCAGAGTTGTCATGAGTGTAAACTAGATAATTTAAACAAAAAACATGTTTTGGAACCAGGCTGTAAACATGTTTATTTCTGCTGTGAAATTGGTATTTTTAACATGGGAGTCAATGAGGATTTGCTCGCTTCTGACACCAGCCCCTAGTGGATGAGGGTGGAACTGCAATTTTTGTCACTTCGCGTTGGCCTCAATTTTTCACCCGCATTGTGGGGGCTTGGTTTTAACGGGTTCATGTATGAGTCAAACCAGCTGAGTCCATCTGAAAACCCATGCAGGGGTTTTAAATCTACGTGGGCAAACCTTGGTGGGGCCACCAAGTAAACCACGGACAGAACTTGTTGGGAACCATACTGTTCAGTCATACTGTTTTCCTCATGGAGCCCACATGGGGCCCACCTACATGTAAGCTGGCTGGGTGAGCATAAAATTTCACACAGTTGTCCCATTTCAATAAATAAAGACAATTGTAGAATCAGGTGTGTGTGTGTGTGTGTGTGTGCGCGCGTGTGTGTGTGTGTGTGCGCGTGTGTGTGTGTGTGTGTGTGTGTGTGTGTGTGTGTGTGTGTGGCACACTTCTTTCATCACATCTTTTGATTTCTGAAGTTCGCAGGGAATATTACGGCGGAGCCTATTTCGCTGGGATGTTCCGTGTCGCTAACATGGATTTCATCCCAGAGTACCGCCAGGTGGAGTCCCATGAGTTTGTCTCCATGGCAAACAAATTACAAAATGTGGTGTGTACCAGTGAAACCCTGCTGCTTCGTGGTGTAAAGTGCTGAGGTAAGACAGAGTGTGTGGTAATTGTTGGTGTGTCACAGGTGAGCAGCGTGTACAGGACGTCCCCGGTGGCCAGACTCTACAAGCAAGCGATCATTTCAGACCTCAGGTACAAATCAAAGCTTGTTAGTCATCATGAAGACGTCCTGTTTACAGATTCTCACCTGTGTTTTCACCCAAAAGCAACAACAACAAGGGAGGATTGTTGGTGAGTTTCTGGATGGTGTTTGTAATTCCACAAGTGAAGAGCACATCAGTGTGTGACGAGTGTGTCGAGGCCATTCTCAGAGACTCAGTGGGTGCCAGTCTGCAGAACAGGTCCTCCATTGGCTACCTGCTGGGCCTTCCAGTGGACATAGACTCCATCCTCATCAACAGTGCGTTTCTGTGTTCATCATTCAGCCTGAAAAGTCTTTACTTTTACTGAAATGAGCTCAATTCATCTGCAGGTGTTCAGCGTTCAGATTACACATCAAGCACAGGAGGTAGGGACAAAAAACCCTAATTTAGGTCTTGTTTGAGGACACGTTTTTGAGTTGTTTATCTTCTGCCAGGCTCACAGTGTGTAGATAAACTGTATGCCAACATTCTCGGAGCCAGCGTCCCTCTAAGCATCTACTCCTCATGGGGAGGTGTGAACTGCCAGGTGAAGCTCACCTCGGTGCCGGACTCTCTGATCCGTCTAACCATCACATCGTTTGTCATCGAGCCCTCTGACTGTGTGAGCGACGCCCTGACTGTGTACGACGCTCTGCTGCCCATGAGGGGGCGCATTCTGCACAGGTAAGTCAGCGGCAGACACTCCTTTTCATTCTCTTCTTCTGTTTTTTGAAATCAAACCGTAATTGTGTTACTACATCTCCAAACAGTTGCATCGAAGTTGATCTCATTTTTCTGCTTTGGCTTTTGAAGAAAACATCAGATGTTTGAGGAACTCTAAAGTTTTCATGCAAGGCTTTTATTGTGTTTCTGTGCTGTAGCCTGTGTGAGCCAGTGTCCAGCCCCGTCTCCATTGTCTCCACCTCCAACATCATGTTGCTCTCCTTCAGAATGACAGGCGACAACAAGAGCTTCAAAGGGTACTTTGAGGCTATCAATGACAAGGGTAGGACTCATTATGCCCCATTACACACCTTACAACCACAAACTTAATTCTGATTTTCTGAGATAGACCAGAATAGTCAATTTTGAGCTAAATCATAGCTAAACTCTGAAAGGTCAGAGGTCACACAGATTAAAAGCTGATGCAGACTTGTCCTTTTCAGTGTGTTTGTCTCAAATTGAGACCCAGTCTGATGGTAACATCTACAGCCCCTTCTACCCCAGCCTGCTGCCCCCTAAGTGCTCCTGCACCTGGAAGTTCAAGGTACATCTTACATGAACACATTATTAGTAGCTTTTTTGTTTATACAAAGATGTTCGTTTTATATTTTTGCAGACACCAAGCCCACATTTAGGCGTGGCCCTACGCTTTCAGAACTATGTATTGAAAGCAAAGGACATACAAGGCTGCAACAACGGCTGGTGGAAAGTCAATGAAGTCATGTATGTGGCTGCAGCTGTAAAAATCTTCTGCCTAACATAAAGAACGTTCTCAATTTTGAAGCTTCATTTGTGGATGTCTTCTTTCTCAGTTTCTGCGGTAGCTACGTGGGATACCACACCGTGTTTCGGATCGATCACCCCAGCCCAGAGGTGGAGTTTCTTTGTAGCTCTTCCAGCTCTGCTCAGCCTTTTCAGGCTTCATACAGCAGCTTCAACATCAGCCACCGTAAGCGCTGGACATCACCCTGATTCAGTAGTCAATAAACGTGTTTATGCACTGAGATCTTAGTGGTACATGTCAACCCAACAGCCTGTCCAGAAAGCCACTTCCTGTGCAACACGGGGATCTGTGTGGAGAAGAGCCGACTCTGTGATGGTCTGGATGACTGCGGGGACGAGAGCGACGAGCTCTTCTGCTGTGCGTGGGTTTACGTTTTACATTAAGCTGCTTGATATGGAGGGCTCGTCCTGCCAAAATCACAATAAAATAGATAAATAAATAATATTTAGATGATTAATTTTTAACGTATTTAATTAGTTATTTGTTTATATTATTTATTTATTCTCTCCACTGTCACTTCATGCTTGCTTCAAATGAGGATTGCTGTAAAGACTCTGACACAAGTCAGAGACTCGATGCAACCTGCTGGGTTCCTGATATAGGAAACTTTTTACTGATTGGCTTAATGAACTGACCTGTATCGGAATGTTTGTGAAGTGCTTTGAGGTTAATTTTGTCGTGATTTGGCGTTATATAAATAAACTGAATTGAATAGAATTTATTAATATGATATTAATCTATTAATTTAATTGTTTATTAAGTTGTTTACTGTGTGTTTATTTGCACATTTATGAATGTATTTATAATTTCATAGTTTATTAATGTCTTCACTTTATTTACTTAATAATAAAAAAATTAATTAATTAATTTAGTAATTTAGCTGTTATTTCCCTAGTTAGTTACACTCAACAAAAATATACACGCAACACCTTTGTTTCTGCTCCGATTTTCCATGAGATGGATTTAAAGATCTAAAATTCATTCCAGATACACAATATTACCATTTTTCTCAAACATTGTTCACAAATCAGTCTAAATGTGTGATAGTGAGCACCTGCGCTTTGCTGAGATAATCCATCCCACCTCACAGGTGTGCCACATCAAGATGCTGATCTGACATCATGAGTAGTGCACAGGTGTACCTTATACTGCCCACAATAAAAGGCCACCCTGGAATGTGCAGTTTTTTGCTTTATTGGGGGTCTGGGGACTCAGAACCTGTCAGTATCTGGTGTGACCACCATTTGCCTCATGCAGTGCAACACATCTTCTTCGCATTGAGTTTATCAGATTGTCAGTTGTGGCCTGTGGAATGTTGGTCCACTCCTCCTCAATGGCTGTGCGAAGTTGTTGGATATTAGTGGGAACTGGTACACGCTGTCGTTTACGCCGGTCAGGCACATCCCAAGCATGCTCAATGGGTGACATGTCCGGTGAGTATGCTGGCCATGCAAGAACTGGGACATTGTCAGCTTCCAAGAACTGTGTGCAGATCCTTGCAACATGGGGTCGTGCATTATCTTGCTGAAACATGAGGTGATATTCATGGAAGTATGGCACAACAATGGGCCTCAGGATCTCATCATGGTGTCTCTGTGCATTCAAAATGCCATCAATAAAATGCACCTGTGTTTTTTGTCCATAACAGATGCCTGCCCATACCATAACCCCACCATAGGCTACTCGATCCACAACATTGACATCAGCAGAGCGCTCACCCACACACGCTGTCTGCCATTTGCCCTGAACAATGTAAACCGAGAGTCATCCGTGAAGAGAACACCTCTCCAACGTGCCAGACGCCATCGAATGTGATCATTTGCCCACTCAAGTCTGTTACGGCGACGAGCTGGAGTCAGGTCAAGACCCCGATGAGTAATACGAGCATGCAGTTGAGCTTCGCTGAGACGGTTTCTGACAGTTTGTGCAGAAATTGTTTGGTTATGCAAACCAATTGTTTCAGCAGCTGTCTGAGTGGCTCCTGGACTGGTGTGGTTACACGTCGTCTGCGGTTGTAAGGCTGGTTGGATGTACTGCCATATTCCCTGAAACGCCTTTGGAGACGGCTTATGGTGGAAAAATGAATATTCAATGCACAAGCAACAGATCTGATTGACATTCCTGCTGTCAGCATGCCAACTGCAGGCTCCCTCAATACTTGTGGCATCTGTGGCATTTTGCTGTGAGATAAAACTGCACATTCCAGGGTGGCCTTTTATTGTGGTCAGTACAAGGTACACCTGTGTACTACTCATGATGTCGTATCAGCATCTTGATGTAGCACACCTGTGAGGTTGGATGGATTATCTCAGCAAAGCCGAAGTTCTCACTGTCACACATTTAGACTGATTTGTGAACAATGTTCGAGAGAAATGGTAATTTTGTATATCTGGAATGAATTTTAGATCTTTAAATCAATCTCATGAAAAATCTGAGCAGAAACAAAGGTGTTGCGTTTATATTTTTGAGTGTAGATAGTTAGTTAGTTAGTTAGTTAGTTGTTAGTTTGTTTGCTTGTTTGTTTGTTTGCTTGTTTATTTGTTTGTTTCTTTTTTATTTCCAATTTTTTTTTTATTATTTTCCTAATTTACCTTTGTATTTATTTTCCCTCTTGAAATATTTGTTTATTTATTTAGTTGTTTATTTAGTATTTTTCCCAACTGATTGATTGATTGGTTGCTGGCTTGTCTGTTTGGCTGGGTGGCTGGTTGGCTGGTTGGTTGGTTGGTTGGTTGACTGGCTGGCTGGCTGGCTGGTTGGTTGGTTGGTTGGTTGGATGGGAGGCTGGGTGGCTGGTTGGTTGGTTGGTTGGTTGGTTGGTTGGTTGGTTGGATGGGAGGCTGGGTGGCTGGCTGGTTGGCTGGTTGGTTGGTTGGTTGGTTGGTTGGTTGGTTGGTTGGATGGGAGGCTGGGTGGCTGGCTGGCTGGCTGGCTGGTTGGTTGGTTGGTTGGGAGGCTGCATGGCTGGCTGGCTGGTTGGTTGGCTGGTTGGCTGGCTGGTTGGTTGACTGGTTGGCTGGCTGGCTGGCTGGTTGGGTGGTTGGTCAGTTGGTTGGATGGGAGGCTGATTGGCTGGCTGGTTTGTTTGTTGGTTGGTTGGTTGGTTGGTTGGTTGGTTGGATGGGAGGTTGGGTGGTTTGTTGGCTGGTTGGTTGGTTGGTTGGTTGGGAGGGCGGCTGGCTGACTGGTTGGCTGACTGGTTGATTGGCTGGTTGATCGTTAAGTTGGGCAGGATTAGGCCTCCAAAACTTAAATCCTAAGGTTTTCTATATGCCTGAGTTACTATTTTGATTATTTTAACCTGTGAAAGTAAAATTACCACACATCTGTGTTTGTCTGTGTGTTTTCACAGCAAGGCCCACTATTAACTGTGGGAGTAAGAATCCTCCACACGCTTTGTTAGTGTGCAACGGAGAGGTTGACTGCATTGATGGTTCAGATGAGATCAACTGCACTGAGGGTTCGCTTTTTATACTTTCAAATGAATTTGTTGTTTGCATTTTCTCCATTAAAAGTTGTGTTTTGTTTGTTCAGAAGCAACCTGCTCTGAGATCAGGTATCGGTGCAGGAGTGGGGCCTGCATCCTGAAGAAAAACGCAAAATGTGACGATGCCCCCGACTGCCAGGATGGCAGCGATGAGGCGGACTGTGGTGAGTCAACCTGACATGATGGTTGCTGGCATGACTCCAGAGCCAATTTGTTTAATAAATTATTGCGAGAAAAAATGTCTTAAATTGTGTAAAAAAGTTATGCTCTTGTATCTTTAATTTTATCTTTGATTTCTCACTGATAAATAAAAAGCTCCTTCTTTTACCAGCCTGTTTAGAAATGTCTGCAACAATTGCTAACACAATGAGTGCCGTCTCCCTCAGCCTGTGGTCTCCCTGCCTTCAAGAAAGTGGGCCTCCAGCGTATTGTGGGCGGGATTAATGCTGTAGAAGGGGAGTGGCCTTGGCAGGTCAGCCTTCACTTTGACAGTAACCTGTACTGCGGCGCCTCCATCATCTCCTCTGAGTGGCTTGTCTCAGCTGCCCACTGCTTCAGCAAAGACAGGTCAGCTATTATGAAAATGCCCATTCTGTAATTTATAGATTTAACTGAAGAATCTACATCTGTCAGGGGAGGTCCTAGAAGATGTTCAGAGTGGGCCAGTGCCACCCTGACAACAAGCTTAGGCTTCCCCTGCGGCCCCCCTGCTGAGGGCGGAGCCTAAGCATCAATAGTTAAACAGTATTTTGAAACCTATCGTGTATGTAAAGTAACTGAATTCATAATATATTGTTGTGAATAAACACTAAAATTAGAAAAAATTAAAGACAACCTTTTTCATGTTTTCTCACAAGTCTGCCTCTAGAACCTCCCCTGGCATCTGTTTTCAGATAGTGACCTCTGACCCCACAGGCTCTCTGACCCACGTTACTGGATGGCCTACCTCGGCATGCTGGTGCAGGGCAGTGCCAGACACGCAGCGGAGATCCAGAGGATCGTTGTGCACGAGTACTACAACGCTAACACGTTTGACTATGACATCGCTCTGCTGCAGCTAAAGAAGGCCTGGCCCCCCTCGCTCAGCCCTCTGATCCAGCCCATCTGCCTCCCCCCCTCATCCTACACGGTCACTGACAGCTACCGCTGCATTGTCACAGGATGGGGGTACCGGTTCGAGGACGGTCAGTAGTGGCTTTCATTGGAGGTGCATGTAAAACTGACATAAACATGGTCGAAACTTAGTCAATTTGGCAGGTTTTGGGCTGCAAATTGATGTGATGCTAACATAAACAGCATATATGAACGTTTCATGACGTATTGTTTACTTTAGATAATAAATGACTAAATAATGACACATCCCGACCTTCTGCAGATAAGGTGCTGCCCTCGGTGCTCCAAAAAGCACAAGTGTCCATAACCAATCAGGTGGAGTGTAAGAAGACTTATGGCATCATCTCCCCACGCATGATATGTGCAGGGGTCCCATCAGGAGAGAGGGACGCCTGCAGGGTGAGATGTCATGAATCTAAAACTCACAGTCCTTTCTGAAAAATAGTTTTTTATTTATTTACTTTTAACCAGGGGGATTCAGGAGGTCCTTTGTCATGTCAGGCACCAGGCGGAGGTCGCTGGTTCCTGATGGGGATTGTCAGCTGGGGATCTGGCTGTGGAAGACCAAACTTACCTGGAGTTTACACCAGGGTCACCAAGTTCACCCCCTGGATCTACAGCCATATCAGCTGACGGGATGGAGCCTGCTCTTTAATAATATAAATAATAAAGAAATCAGTTGTTACACACTTTGTGTTCTTTGTGTTCCTCAATGACGCATCCCACCTCCTTTATTTACTCAAAATAAAAATAAAAACCTCAGAATTAAAGCTGCATATTCCCTCTGGTGCATCCGAGGACTCTGGCGCAGCATTCCCAGCCCTCAAACACTCTTTTGTTCCCTAATACACAGCGAGTAAGTTTGCCCACAAAAATCTTTCAAACAGATGGTTGCATGCATCGCTCTCTTTCATAGTGGTCCTATTGTCCCCCGCACTGCATTCTGGGGCTCCATGTGACACCTGTTCAGGTAAGCGGGAGGCGGTGAATGCCCGCCGCATCCGAGTTTCTCAGCTTGGATTTCTGCTCTCTCTTTTATTTTGTTGTCAGAGGAAGCAACAGCAGGGATTTCCTCTCTCTCTCTTTCTCTCTCTCCATCGTTTCTATGCCCGAGTTATTGCTGCATATCACCTCTCCGGAGCTAAACTGGACCGTGCTATGTGGACTCTGCCCAAAGGCAAAACTTGTGAGGTGTACTGCGTCTCTTCGCATGGACGATCAGAAGGTCTGGCTGCACAGGTAAGCCATCACTGAGCGTATTTCACCCAAAAGGTGTAGTCCTTATAGGTTGTTGTATTTTTAAAAAAACTACAGAAACGGGTTAAATGAAGATTATTTTCCTAACTTTAAAGTTTGTGTCAGTTAGAGATGGTTTGCGGACACTGCTGAGCCCCCAGGGAGTTCTCTAATTGTTCAGGATGTTGTTTGATCTGAAACATGTGCATCATTCCTGTCAGTAAAATCCATCCCGCATTGATTCTGGCACAGAGGGTGCATCTCGTTTATGGCTCACACAACCAGGAACCTGGGAGCTGAGCTGAAAAGCCAGTGTGATATTTGAGTCATTCTCTTGTCTCTGAAAGGGAGATGGGGAGTTAAGAGAGGACCAGGAGGTGGAAGTGGAGAGAAGTTCATCCTGTTGTTCCTGGAGGAGGTGGACATTAGGAATCCTGCCTTTCTTCCCCTTCACTGCTGCCATTGCACTGACTCTCCACTACTTAACACGTGAGTCCAGATCGGCTTTTTTTATTTTACTTGATACACTTCAGGAGTTTTTTTTTTTTTTTTTACTTTTGAGATGACCTGTCTCACACCTCTCCGTTCTCCAGCTCCGTCTTACTCAGTGTTCCTCCTGGGTGGCAGCGTGGAGTTCCCAAACCTGAGCTTCTCCTTGGAGCTCTCGGACTCCTCCTCCCCACAGTTCCGCCTGCAGGTTCAGGCTTTGAACCATTATGTAAGTGGAACGTTTTGTCGCTACATCCCCTCTGAATGTCACTTTAGAGCGCTCCGTGACCTCGCTGCTCCTGGATAAAGCTGATCTTCCTCTCTAACTTTCGAACCCCCCATTAGAAATCACTACTCACAACATCTCTGCCCTCTTTCTCTTCTTCTGTCCTCCTTATCTGCTCCATCCTCCCTTGTCTCCCCCTTTTTTCACCTCTGTCCTGCCTCTCTCTGGTGTTAAATGTAAAGCTGAAACAAGAGCCGTGCATAGTGCGTGTGTGAGTCACCCCGGACCCCCAGGGACGGGGTCCTTTCAGGGCCGAGGACAAGCCTGGCATTTGTGAGTCCACCCGCTAGGCCCGGGCAGCAAACGTGAGAGGAAGAGCAGGCCCTCAATAAAAACATTGTCTGCGTGGCTTTCACACAATCAGCCACTATATGTGTGCGGCTCAAAGCAGGAAGAGCTGCGCTCAGAGCCGGGGTAGAAGGGCAAGATAGGATGACAGAAGGACAGAGATAAAAGGTGGGAACAGAGGTGGAGCTTTGGAGCAAAAGGTCACATTGATAAAGAGGAATTCCCAAACTCTGAAGTAGCTTCATGTTCCGATAAACGGAGAAGTTAGGGGATTATAAGTGTTTTTATTTCTCTTTTCTTAGTTTTCTAAACTCTACGAGTCCACCCCGTGGAGCTCCTACTACCTGCACTCAGGAATTACAGCCTTCAGGTACCCGAAACTAAAATGTCTTGCTTTTACAGCTGCAAAAAAAAATAATAATAATAATAATAATAATATCCCGTTTTGTTTCTTTTTGCATGACAGTGAAGGAGAAGAGGGGCTCAGTGTCTTCTACTGGAGTAAATTCTCCGCCCCTGATAAGGTTGCCATGGAAATGCAAAGGTCCGGTCCGGAGAGGCTGCAGCGCAGACTTCCTGGACGCCACAAGGTGCAGAGGGAGAGTCGAAACGAGCAGCGCTACTTCATGGAGACGGATGAAGACACGCTCCACCTGCTGGGTAGAGGCTGCTGCTGCTGTCTGAGTGCAGACTGAACTGGTTCAAAAATAACTTGTGTGTGTGTGTGTGTGTGTGTGTGTGTGTGTGTGTGTGTGTGTGTGTGTGTGTGTGTGTGTGTGTGTGTGTGTGTGTGTGTGTGTGTGTGTGTGTGTGTGTGTGTGTGTGTGTGTGTGTGTGTGTGTGTGTGTTTTAGGCTTGGATGCCGAAGATTTTGAGTCAGAGGACAAATTGGAAAAAATGAAAAATCAAAATAGCATCCAGGGTGGGAAATGGCAGCTCGGCTTCCAAGGTGAAGACAATGCATCCATTTTTTTTCCCCTTGAATGAGGCCCTGTTTAAAACTGCCATTGATTTGGGTTTGTGTCATCTTTCCAAGAGCTAATAAACAGAAAAAGGTCTTTGCCTAAACATGATGCATTTTGTGTTCAGCTACAGTTTGTATTTTTGACATTTAACAACAATGAAATGTTTCTTCCCCTAAATTGAAGCTGCTCTTTTAAAGCTGCAGTTCGTAGCATGATGTCATCAAGGAGAGGAGGCTAGAACAGCTATAGCTCCCACCCCCAATCCTTCTCAGCTAGAAGCTAAAAGTAGAAGAAGAAGAAGAAGAAGAAGAAGAAGAAGAAGAAGAAGAAGAAGAAGAAGAAGAAGATCTTTTTAAAAATCATGAGGTGCTTAAAAGTCACGCCTCATACCGCGCACACGAACACAAACAGCCTTGTATCGCTAACGGACATGTAATGTTTTTGACAGGTTCCTGCTCAGCCACACCTGATTCTAATTGCTGAATTATCTCCTCATAATTACCCTTATTGGGTTCTGCAGGTTTCTAAACACTTGTTTTAATCAAATCTGCAGCGTTAAAGCAGGAATCATCTTCAAGCCAGCAGGAATCCAGCACTTGCAATGCTAGCACACCGCTGCTAACGCTACAAAAGGCTGAAACAATAGCCTAATGCTACTTATAAATGGCCCGCACTTGCATAGCGTCTTTCAGAGTCAGAGGACTCCAAAGCACTTTACACTACAGTGTATCATTCATCCAGTCACACACACACACTGGTGGTGATGTAGCCACAGCTGCCCTGGCACACTGACAGGGGTGAGGCTGCCGAGCACAGGGACCACCGGTCCTTCTGAACACCATAAGCAGGCAAGGTGGGTTAAGTGTCTTGCCCATCTTTATCTGGAGCTGGAATTGTACCTGCAACCTTCCAATTACTGGATAACCGTCTCAAGCAGTTGAGCCACTGGTGCCCCAAGCTTACTTAGCTAGTTAGCTTCAGTTCACAAAGGATAAAACCCACTTTGCTCCCCTCCCTCCTCTTCCACAGTTAACTGGAAGTTTACAGACCGACATTAATTCAAATGCCGGTCAAATTAGCATTCATGCTAGGTTGGTGTGCTAAGCGCACCCAGTAACGCATTCTCGGGTGGAGCGAGGGTGCAGATGAAGCGTTCCTACGTTTTCCATCACAGAGGTGGGGACAGAGGGCACACCTCCATCTTACTGCGTCCATGACTGGGACGCATTCTCGTTGATTGACAGCGTCCTCTTGTGGAAAACTCAAACCTATTGTTAAATGCTCTAGGTTCACGTAAACTATTCGTGTTGCTGTAGAGGCTAGGGGAGGACTTAGGGGAAATATAATAAAAGATTGTCTTCTTTATATCATAGAACAGGGTCACATAGTGAAATGTAAACATTTTTCAAGTTACTTAAAAAATGTTAAACTATGTACTCCAGCTTTAAGGATTGAATTTTACAGCCTCAAAAGCTAATTTCTTCAAAGGAGGATACAGATCAATTGTGACCATAAATAAAATCTGCCATTTTTATGCCACCAAAATAAAAAATTGAAATCTGGAATAAACATGAAATTTTTCTTAAAAGATTTTGGCTGACGGCCCTCTGCATCAGCTCAAACATCACTCTTCTTTACCCTCCACTCTACCCCCCCAGAAAACTGCGAGTAAACTGCTATGAGGTTAAGATGGCAGAAAGCTCTCTTGAACTAGCCGTTGACCCATCAATTCAGTGAAAATTAAACTTCATTTCTGAACCTGTGCACAACCTTCCTGCAGATGCCTCACTTTAAGGAAAAATCTTGCTAATTTCTCTGTCTAGCAATATCTTTTGACCTCTACGCCAAATACGGAAACAACCGCACCTTGAGTCTTGTGAGCCCCAAGAAGCCATATTACCAGTGGCGTCTACGCGTGCCATCGGGTCATGTTGTCAGGCTGGTTGTCCTCACCCTTCACGGTGCCACGCCAGGAAGCTGCGCCGCCCACAAGCTCTCGGCCTATGATTTCTTACTTCCTTTGCAGAACAAGATAATTGCCAGGTAAGACTGTTTCTTGGCACAGATTCTTTAAATAAACGGAAATAACTTTTCTTTGGATGTCTGAGCAAAAGTTGCACCTTTGTAAGTGTGTATGTATCTGTGTGTGGGTGCGTTGCAGGTGGTGTGGACTTCCTGTTTCAGGCTCATCTCCGGTCATGAAGCTGACGTCTTCTGGGAATGTGATGCTGGTCACCTTCTCCTTCAGCAGACAGAGGGATGGTGCAATATTCAAAGCTTATTTCCAAGCCATCCCAAAAGCAGGTTAGAGGGTTCTCAGGAGAAGGTGGAACCAGTTTGGACCTAGTGTTGTTTTTTCTGTGTGTTTACCTGTGCCACTGTCCCCCACACAGTTTGTGGAGGATCGATCTCCTCCTGGAATGGCTCTATTTCCTCTCCTTACTATCCTTCCTTCTACCCTCCCAACATCGACTGCACGTGGACGATACGAGTGAGACACGCCAGGCTATTTTTGAGTGTGGCCATATTGTGCTTCTTTAACCTCCTGTGGTTATTTTGCCAGGTGCCGGTGCCAGGATACCTGATTTCTTTGACCATCATGACGCTGGACATTCAGAATTCTCCATCATCTGATGGCTGTGAGAAGGACTGGCTGGACATCGGTGGGATGAAGTGAGTTGTGAGGCAGACTTCTGATTCCAGCAGATTTAGTTTCATTAATTTTCAGACAGTTTGTGTTTTCATTTAACTCTGTTTCATGCTGATTCTTGTCCAGGTTGTGTAATACTGTGTCAGACAGCAGCAAAAAGCGGGTGTACTCCTCCCCTCTCTCCATTCACTTCCACTCTGATGAATCTCTGACTCACCAGGGCTTCCACTTGCTGTACCAAGCCTTCTCTCCAGAGGGCAGTAAGTCACGCATGGATCTCTGCAAAATAAATGGATCTGATAAAAGTTAATACATTAAAGCAAAGCTAAAATCTATCAGGAAGCTTGCTGGTAATTTTTTGTGCAATTTTAAATTCATTTTAATGTTAAAATAATTCAGTTTCTGTCTGTTGAAGCTTGTCCTCGTCAGTTTCGCTGTGGAGATGGACGTTGCATCCCTCTGAGGAAGGTCTGTGATGGAGTCAAGGATTGTTCAGATGGTCGGGATGAAGCCAAATGCTGTAAGTCTTATTCTCAAACTCAAACTTTATTTATTTATATAGCACTTAATCATACAATGCATGCAACTCAAAGTGCTTAACAAATTAAAAAGGCCCCGCATACCCACATTCCCTCCCATCCCTAGAATTTTAAAAACAGTCTGACAATAAAACCCCTTCACAACACTCATCCTCCGGCACAAATGCACACACACACACACACACACACACACACACACACACACACACACACACACACACACACAAAACACAATGGACTGAGATCAGATGAGCCAGACCAGCTAAGATAAGGATAAGGAAATGCCATCAGGGGAGCCATCCGCCCCGACAGCAGCAGATCCACAGCAGCAGCCGAGACACCGGCACAGGGCACCCAGGGCAGGAAGGGCGGGGACCCCCACCTCCACCTAGGCACACCTGGAAGCACCCAGGCCGCCACAGCCGACCACCGCCCCCGGGGCAGAGGGCACCCACAGAGGAAACACTGAAAAAAGGTTAAATTAAGGTTAAAATATAAAACAATAAGAGCTAAAATGAGAATTGTAATATAAAAAGTTATATAGATATTAAAATAATGTTGATCATAAATTTATAGTAAAAAACCTTGTTTAAAAATAGCACGTATAAAGAAAGAATACATCAAATAAATCAATACATAGATAAATTATCTAGTTAATTAATTAATTTAAAAAGTGATAGTAATCAGTTAAAAGCTAAGCTAAAAAGATGGGTCTTGAGCCTGTTTCTAAAAACATGAACGTTCTCTGCTGCCCTGAGGTCCCCTGGCAGCTCGTTCCAGAGGCGAGGACCGTTACACAGAAGGACGCCTCGCCATGAAAATGTGTCCTGACTTTAGGGATGTCAAGGAGACGGCTGCCAGAGGAGCGCAGAGACCGTGTGGGTTCATACGGTATAAGCAGTTCTGAAAGATAAGAAGGCCCAAGACCATTGATACAACCATTAAAAGTATTTTAAAACCAACCAAGTTTATCTTGGAATCAAATGGATCTAATGCCATCTTTGGAAAGCAACCCCAAATCAGCATCTATTAATGTTAGGAAGCAGACACTCCTATGCAGAGTAGCATTTAGAGGACAGTATATTTTTTACAATCTTTGTAATTAAGTGTGTCATTTGTGTGTGTCATCAGTATCTTGCAGGCCAGGAGAGGTGCTGTGTGCAAACGGTCAGTGCAAACCTCAAAGCAGCCAGTGTGTCAGTCCGAGCATGTGTGGAGACAGCAGTGAGGAGGAAGGTTGTGGTGAGTACTTGTCCTGTACATGTGCAACCAGTAGTGTTTGTTTTATGCATGCTTTAAGTGAATTCAAAGCCACAGTGTCTAATGTAGCAAAATGAAAAGTCTGAGGCCATTTCTGCTTTCCAGAGTAAATTAGTAATGTTGTAATGGCCACGGAGAAACCAACTATTCTGATGAAAGCTTGTTTAACCCGTCATGATCCCAGACACACCACTTTAAATTAGCACGTCCTGACCCACTTCAGCGTTGGCAATCGTAGGTCATGGTAATACTAGACCAAGCTACCGCTAACGCCAGAGCTGCTGCTAACACTAGCCCAAGGTAAGGATGTCAGATAATATCGGTCTACCAATACTATCGTCCGATATTGGCCTTAAAATGTAATATTGGAGAATATCTATCAGTTTTTATTCCTCTACTAACCCAACTTTTACATACCATGCACATATTCTACATCAAGCTCTTCAACTTCATTTCCTCTCTCAAAATGCCAAATATGACAGATTTGAGGTTTAGTTTTTGAGATCATTTGATTTTATTTGGCAAAATTGGCTCAGAGCATGTAGCTATGTGTTGCTAGCAGCTAGCAAACAACTAAAACAAGCATCTTAATCCAATGCTTGTCTATTTTAAAGTAATATCTTTATAAATGTTTTATCAGCATTACTACAATATACAGAAACAGAAAAAACACATTACTGACTAATGCACACATTTGACCTGTTTCACACTGGAAGCATCAAGCAACGGGAAACTACAGCGGAACATTTCACTCGTGAGCTTCAATGCAGTCCATTACATACTGGGAGAGTGTTGGCCGCGGAACGGCTTGCTCGCTGGACTCGCAAGATCACAAGGTCCCTCGAGACTTCAAAGGTCACAGTTTGTTTATGCGATCCGCCATTAAACCAAAAGAAGGAAATAACGTTTTATCAATCAATCAATCAATCAATCAATCAATACTTTATTAATCCCAGAGGGAAATTAGAGTTTCAGTACACACAATTCAGAGATCAGACATACATGGGCAAGACACATGACAAGAATTGGTGACTGTGGTCATTCGCAACCCGAGTCGCGCTACCTTAATAGAGATAAGAGGGTGACATGTGGATTGGTTCAGGTGGAGGGGGAAAAAAGGCACTTCAGAGTTAAGGTTGGTTTATGCTTGACGCGTCCGCGAGGTCTGCACGGCTCCGCGCGGAAAAGTAGCGTCATTTTGCATCATTTTAACAACCACGCCCCTCCACCGCGTCTCCGCACGGCCCAAGATTTCCGCAACGCGCACCTCGGAAAATTTCTAACCACGCGGACGGTCGGACGCGGAAAAACATGGCGGACCGGCACGGCAGAGGTTCGTAAATACAGACATTTGTATGATTCAGCTCTCAGAGATCACCGTGATCAACATGTTGTTAATAATTCTTGGAGAGAAATAGCTCGCACCGTCGGAAAAGACGAGGACGCTGTTAAAAATGCTGAAATACCATGTTGTAAACAGTGATTTCTACTTCTACTGTGGTGTAGTGTTGGATGCATGCTGTAGAGCTCCATGCTGCCCCCTACAGTTTGGGAGAATATTGGCTCACCGCAGAGACGAGCCGCACAAACCATAAACGCTGCGAGTTGTGAAGCGCGTTCCAGCCGCGAGCCGCATCACCGCGTGGAAAGTGAATGCGTCAAGCATAAACCAAGCTTTACCCTCCAGCAGGAGGGCAGCTTTGCTCTGCAAAAAAACACCTCAAACAGATATGCAACAGACTTCAGACAACACAATATAACATGAGACTCCAATAAGAAAGCAGGGCTGGGATCCTGTTTCCCCCAGTGAGTGCAGCCATCTAAGGTGCTCATCTACTGTACAGTCACAGGAGGGAGGGAGATCTTGGGAGAAGCAAAGAGTACATTGACTCCTACAGCTGATGACCTTGCCAGGCTGAAGTCCACCAATCCGAAGGGGGGGGTTTCACAGCATCTGTCTGCATTCCTTCGTGGGGGTTTTAGCTGCTTGCAGCTCAAGGTTACCAGGGCGTCAGATTCAGATAACAAGAATTTGTTTGGGTCAGGCTGAGATAATTTTCCTCTCTGCCTTCAGTCTTTAAACTGATCATTCCAGTCCTTCAGTGAAGCCAATTTTGGGTTTTTAAACCTGTCCATACCGTCCGGTGACTCTCTCCGAGATGACATCCATTTTGCGCACTAATACCGGTATCTCAGCTAGAACATTGTCCAGCTCACGATTCACCTCGAGTAACATCCCAGTCTGAGAAGTCTCCACATGGACTGTACTTTCCATGGGTGTGGGTTGCCTTCCAATCGCTCCCATCTTCCCAAATTTCCAGAAAACCAGATATCCTCCCACTCCAATCAGGAGAAATCCAGTGATCATCAGGCCGAATATCCACACGTCTTCGATGTCCTCAGTGGACAGCTGAAAGAGGCATATGATCTTCCACTCCTTCCAGGAATCCAAAATTTACCCCACCGGCTGTGTCCCCTGTGGACATGTGGGAGCCCCCTGCTCCGTTCTCATTGTTGAAAAAATCTTATCGATCGCATTGAGTGACCAGTTTATCAAATCCATGGTTAGTAAAAAAAAAATTGAGTTTTTCAGATGAAATGCAGAGAAGCGCTCTGTGGGCAGACAGGACAAAGAGCCTCGGGAACAAAAGAAAAGGGAGCGAAAGAGGGAAGCGTCTGTACTCCTCGAGTGCCTGAAGAAAAAGCCGTTATATCGCCGTTTGATGTCATATATGATGTTGTTCCTCTCCACTCCCAGGACTAAAGCCATGAAAAACACACCGCTGCACTTCTGGAACAATACTGGGAGCAAATAAACAGTTTGATCACACATAAGCCACACACACACACACACACACACACACACATATATATATATATATATGAAATTGGATTGCTGCAGTACCTTTTTATCATTAATTCACTTGTACTGTTTTTATTAATTTATCAATCAAACCTTTTCTCATCATGAACTTAATAAATACTAAAGGCTTTACAGACCATTAATCAGGATTATCTCAAGGAGAATGTCTCTCAGCTGCTGTTGGAGACAAATGAAAACATGACATTTTTTTGTCATTACTAACTTAATTTGAAGTAGTTGCAATTTTGCACGGATAAAGCCTGGGGCACACCGGAGGCGGATGCAAGGCACAGCATCGCGCCCGAGCTGTCATTTTAAATAGATGACATTATAGTTAATGAGAGTGGGTCCCAGAAGCGCCGCGCTGAGGTGCTGAAGACAGGCGCCGGTTCTATTTCAAGCGCAATGGCGCGGTGGTTTACGACATTGTGGAGTACTTTACAACAGACATTATGACGCGGAATGGCTTTACAGCACAAACCCAGCCGCAGTTTAAGGTAACGTTAAAGTGCTATTGATCTTAAAATGTTCATGAATTTGAGTCTCACAAAACACGACGGCAAGTCTGATCTTGTATAAGCAATAGAGTCACTTCCCACTTTCTTTTCTCAAGTCCCGCGTGATGTTGTGACTATTGTGCGACTTTCCAAGAAGCACTCAGCAACGCGACGCGTCCTGTGTGACCACTTGACTTCTCAAAATCTTGGGCAAGACGCTGCATGACTCATCTGCTTCTGGTGCGCCCCAGGCTTAAGCATTCATGATAAGTGATATGAGATTTTAGCAACCTAAATGATTTTTTTTATTAAGGGGACCTCACATGTACATTGTTATCAGTTTATATCGGTATCAGAAATTAAGAGTTAGACAATATTGGATAAAAATACCAATATCGAGCATCCCTAGCTGAAGGTACTACTAATGGCTGAGCTACTGCTAACGCTAGTTCAAGCTACTGCTAACCCCCTTGTTGGATGAGAGGAAAACAATAAAGAACAACGTTGGAGTACTACTTACGTTCCATAAATGACTAAAGGAAACTATGAAAGAATGCCAGATAGATCCATAGTTTGTGGCCCTTATGTTTGGTCCTTTATCAGGGCTCCTGGGCCATTGTGAGCCCCAACAAAGATTTGTATGCTCAAGAACAGTTTCGAATCATTAAAATGCCATGTCTTTGTTTTCCAGGTGTTAAATGCTACCATGTTTGTCCCAACAAGGTGTGTTTGCCTAAGACATCGGTGTGTGATGGTGTCTCTGACTGCAAGGACCGCAGTGATGAGCTGAACTGCACCAGAGCATGTGAGCCTTACTCACACTGGTTTGACAGCATGCTAGTATTCTGTTTGATGACAAAACATTGTCACAGAACTTTTTATGAATGATGTACTTCGTCGTTTTGTAGACTTCAAAAGTTGTTCTTCATCCTCCTACAAATGTGCCAATGGAAAGTGTGTCAGTAAGGTCAACCCTGAGTGTGACGGAGTTAAAGACTGCTTCGATGGCTCTGATGAGCTACGTTGTAGTGAGCACTCACTCGTCACATCATATTTACCTGACTTTGCTTCTGTCTCATTGACATTTTTACATCTCTCTGTTAACCAGGCTGTGGCACCAGACCTAGAAAGAGAGCTAAGATAGTGGGGGGTTCTGATGCTGTGATGGGGTCGTGGCCCTGGCAGGTCAGCCTCCAGATGGACCGCTACGGTCACGTTTGTGGAGCTACGCTGGTTGCCAGTCGCTGGCTCCTCTCTGCAGCTCACTGCTTCCAAGACTCGGATGCTATTAAGTATAAAAGACAGCAAACACCTCCCATTGATGGTTTAGTATGCCATATTCATGCTCATTGTTTCTGCAGATACTCAGACGTCCGTGCATGGCGTGCTTACATGGGGATGCGGGTGATGATCAAGGGAAACCACGGAGCTTCCACCAGGCTGATCCGCCGGATTCTCCTCCACCCACAGTACGACCAGTTCACGTCTGACTACGACATCGCCCTTCTGGAGCTCAGCTCACCAGTTTTCTTCAATGACTTGGTGCAACCGGTGTGCGTTCCTGCTGCCTCACACACTTTCATCACAGGGACTAGTTGCTATGTCACAGGCTGGGGGGTTCTCATGGAGGATGGTAAGCTGTGCTCAGTCTATGAAAAGTGAAAATTTCCCATATTCCCTGTATTCCATGAATGTTACTGGATATGTGTTGTTCACTGCAGGTGAATTGGCGTCTCGCTTACAAGAAGCCTCAGTGAAGATCATAAACAGGAGCACCTGCAACAAGCTGTATGAAGATGCCGTCACTCCCAGAATGCTTTGTGCTGGGAACCTGCAAGGGGGAGTGGATGCCTGCCAGGTTAGTGAGCTGTTTTCCTATTAATTCAATTCTTGTTCACCATCACTGCTTGTTTTAACGGGTGGGACTTCTTTGTAGCAGGAATCTTTGTTCTGTAACTACAAAATGTGAGGGACAGCTAATGCACGCTGTGTCGTACGTGATTCATCTGTATTTTTACAAGCAGGACTGTGGTCTCACTTTCATAACATACTCATACGCAACTTCTCCAGTTATATTCTCGTGAAATCTGCACACATCTCATACGTTCCTAGTATTATTGATCATACATTTAAAAAGAAAGTTCACCATGTAAGTGTTTTACCTGTTATTTTTTAAATATGATCAGTCACTCTGAGTTTAACAGGCAGAAAGAACCTGATAAAAAAAAAAAAAAGGAAACGCTCGGGTCAGGAAAAGCCACTCGGATCTACGACACACAATTAACATTCATGGATTCACCCATCTTGGCTCACGACGGGGTAGGCTGTTGTTGTTTTGGCCTCCAGGAGAGCGTAGAGCATGTCTCGGCGAGTAGAAGCTAACTGCTAGCATTAGCAACTCCACCACATTGCAGAACTCCTTCAGGTTTGCGTTATTTGTAGAGATAAAATATCAATTTGCAGAACGAATGGAGGCAGCAGAAGAGTTGCTTTGTTGTTAGCCAATCAGAGGTGAGATGTCTGAATATCAGGAAATAAGACTCCAAATCCTGCTGTTTTCTGCCCCACACACCTCCGGCTAACTTCTAGTTCCTGAAACAGGAGCGCCAGAGCTTTTATTTCCACAGAGATCGACTCACATTTTTATACTAGAGACCACAGCACACGTGTTAAAAATTAAAACGAGTGAACTTGGTCTTTAAAAGATCACACATTCATTCCAGTAGGCGCCAGGAAATGTCTACAAATATAAATTTAAACCTGCAAGTATGCAAGTTGTTGATATTTTCTTGTAGTTTCTTTTTTTCCTTTTGGCATCTCTTTAATGTCTGTGTCCTCAGGGTGACTCAGGAGGGCCATTGGTGTGTCTGGAGCGCAGCAAACGGTGGTTCTTGGCAGGGATCGTTAGCTGGGGGGAAGGCTGCGCGAGGCAGAACCGTCCTGGCGTTTACACACAGGTAGTGAAGTTCAGTGACTGGATCCGTCAGCAGACTAAAGGGCAGGTGTGACTCAGTTTCAGACTCATGGATTCATAAAACACAGAGAAAACCATTTCTGCACAAAGACACATTTTGTCAGAGGGCTGCACCGCCTTGCCCCAAACACACACGTGTCTTTACAATCTGCAGCTATGTTCCCAAGCACAAAATTGTTTTTAGTCTCATCGAATATGGTTTGATGTCCATCAATACAGATTAAAACGTAGGCCAATATGTACCAATTTCAGAAATATATGGGATTTGTTTGTTGAAGCATATTTAGCATTCTCTGTTTTTTAGAGAATTTATAAAACAACCAGAAAATCGATTTATTGCAAGCAACGTCAACGTATATGTATAAACAGATTTTATTGTAGTACATTTATACTTTATAGTATTTTCCTACATGTCCGCCAACATTTCTGTCTTCCATGTTTGTTCTTGTTGAACATATATTGTATGAAACATCTTCTGAGCAGCACTTGACAAATTCTGCATTTTGAAAACAAATAATTTTCTGATGACAGATTAGAGATTAAAAATTTTTGAATCCTGTATTAAAATAAGAGATTTTATTTCAACAGAGGTTAAAATAGATTTACATGTTTTAATTTACTAATGGACCCAAACTAATTCATTTGATTAATACCAGTGGAGTGAAAGACATCTGCTGCCAGTATGCAAATATAAGTATAAAATTCCACAATGGGACATATTAATCAACCTTTTATGCTGCTCTGTGGGTCTCTACTGCCTCTATAAACACTCAAACATGGAAATAAAACATCTATCTGTTTTCTGTCAGTGTTTAGATTTAGGAATTATCAGCCTAATAATAATAATAATACATCAAACTTGTATAGCGCTTTTTAGGTCACTCAAAGATGCTTCACAGAAATGCAATAAATACATAATAAAACAAAATAAAACATAGTAAACAGACTGGGGGATGCTGGGTTGATCTTAAGAGAAGGCCAATTAAAAGAAGTGGGTTTTAAGCAGTGTCTTAAAACAAGCCATTTCTAAAAGTCCTCATTTGTGATGTCACAAATGGGTAATTTAGCATAGAAACCAGAAGTGTGGACTTGAGTCACATGACTTGGACTCGAGTCATTATTTTAATGACTTCTGACTTGACTTGATAAAATCTATAAAGACTTACGACTTAACTCGGACATGAATGCCAGTGACTTGAGACTTGAATCGACTTGCATCTGTTGAATTGATGATGACTTGAGCATATTTGATATTTTAGCACAAAAGTGGCACAACGTGGACAAAAATCATGAATCATTCTTGGTTCTGGGTTTGATCTTGTTCTGCTAAATGCAGCAGCACTTTGTTTAGAATCAGTTTATGTTGCACTTTCTGCTTGTTTGAGCAAAAAAATGAAGCTTTAAGAAGCTTTATTTCTGGAATTTATTTATTATCATTATCATTATATTGAAGTTGGACAGATGACTTGATTATGACTTGAAAATTCAAAGTTAAGGACTTGGACTTGACTTGGACTTCCACATCATTGACTTTGGACTTGACTTGGACTAAATTGTCTTTGACTTGGACTTGACTCGAGACTTGACTGGAAAGACTTGTGACTGACTTGTGGCTTGCAAAGCAGTGACTTGGTCACTCCTCTGGTAGAAACCACTATCACCTCTCCAGGCTGGAGAAGCACATACTCCGAGCTCGTCCCAGATATCAGAGCTTCTCAGCTCATAGCAGTCTGAGCGGGGGATGAGTGGGTGTGGCCAGCTCCATCTTGTTTTCTTAAAGTGACAGAGCCCTGAAACGGCTCATTCTGGAAGGTACTAAAATGTTAAGAACAAAACTGCTGAAATCGCTTTATGTGAGAGGGATTTTTGTAAAGAACATAAACAATCTTGCATCGAACACAGAACTATTATAACCTTTTTTAAGTTATAATACGTCTCCTTTAAGAATGATCTGGAATTTTCCCTCAAAAGGTTGCAGAAATAGCAGCATGCAAGAGAATGTGTGTAAAACAAAGAAGGGAAGAATTAAGATCAAATGAACTTTGGAATAGAAAAATGTGCTTTCAATGGACCTACCTGCAAACAATTGCTCATTGTTTAATTCTTGTGTTTGTCTTTTTTATAGGTATGAGATGCTCAAACCTAATGTGATTTCAAACTAGATAGGTTAAAATCTACATTTATCAGTTAATTCAATTGTATTCATTGCCCATGAGACATAATTTCATGAGAACAAAATTTAGCCAATTTTCTTTATATTGTGTGGCATTCCAGACTTCTTTCTCCTCCTTTTATAGAATTCCAACCCCAAAACGTTTGGAAACCAAGTTTAAAAACAATGTTTTATTCCAACTCTATGTGGTTAAATTGTCCAAATTGGTACCTTAATTCAGACAGGTCGCCACACGCTGAAGACATCAAAGCAAAGATATTTCCTGATCTGCAGCAAATTACTTCCTTTTAGAGACTGAACTGTTTGTGTTGCAGACAGGAAATCTCATCATTTCTTTTATAATAGAAACTTAGCTAAAGTTCCCTCCTGCATCCGTCTGTGTACTGTATATCTCTGTCTGTTTTCACAGCTCACAGTTTTTGTACTGTATGTGTTTAAATGTGTTTGTATTGTGAGTTTACCTGAGCCATAGCCCCATGAATATATTCTATAACTGCAGTAGAAGTGAATTGTAATTTATTTTTATCTTAATCCTAAGTGTTAAATGGTTTATAATGTGTTTAAAGAACAAATGTTACTATTAGAAAACAATCTGATGTTTTCTACCACAACTTTTCTGTATTTTTCCTCTGAATCTCTTCTTGTTCAGCTCATATTGCCACCTAGTGGCCAGCCTTGATCATTACAGTAACTGTATCCAGATGCACCTTACACCAGCAGAATTTAACTATGATATTTTTATAGCATTATTAAAAAACAGACCAGTATCGGAACAGTGCTGGTGTCTGTCTTCATACACACCATGTCTTTGTTTTTGTTCTTTTTTGTGTCAATCCGTGGAGTTTTCTTTCCTCCTCATCTAAACCTTTGATATTGGCTGTTTCATTTTGACTGGTGAGGCAGACTGACTCACCCCAGCAGTTTAAAACAAACCCAGGCAGCTTGTCGCTGTGATGCGATAAGTGATCTGTGGTTGGGCAACCTGTTACCTCCACGTGCGCTTGAATGTTGCTCTGTTGTTTGTCCTCCTGGAACATATTTTCATTTCTGCAATGTGAGAGACTCAGCTGACACGCTAATGTCAAGGAAATTGCGCGTTAATGTGCCTGTGCCTACGTGCTCCTTAACCCGTCGACCCAATGCAGCGTGCGGCATGTGCGCAAAGAGCGGATTTATTGCGCATCCTGCAGATTTATTAAAGATTGTGCATCAGAGATAATATTATTATTTTTGGGTGAGGGAGGAAATGCGAGTTTAGCATATAATAATCAAGAAAACTAAAGAAAAACTGACTGGCACAGTGTTTTCTCATCAACACTTTGGCAGGGGAAGGATACTCCTCTTACGCACGGTGGGTGTGTAGGTGGACGTCTCAGGAAGTCCACCATCCATTGGCCGGAGTGTGGGAAACAATATAAATCGGCGCCACATTCTACAACGGTGGGAAAAAGTTGCACTAGAGCTCAAACGTGGCGTCCTGTTGCGTGATTTCCCGCAGCCGACTTCAGGAAAACCCAGCGTCTCCATCCACGGACAGCAGTCCTGAGCGCAACAGCCTCCAGCGCTGCGCTGCGTTTGAAGACATCCGTGGAGGAGAAACGTCCCCAACAGGAATTTAAACTTGTGTTTATATTTGAGAGCCGCTTGTTGCGCTGGAGTCAAAAAATGAAGGTTTTTCTTCTGCTCTGCCTGTTTTGTGGATTGTATGGTGCGTTCGCAAAAGGTGAGTAAAAGGTGCCCAAAGTGTCTGCTGTTAATTTAACCGTGCTTCTTACTCCTCATAACTGCAAATCTCATTTGAACTTACCATTAAAATATTATTTTTGCCCAAGGAAATGCCCGATTTCACGCACGAAATTTGGCGCATAATTTAAAGGGAAAGGACGAAATTAGGCATTTTGTGACAATCTGTGGTTCGAAAGTAAAACTATAGTCACTTAAATCTTTGCTGTGGTTCGTGCCTGCAGGAATAAAACTCTTGACTACTTGACTACTGCTTATACTGACAGATAAGCGCAAAGCACTGAGAGCGTGTGTTTGGATAAGTCGGACCTTTGCGCTCCGGCTCCTTGTGCGCCTGGCCCCGGCTGAGTGGATGCATCAAGGGCGTTATTTCCTGAATATAACAGATTTGATATAAAGGGAAGAGGGGTCACGATCACCCGTGGACAAGCGTTCCGGTGCAGGAACTGGGATCCGTTTCTGCGCATTTGCTCTGGAGATCTTTGCTGTTTTAGAATCACTTGGAGAGACAGAAAAAAACTTAGTTTGTATACTTTGTGCAAATATCTGCATCAAGTTAAACTTCTGACATGTGGCGAAAACAATTGTTTACAAATTTGTATAATAAACATTATAAACTAAACATATTTTTTAGTTTATTGATTTTTACACCTTAAGTTTAGGTGAAATATAAATTTCGTTGGTTCGTTTTGTAGTTTTTATTTATTTAATAGGCTCACAAAACGACACAAATCGCATAACTGATGCTTTTAAAAATAGAAAAATAAAAAATAGATCTGGCAAAAACCAAAAAAGGTGTGTAATTTCTCATTATAGTCAATGCATTTTATATTTCTATTAATTTCTAATCATTAGACAATTTGGTCAAAAATGTACCCGTTCAGATAAGTAAAATATTTGAAGAAAATCTTTGAAAACACCAAAATACATTTAAACTATTTTCATTACTTTTACGTGATCATAGAAAACTGATCAAAACTATCTCTATGTAGCTTAATTGTCTAGATTTTACTCAGAATCACCAAACAAATGCATATTGGTAATACAAACATTTTGTTCCAGATTACTTAAGTCGGGGGGGGGGGGGGGGGGGATTTTTATCCTATGATGAAACTTGTGACAGAAGCAGCTCATGATTAATAATTTGCCATCCAGACTGTTTGTAATGCATAAAATGACAAATAAAACTTAAAACTCCCAGAATGTTACACAAACTGTGGTTTGCTACTGCATATTTTATGAGTACATGTGTGGGTATAAGGGAGTTTTAAGAGCTGGGATTGGTCTGCTCCAATGGCCTGAACAGACATTTCTTCCAGTCTGCATCAAATCTGATGAAATTCAAACCTCATCTCTAACTGGATGCAAAAGTCTGTATATCTCATTAATAGATTGCACATCTAAAATATATGCAAACTAAAAATAAATAAATAAAGCAGCATTTTTTGCTAAATTGAGCTAAATATGCCATATGTAATGTAAAAACACTGGATAATTCAAAATTATTGCATGGGAAATTTAAAGTTATGGGGAAATATCCGCTTATTGGTTGCTCATTTAAACTATTTAAGGAGATCACTGACTTCCTTTGCATTGTTGTGTGCTCATTTGTTGCCTTTTCACACACTGACAAACTCAAGGAAATGGTTTAGGAAGTGCTACTGTGAGTAACACTAGCTGTGTTCAGCAGTGGGTCTTCTGGGAACAATGGTGCAGAAAAGTCATAAATTTACCAGCTGCTTGACCAGTAATTTACCCAGAAACAGGGAGGCATGTGTTTGAGAAACAGTCAGAGAAAAATGGATTTCCTCAGAATGAAAAGAAGGGTGGACAGACAAGTATGGAAGAGGATAAGGGTGACAAAGAAGAAAATAATTTTGAATTAATCACAGAATTCTGTGATTAATCTCAAAACTTCTGAGATTAATCTGAGTTTAATCACAGATTTCTGTGATTTATTCTGAGATTAATCATAGAATTATGTGATTAAATTCAGAATTCTGAGATTAACCACAAAATTCAAATATTTTTTCCTCAAAATTCAAATAATTTTTTTATTGCAATAGTAATGGAATTCTTCTTTTTTTAACAGAAGTATGGATTCTATGAAAAAAGTCATAATTCTGAGATTAAATTCGAATTATCTTTCCTTTCATTTTTTCCAGCAGCCCTAAACCTCCTCCGCAAACAACTGTCTCCATCTCATTTATACACATTAACCATGTAGATGAGAATTTTGTTTCAATAAGTAACTGATGAATTGAGGAAAGGTCAACGTGAAGAGTCACAGATTCGTCATGCCTGCTGTGGAGGCAGAAACAATATTTGTTCTTTAACTGCTACAATTGTGTTCTGTGTCCCCATCTTCGGTCCAGTCTCTGCAGACATACATTCAAAAAAGAAGTTCAGCGTTCCTCTCCTGAATGTGACGAGTCATCAGCTGGTTCTGGAGGCCAATCAGACGCTGCAGCTCAACTGCAGGTGAGTTTAGGTTCTCAGATCAGCAGCCAGGGAACTGATGAGTCACCATTCTTTCTATCTGGAAATCTAAGAAAACCAAACATATTTCTTTTAGAAACTCAAAGTCACCAAAATGCATCATTTTCAGATAGTTTTAATTCATGAAATTCAAATTGTTGTGTTTCTCTAAACTGCTGGGCTAATGAGATGCAATAATTATTTCTACTTGAAATTAATGGAAGAGTATTCATTCTTGTCCAACGTATTCCAACTAAATTCACGCAAAAGACGTGAAACTGGTGTTTTGCAGAAACTTAGAGATATAAAGTATAAATATTAATTCAGAATAAGTGAAAATATATTTTGTGAATACGTTTGGTGTTCAAAAACAGGAGATTTGGGGGTGAACTTTTGTCAGAAATGACGTTCAGAACTATTCCTGAACTGGTAATAATTTGATGATGACATGAGAACCGGTGCATTTGTGTGTTTCTGCACCCAGACCTTTAATTTCACTTTAAATCTATTTATTTCTAACCTATTGACTCTAAATGTGAGACAGAAAGAACACGTGTGAGTGTGTTTTGTGATCCGACGCTCACCTCAGTGACGTGTGTGACCATGCAGGGGCCGCTGGGAGCTGTCCTGGGCATTTCCTGCCAGCTTGAACAGAAGTCAGGTGGAAGTGAATGAATCCCGCTGTGGAAGGACGAGCCAGCACTACTGCAGCAGCCTGCGTGTGAGCCACGCCCAGGCCCATCACACCGGCTCGTACCACTGCCGGTACAAGCCCTGGACTCGAAAGCAGAGATCCATTTATGTCTATGTCACAGGTAAGACACAGAATCTCACCTCACACCCCACCCCAGTTCCCATGCACTGAGAACCCCCTGACTCCCTCACCCCCTTGTCTCCTATTGTTCATTCCCTCAGGTTAAACAGGACATGGTGGGTGCTAAATACAGACCAATGCCAAAGAGCCAATTATATCTAAACTGTTTGTCCCAACAACACATCCTTCTAGATGACTCTGGCACAGTTCACCCTGCTCCTCCCCTGCCTTTCTTTCTCATCCCAGGCCCACCTCCCTCTGGGCTATTTATATAAAACCTTTTTTACTTTCATTTACGTGTTACCTTGTGGCCAGGAATAGCCCAGCTGCTGAAAGGCTCAGGGCCTGGGCAGAGTTTCCCAGGGCATCAGCCTTATCTGCTCTGCTCAGCTTTGCTCGAAGCATCCTGTACTTTAGGGGAGGGGGGGAGAGGGCTGGGAGTTGAAGGGGAGGGGGGCACCGCTGCGTCTTTACAAGGTGGTGGAAGTGTGTTTATGTGTGTGAGTGGGGATGAGAGGAACGCCGGCGATTCAGAGGTATGCAGGGCAGTGGCAGAGGAGGCGCGATGTCTGCCCGGGCCGCTCCTCCCTGTCCTGGAAGATGGCGCCGCTTAGCTCCAGCTTTACGAGCCGCGGAGCTGGGCTGCATGCCAGGGTCACGGGGCATGCTACTGTTTGGCCAACAGGGCCCTCGAGGGCCATCAATCGCTCAGGTCATCATGTCCATTAAGCATCAATCTTTGGCTGCAGCTCAGTTCAGATGTTGCCTCCCTCCTTGAGGCTTCTATCAGGAATCAAAGCACGAGAAGGAAGCCTTGGGTCTACTAGTCCTTGGGGTACTTTTGTTCGAAGGTTCAGAGATTTGCTTTCCTTGAATAACACCCTACGGCCACAAACAATACAGCGAGCAACACCCACACCTTTGAATGGCACAGAACCTTTACTGTGGTGGAGCGAGGCCGAGAAAACACAGAGAGGCTGTTTGTTTGCTTCTTAACAATATTGTTTGTTTATTGTTGACTGCAGGTACTCATGTGCTGCATGGGTGTGGAGGACAGCGTGTGTTTTGGAGGCCCTGTTTGTTTTTGTTTATCATTGGGATGCTTGAAAGTCCTCATGCAGTTGGTGGTTTGTGTTTTAGAGCAGAAAGTTGCAAGTTAGGAATTACAAAAGTTTATTTCATGCAAGAATTTCACTTTCTCAATTAGTAAAGCTCCTCACTTCAATATGGGGCAACACATAGTGTGTGGTACACTTGTGAGTGGTGAAAAACGTAGATTTTCTCTATATTCTTCAAAGAATGAACGGTGTTTTCAGCATACGGAAGTCAAATTTGCCATAATTCTGTAGGAACATTTCATTTGCAACCAGTGAATTATTTTAAATAGCCCTTTAGGCTAAAAACGAATTAATCTAAAGAGTTTTACGAGGCCTACATAAAAGAGCAAACCATCACACACATTGGAGAGCGTGCCGGATTTTGGACTTTGGGACAAAACCACATAAATGTGTGAGTAAACATGAAATCCTCAGCTGTGCTTCGAACCCGCATCCTTCATGTTACAAGGCAACAATGCAAACCAGCTGAACCACTGTGCAAATATGATAACATAACATAATTTATTTTGGTAACTCTTTACAGAAAGAGCACCTGTATTAATGTTACTTAGAGCGTTAATAAACAATTAAATAAAGTATTAACAGCTGCTTAATATTAATGTGATTATTACGTAATGCATTACTAAGATGACACCCCTGATACGTTGTCCTAATGATTAATAATGCACTAAGTAATGTTAATAAAGGGAAATTGGTTAATTAATGCTTAATAATGCACTAAGTAACAATAATAAAGGGACCCTTTTAGTAAAATGTTACCTATTTTTTTAAATGCCTTTCGTGAACTGTAAACGTTGTTGTTTCAAACAAAATTTTGTCACATTCTTAAATATTCATCCCAAATTTGGCATTTTGATAATAAATGGACAAAGAAGGTTGAAAAACTGATGAAATACTAATAAATCACTCGATCTAAATTTAGCTCTAGCTTACTTTAGACGTGAAACTGATTCGTTTCCTGAGTGTTTCCTGCATATTCTCTGACTGTCACTAGAATGGATGAATGAAAAAGTTCCCTGCCAACATTATAATGAATTGTTCCATTTTATGCACATTTCATGCAGGTTGTATTTATTTTTCTGGCCTACCAAACAG